TCGCAACTGCACAACCACAGTGGGGATGCCGCTGCTGCACCAACCCCACTGGCGCAGTGAGCCATTCCACCTGGAGCCTCTATCACGCTTCAGCGTGCCCGCCGCCACCGCCGTCCCCGCCACATCTGCCTGGCCTGAGCGTCCAGGTCGACGGCCCGTGCCCGCTCACCGACGGCGGCGCCTGCGCCACAACGCCAAACTACCCGGACGGTGAGTACGGCCCTGATGAGCGGTGCGAGTTCACCAATGTGCCGCCCAACCCGCTGGTCTCCCTCGCCTTCGACGTGGAGCCTTACGCCGACTGCCGCTTCGACTACCTCGTCGTCAGCGGCGTGAAGTACTGCGGCACCTCTGGCCCGACTGGGATCGTGCCGTCGGATGGCAAGATCACCTGGAGCTCGGACTATGCGACGTCCGCGGCCGGCTGGAAGATCTGCTGGGCCAACGCGCCTCCGCAGATGCCGCAGCCACCTAGCCAACCGCCGCCGCCACCCGCGCCGCCATCCCCGCCGTCACCGCCGTCATCCCCGCCGCTCCTGCCTGGCTTGAGCGTCCAGGTCGACGGCCCGTGCCCGCTCACCGACGGCGGCGCCTGCGCCACCTCGCCGCACTACCTGGACGGTGAGTACGGCCCTGATGAGCGGTGCGAGTTCATCAATGTGCCGCCCAACCCGCTGGTCTCCCTCGCCTTCGACGTGCAGGGAGACGATGACCCTTACTACGACTACGACGGCAACGGCGACCCCACAGACGACTGCCCCTACGACTACCTCGTCGTCAACGGCGTGAGGTACTGCGGCACCTCTGGCCCGACTGGGATCGTGCCATCGGATGGCAACATCACCTGGGTCGGCTGGTTCTACGGCTGGACCGGCTGGAAGATCTGCTGGGCCAACGCGCCGCCGCAGATGCCGCCGCCTCTGCCACCCCGGACGCCACCGCAGCCGCCCTCGCCGCCTCCGCCGCCCTCGCCGCCTCCGCCGCCCTCGCCGCCATCGTCGCCCTCGCCGCCCTCGCCGCCACCGTCCCCTCCATCACCGCCATCTTCGCCGCCGCTCCCGCCGCTCACTCCCGCGACCTTTCTCGTCGAGACCGTCGACCAGCTGCGCGAGCGGCTCAAAGACGCCGAGGGCGCTCCCAGCGCCAACGTGTCGCTGCAGCTGCAGCGCGACGCACTCTTCCTTCTCGGCGGCAGCGAGCTGTCGTGCCGCACCCCAATCGAAGTCTCGATCCGGAGCAGCCCCAGCTCGACCGCCATCATGAACGCCGAGGGCATGTCGCGCCACTTCCTCGTCTCGGGCGGCTGCCGCCTGACGCTGGAGGGCGACATCACCCTCGTCAACGGTGCCGCGGACGGCGACGGCGGCTCCCTTCTGATTGAGGACGGCGAGGCGACCCTTCGCGGCGTCACCATCAGCAACTCCTCCGCCGGCGGGGACGGCGGCGGCATCGCCTCCAAGCAGGGCAGCCGCCTCGGCCTCCAGGCGGTGACCGTCTCGGGCTGCAAAGCGGGAAATAGCGGCGGCGGGCTATTTGCCGAGCTGTCGCAGAGCCTCGTCATCAGGGGCTCCGCCTTTGAGCGCAACGAGGCTGACAAGGGCGCTGCGATCGAGTACGCCTCCCAGGACACGGACAGCGAGACCGCCCTCATCGTCGGCACCACTTTCGAGGGCAACGTCGGCGAGACGACCGTCAGCTCGAACGCGCCCATCAGCTGGACCTGCGAGCGCGGGCAGTACATGCCGCGCACGAGCGGCGACGGGGAGGACGCCTTCTCCGGCGACTTCACCGGCTGCCTGAAGGAGTGCGCCGCCGGCTTCTTCGGGAACGAGACCGACCTGAGCAGCCCCACCTGCAGCGGGCAGTGCCCTCAAGGCCGCTACTGCGTCGAGGGCACCGCCGACCCGACGCCGTGCCCCCGCGGCACGATGATGCCGGCGCGCGGCGCGGCGAGCGAGGATGCTTGTCTGCCGTGCGCCCCCGGCCAGTATCAGCCCCTCACAGGCCAGGCGGACTGCCTCGCCTGTCCTCCGGGGAGCTACTCGGCGGCTGTCGGGCAGTCGTCTTGCGAGCCGTGTCCAAAGGGCGGCTCCTGCAATGAAGTGGGCGCCGCCACGAGCATGGTCTGGGAGCCCTGTCCCGCAGGCAGCTTCAACCCGAACAACGGCTCCAACTCGAGCGCCGCGTGCGAGCTCTGCCCTGCCGGCACCGCGAGCGCGACGCCGGGAGCGAAGAGCGGCGACACGTGCGCTCCATGCCGGCCAGGTAGCTTCGCCGCCACGCCTGGCCTCTCCCAGTGCGAGCTCTGTAAGCCCGGCACCACCTCTGGCGCCGGCAGCGTATCGTGCGACGAGTGTACTGCAGGCACGTACGCCGCCAACCCTGGCCAGGGGGAATGCACCCTCTGCCCCTATCCCTTGAGTAGTGGGCGCGGCGACGTCACCTGCTCGATCTGCAAAGAGGGCTTCTACTTGAAGGACTCGAGCGCCAATCCAGACGACATCTTCATAAACCCGACCAAGTACTGCAAGGATTGCCCTTCAAACGCCGACTGCAGCGCCGGCACCGCCCTCGCGTCCCTCGGCGTGGACGTCGGCTACTGGCGCGCCTCCACCGCCACCTCGGAGCTCCACCGTTGTGACTCAGAGACGTGCTCTGGTAGCTCCGGCCAGCCCAGCCGCCGCCGCCTCACCGACGGAGATGACGACCCATACTGCACCGCCGGCCACACCGGCCCGCTCTGCGAGGTCTGCGTCGCGGACTCGGACTACTTTAGCTCTGCCGAGGGGCGCTGCGTCGCCTGCCCCTCGACGGCCCGCTCCGCCGGCGTCTTTGTTGGCTTTGTCATCGTCATTGCCGTGCTCGCCGGCGCCTACGCTGGGCTCCGTCACCTCCCCTTCTCCCGCCGCCTCCGGAAGCAAGCCACCCGCATCGAGTCCGAGGTCGGCCTGCAGCCCAAGTTCAAGATCGTCGTCGGCTTCTACCAGGTGAGCAGCATCCTCGGCCTCGTCTACGGCGTCCGCCTCGACGAGCACTTTACGCGCTGGCTCGACGTGCTCAAGCTGTTCAGCCTGGACCTGTTCGGCGTTGCCATCCCGGGCCGCTGCATCGGAGCCATGAGCACGCGCTTGCTCGTCGCGGGCCTCTGGCCGTACGCCGCCGTCGCCTTCGTGTCGCTCGCCATCGTGGCGGTGGCGGCGGCACTCAACGTCAAGCAGAAGCAGGCCTGCATATTCGATCGCAATCTCTTTGGCCGCATACTCTACTGGGCGATCTTCATCTTCTACCTCGTGCTCCCCTCCGTCTCGCGCTCCATCTTCAGCGCGAGGCTGTGCGAGTCCTTTGGCTACGACGACGCGACGGGCCAGCGCATCAGCTACCTGCTCGCCGACCCGTCGCGCACGTGCGACGCCGGTCCGACGTGGGACGACGAGACGGGCGGACTCGCGCCGTACTTTTGGGCCTTCTTCGCCCTCTGGCCCGTCCTCGTGCCGCTCGGCTTCTTGGCGCTGCTGCTCCGGGTCCGCAAGCCCGTGGCTGCGCAGCGCGCAACGCCGCTCTCCAGCGCGACGAGCTTCCTCTGGCGGGACTACTCTGCCGGCCTCCTCTTCTGGGAGGTGCTCGACCTGGTCCGCAAGATCTTCCTCACCTCGATGGTGCTCTTCATCGACCAGGAGTATGGCTCCAGGAAGCTGCTGCGCACCGTGGTCGCCGCCGTCGTCTCGGCCATGTTTCTCACTCTTCTCGCCCTCGCCCGTCCCTACCGGCGCTCCGACGACCTTTGCCTCGCGTGCATCGCCAACCTGCTCCTCACATGCTGCTTCGCCTCGGGAGTGGTCATCCAGGTCCGCGCCCCCGCTGAAATTCCTCGCCGTCCCTCTCTGTCTCCCGTAACCGCGCAACTCACCACACCCGCCGCCCTCGCCACCGCAGCTGTGCGACAGCACCATGTACGAGGACATGTGCTACAACCTCGTCGGCTACCAGACCTCGCGCGGCGCCAGCACCTTTGCCGTCGTCCTCACCGCGGTCATGCTCGCCGTCTCGCTAGTCGTCATCCTCGTATCGGCGGTCAGCGCCGCGAGGGCGAAGACCATGCGGCTCGTCTCGTCGATGCGCGAGCCGATGCGCGACGGCATCACCCTCGCCGACGGTCAGCAGTGGCACCTCTTCCTCAGCCACGTCTGGAGCACGGGGCAGGTTTGCCACCCCTTGCCCCACCGCTTAAGGTGCGGATAAACCTGACCTGCCTTCCTCCCGTGTAGGACGCCGTCGACGTCATCAAGAATGAGCTCCAGCAGTTCCTGCCCGGCTGCGAGATTTTTCTCGACGTCGACGACCTCAAGAACATCGGAGAGCTGGAGGCGTACATTGGTCGCTCGCAGGTGGTGCTCTGCTTCCTGTCGCGGGGCTACCTGCGCTCAACGAACTGCTTGCGAGAGATCCGCGCCGCGCTGGAGATGGGCAAGCCGCTCGTGCTCGTCCACGAGGCAGACCCGGACAAAGGCGGAGGCACGCTCGCCGAGCTGCGATCCGAGTGCCCCGAGGAGCTGCGGGCTGACATCTTCGACGCCGGCTGGCCGATGGTGGTGTGGCATCGGATCGCGGCCTTCCAGCACGTCTCGCTCAAGGTCATCGCCGAGGCGCTGCTGCTGAAGACGCCAAAGTACGAGGGCGAGGACGAGCTGCCCCTGTGCATCCCGGGCGAGATCCGAGCCGACGGCCTCGCCTTCCCCAAGCCGGTGATTCTCTGGGCCTCGACTTTGAATGACGGGGCGCGAGGGCTTGCCGATGCGGTCGCGGCGGCTGTGCCTGATGGCATATCGATCACCGACGCACCGCCCTCGTGCCTCTTCTCGCTGCCTCGCTCCTCGCGCCCCTCGCGCATCTCCTCGCTGCTCTCTTCGCTACCTCGACGCGCGAGAAGAGAAGGCGGCGGCGAGGCGACGCACATGCTGCTCTACCTGAAGGAGGCGACCTGGGCCGACAATGGCGCCGAGGCGCTCGCAGAGCAGGTGCGCGCCGCGCGCCGCGCCGAGCTGCCGCTCGTCATGGCGCACGAGAACGACGCCGTTCGTGGCGGCTGCATCTTTGCCCACTTTTTTGAGGTGACGCCACGCGATCTGCTCTCCGATGGGCTGTACAACGACCTCGCCGTCGGCTGCCACTCGAACCCGCACCGGCAGGTGTCGCTCGCCCTCCTCGCAAAGGCGCTCGGAGCGACCAAGCAGACGGCTCAGTCGCGCGTGCGCCGCGCCACTGTCACTCGATCGATGCAGACCCGCGGCTCCTCTTCGAACACGGAGCCGTCGAATGGCGACGACGCTGTGGAAGAGTCAGCGACGCAGGACCGCCAGATGGTCTGAGGAGAACGCCTTTTGCTGCACAGTAAACCGCACACGCACATACACACGCATGCACGCGCGCACAACACACCACCCGCAGAGCCCCTGCACAAACGAATTGAGCAACCTTCCCCTGTGTGGAGCTGTGGACGCTTGGGCGTGGATAGGGGTCCGATCTTGGAAAGAACTTAAGGTTACTTTGCGCGGACGAAAAGGGCGACGGTTGTCACCTCGTCGGGGTTGTGATCTCGGCATTTGTTACGCCGCGACTTGCGATAACACACTGTCAACTTCTGATCGTTGTGTGTCTCTTATCGTTGTGTGTCGTTTTCTTTTTCGCGCTGCACCGCTTTTCTCAGATCTCAGAATTTAACACGAGGTTTCGTGACGGGGCCCGAACCCCGCGGGGGCGCGCACACACACAAGCGCAACCACAGACACACACCTCTCATCTCACACGTCGCATGACACGCACTCGCATGGTTTCCCGTCTGGGGCAAAGGGGGGAGGGCACGCAGCACCCCTCACAAGTCATCCAGTTGCGCCACGGCCGGCTGGTGCCGTGCGCTGCCTCTCTCACTGGCTGGTGGGACGACGATCGAGCACCAGAGCACAGCCCGTGCGCCGGCTCACGGACGCAAGGATTACACCACGATCCGCAATCATTACGGCTTGTATATTCCCTCGAGCGGAGACGAGTCTGCCGCCGGCGCACTCGGGTCGAGCGCCTGGGCGAGGGCGTTTCGCTGCTCGTCGGAGAGCGCCATGATGTCCTCATCGGAGAGCGCCCGGCCGACGGGCTCGCCGCGCAGCGTCTGCACGCGGAGCTGCTGCAGGTAGTCTCGCCACTGCCGCTCGAACTGGAAGAGAAAGTTGGGCGTCGCATTCTGGTGCTGCCGGAACTCCTGCTTGACCATCGAGTCGCCGAGCTTGCGGTGCGCGGGCGGGAGCGCGCGGTGCGCCTTGAGGATGTCGCGGAAGAGCTTGATCGCGGTGGAGGAGTGCGGCATCCTTCGCAATAGCTTGGCGCACGCAGCTGGCGCGCGCAGCTGGCTATGAAGTCGGCGATGTGAGCCGCGCCTCACCGGTCTTCGTGCCGTGCGCGCTCGACAGGACACCTTCTCGGAACCAAAAGAAAAGTGCGAAAAAATCCGTCGGTTTCCGGTAGATTTCCAAACCCGTGTCGCGAGGCATGTTGTTCGCAAGAGCGTCGCGCTCCTTCGCGCGAGCGCTCTCGTCGACGCCGCGGCTGACCAAAATCGTCGCCACCATCGGTCCCGCCAGCGAGCAGGCCGAGCCGCTGGGCCGCTGCCTCGTGGCCGGGATCAACGTGATGCGCGTCAACTTCTCGCACGCGACGGTCGATGAGTTCCACCTCCGCCGCACCAACCTGCGAGCGGCCGCGGGCGGCGAGCTCGTGCCCATCATGCTCGACACCAAGGGGCCCGAGATCCGGATGGGCGGCCTCGCGGTCTGCAAGGAGGGCGGCCGCAAGGCCAAGATCACACTGACTGCTGGGGCAGAGGTCCTCCTCACGACCGACCCGAGGCGCCGCCCGCGTCCACCACACGAGACCCGCACCCGGCGCGCGCCCGGCCGGCTGCGTCCGGTCCCGCCCACATCCTGGCCGCGCCGTGGACCAGGTACGACGGTGAGGGCGACGAGAAGACGATCTTCGTCGGGTACCCTCTGCTCGCGTCAAAGGTCTCGCCGGGGTTCGTGGTGCTGCTCGACGACGGGCTGGTCTCGCTGCGGGTGAAGGAGGTGCGGCCGGACGGGGGCGTCGCGTGCGAGGTGCTCAACACCTCGCCCATCGGAGAGCGGAAGGGAGTGAACCTGCCGGGCGCGACGCCGCCGTGCCGGTGCCGCAGCCTTCCGTGAGCCGGCACGGAAGCTGCCCGGAAGCTTCCGGTAGGCATCGTGACGGACCTGCCGCCGCTCTCCGACAAGGACCTGGAGGACATCCGCTTCGGCATCGAGCACGACATCGACATGGTCGCCGCCTCCTTCGTCCGCAACGCCGCCGGCGTCGACGCCATCCGAGCGCACATAGCCGACTGCCACGCAAAGCACGCGCCGGACCCGTCCGCGCCGCCGCCGCTCATCATCTCGAAGGTCGAGTCGACCGAGGCGCTCGACCGGCTGGGCGAGATCATCGAGGCCTCCGACGGGCTGATGGTTGCGCGCGGGGACCTGGTCTTGCGCCGCTCCGCCGGCGGCACCGCACCGGAGGAGCGCGCCCTCTCTTCACACGCCTGCGGCCGTGAACAGGGCGTGGAGGTGCCGATTGCGCACGTGGCGACGTGGCAAAAGGAGATGGTCGCAAAGTGTGCGGAGGCGCGCCCGCCCCCACATCCGTTGCACTCACTGCTACCCACACTCCACATTGACCTCGCCCACACACCATCCTCCGGCAATGGCGAGAGGACGGCGCGGCGAGCAGCGTCTCTTCACGCCCGTCGCTCGTGCACACAGGCGGGCAAGCCGGTGGTGGTCGCGACTCAGATGCTCGACTCGATGCAGTCGAACCCGCGGCCGACCCGCGCCGAGGTTGCCGACGTGACCAACGCGGTCCTCGAGCAGGCCGACGCGGTGATGCTCTCCGGCGAGTCTGCAAACGGGCAGTACCCGGCCGAGGCTGTCGCGATGCAGGCCCGGACCCGCCGAGATCGAGACCCGCCGAGATCGAGACTTGTCGAGATCGAGACTTGTCGAGATCGAGTCCTGCCGAGACCTGCTGAGTTCGTTCCCCGGCCAGTGCCAGCCGTCAGTCACAAGAGTCCACTCACCGCCGCGCAGGCGGGCATCATCGAGCACACCGAGGCGTGGGCCGCGTCCCACCCGGAGCACTCGTCGGCGGGTGTCCTCGACACGCGGCGCACGGGCGGCGCGATCGTGCCGGCGGCCGCCGCCCTGCACCCCGCCTCGCTGCGCGCGGCGCACCTCGCAGCCTCGTCTGGCGCCGCCGTGATCTTGGTCGCCGAGGGCGGGAGCGGCGAGGTAGCAAAGGCGGTCGCCGCGTGCAAGACCGCCGCGCCGGTGGTCGTCTTTTGCAGCAGCCTCAAGGTGTGCCGCCAGCTCGGCATCTACCGCGCCTTGCTGCCGCTCCACACCGCCGGCGCCGCGGCGCCGCCCACCGCGGCGGAGATGGTGCGGATGGCGGGCGAGCGCGGGCTGCTGCGGGAGGGGGAGCCGTACGTCGTGCTAGACTCGGCTGGCATGGCCGTCGCCTCGGTGTGACCCGCCGCGCCGCCCACCGCGGCTATCTTTTCGGGTGGTCGTCCACCCCGGCCCGCGGACCGGCGAGGCGTGGGCCTTGTCGCCCCGGGCATGGCGATTTTACAGCCCGCCCGCTTTCCCGATCCCGTTCTGCAGAGAGTCTGCGAACAACATATTACTTATTATTAGCAACCATCCAACAAATGAATAATAAAAAGAGATCATGGCAATGCGACATGGACATGTGGATGTGAGACATCTTGAGTGACGCTGACGCTCACGTACAGTTCATGGCTATGCGCACAGCTGTAATGCGAGACGACTACCGCAGGATCTACGTCTCACGGTCTCAGCAGAGATTGTAGCACAATGCGTTCGGACGCGTCGCCTCTTCGCGGTGGTTCGAGCGAGCCGTAGAGGGAGAGGTGGGCCCGGAGTGTGCGGAGAGGGAGGGGCCGACGCGAGGGCGAGGGCGAGAGGGGAATCGGAGAGGCGCCCGCGCGGGCAGAGCGGGACGGCTCACGACGCCTTGCGGTCGGCGCGGCCGGTGGCGAGGATGGACCGGGAGAAGAGGCTCTGGCCCGCGGCGAAAAGTTCCTCTCCACTCTTGTACTTGTGCGGGCCCTCGGTGAAGAGGACGCGCTTCTCCTTCTTGCCGCGCAGCTCGATGTGCTTGTGCAAGGCGGGGTTGCGCGCCGTCTCCTTCGCAATGGCGACCGCGCGCCTCGCCTTCTCCTTGCCGGCGAGGAAGCAGTTGAGGTGGTCGTACTTGTCGCCGATGGCCATGTTGAAGGTACCGCCGAGCGCGTAGAGGAAGTTGTCGACCTACATGCGTGTTAGTAACGTGAGGCGGCTCGCCTAGATGGCGGGGTAACACCGGCGCACAACGCACATGGTCAGGTCCGCCGTTGGCAACGGCGATGATGTGGAAAACGTGCTGCCCCTCCTGCTTCGCGCCCGGCTGCAGCGTGATGAGGTCGAGCTCGATGAGGCGCTTTTGGAACTCCGACTTCGACATGTAGCCCGTGATCTTGTCGAGGCCCTTCTTGACCTCCCCCTTAAGAGCGCCCTTCTTGAAGAAGACGCCCTTGCCCTTCTCGAGCTGCGCCACCCGCTGCTGCGCCTCGCGCAGCAGGCTGCCGTCTCGTGCAAGCTCGCCTCGCAGCACCTCGTTCTCTTCCCGCAGCCGCTCGTTCTCCGCCTTGGCTGCGTTCGCCTCGCGGAATTGCCTGAGCGACCATAGCAAATGCTCGCGCTGGTCGTCGCTCAGACCCGCAAACGCGTCGACGGAGCTCTGCGGCGGCGCGCTTTGATCAGGCTTCTGCTTCTTAGCCGGATGCAGCGGAGGGGGCGGCGGCTCAGCGCCCAAGCTGCTCGCGCTGCCGCCGCTCGCGCTGCGGATTTCCGCCGCCTTGAACCAGCGCGCCGGGCCCTCGAAGGGGATGTAGACCTTGACCTGGTTGTCGAGGCTGATCTCCTTGACGGTCCCGCGCCGCTTGCTGACGCCGTCAACGTAAACCTTGTCGAGGACGGCAAGAGTCGGCTCCGAATCGGCGGCGCCGGTGGACGAGGAGTCAGCCTCAGGCTCATCGGCATCGTCGGCACCGTCGTCGGCGGCGTCGTCGTCCACCTCGGCCGCCCACTCCTTGGCCCAGCGCTTCGACGCAGAGCTCCCGCGCCACTGAGCCAGCTTCTGCACCATCCACTCGGCACGCGAGTTTTTGCGCAGCCCAGGGATCGCGCGGTCAGCGCACTAAGAGGTCAGAGTAATGAGCACATGAGTTCCGCTGTGTATGGGGCAAGGGGGGGGGGGGGGGGAGCTGCGCGCCAGGCGGTGCAGAACAGCCCGATCGAGCTGCAGCAACTTGGCCTGCCGGACGTTCACCAGCAGGGGATTCTTGGCGAACTCCTCGGGGATGTCCACCGCCGCCGCATCCTCGGCGTCGTCGCCGGCTGCGTCCACCGCCTCCTCCTCCTCCTCCTCCTCCTCCTCCTCCTCCTGCTCCTCCTCCTCCTGCGCCTCCTCCATCGCCACCTCCTCGTCCTCAGCAGCATCGAGCGTGCCGTCCTCGGGCGTGGGGTGCCTCTTGAAGCTCATCAGCAGGTCGAGGCACCGATTCATGCGCGCCTTCTTCTTGACCTCGATGCCGCGCTCCAGGCAGAGCTGCTTGAGGCGCGGCACGCCGAGCTTCTCGAGGCTGCGCCGTGCGTATCCGTGCAGGTTCCAAGGGATCTTGCCGTCGCCGTCGCCAGCCGCGCCACCGTCAAAGGCGCCCTCGCCCTCGAGCTTTTGCAGGATCGCCTCTGCCAGGGCAGTCTTATCCGCGCCCTGTTCGACCTCAACACCTGCCTCGCGGGCGAGCGCCTCAAACGCCGCAGCCGGCGCAGCAAGAACCTCCTCGCCAGGGCCCGCTGCTGGCTCTTGCTCCGCCGAGCCGCCGCCACTCGCCGCGCGCTTCTTGCGGAGATTGAGCGGCAGGTCCTCCTCCTCATCGGTAGAGTCTGAGGCAGCACCGGCTTCGGAGTCGGCGGCCGAGGCGCGCTGTGAGGCCTCGTATGCCTCCACCTCGGCCTGGTAGCGCGCTTTGTCCGCCTTAGCCTTGGCATCCCACGGTGCCTTAGCCTTGGCATCCATCTCCCTCCACTTGGCGCCAGCAATGCTGCCAATCTCGGTCATCTTGGCGTCTGGGTGCTCCTCCTTGATGGCCGCGCGGTTCGCGTTCTGCCAGAGCATGAAGGACGACAAGCCGCGCTTGGGCTTGGACTTGGGCGGACCTGTGGATGAGATGGCCGCTGGGAGCGATGGGAGGTCACCGCCGTCCGCGTCACCGCCGTCCGCGTCGCAGCTCTCGCCGCCCTCGCCCTCGCCGCCTCCACTGCCGTCGCCGCCGTCGCCGCCGTCGCCGTCAACGCTGCCGTTGGCCGCTGACGCCGCCATTACTGCACGGCGGCTTGCAGCCTGCAGTCGCCCCCGCAGCCGCTTCACCTCCTCCTTCCACTCCTTCAGCTTTGCGACCAGCGTGTCGCGCTGCGGCTGCTGCGCCATGCCATCAAACAAGGCATTGACCTTGCGCTGGAACTTGTCGTCCTCCACGCCTTGCGCCTGAGCAGACTCCTTGGCGCGCTGGTAGAGAGGCCGCAGGTCCTTCGCGTCCCAGTCCTGCCACTTCCTCTTATCGTTCAGCTCGATGAGCAATGCTTGCACCGTCTCCGGCAGCTCGCTCGATCCCATCGTTCAAAGGCGCGCAACGAAGGCACTTGCGGACGCACGAGCAGGGTTCGTGAGTGAATTTTCACACTTTCACTTTCACATGTGAATTCATGTGAATTTCACATGAAACGTTTCGGCCGCCCCCGTTTCACTGAAAATTTCACAAGTTCGACTACTTTCGAAGGCTCTGCGGAGCAAGCGCGGTGTAGGCGCGCCCACGCGGCGCAGCGGCTCTCCCGCGACCATAGCCCCTCCCGCAGCCGCAGCCGTAGCCGCAGCCCCAACTCTTGCTGCTCTTCTACGGTGGCAAATAATAGCCCAAGTCGAAGAGTGCGCCCCGCCCTCGGTATCTGGGCGGCAGGCGGGACTAGAGTGGCACGCTGGTGCACGAATGGGGGCGCGAGCCGCCATCTTGGACTGTGAGGCGAGTATTTGCAACCGGGAGCTCGCCGCCGCCCCTACACCGCCGCGGCCGCCCTCCCGGTGGCAAATAATAGCCCAAGTCGAAGAGTGCGCCCCGCCCTCGGTATCTGGGCGGCAGGCGGGACTAGAGTGGCACGCTGGTGCACGGATGGGGGCGCGAGCCGCCATCTTGGACTGTGAGGCGAGTATTTGCAACCGGGAGCTCGCCGCCGCCCCTACGCCGCGGCCGCCCTCCCGATGCGTCGAGAGTCGACTCTCGACTGCTGAGAGAGTTCATCCCACCATCAGCACCGTATTCGCCCACAGCATGCCATGAGATTCATATAGGTCTAGTGTACACATCAGCTCAGCGAGACCAATATCTCCAGCCTCCTTCATCTTGGCTGCTGCTTGGGAGCCAACACCTGTGCAAGTGAGTGTCAGAGTGTCGGAACTCGGTGGGAGCATCCGTCATCAGTCACGTTCACACGACTCTTCACACTCGCTCGAAAAAGTGAAATTTCGTTTCACATGAAATGTGAAGTGAAAGTGAAAGTGAAACCGATTCGCTGTTTCCATGTGAAATCACGAACCCTGCGCACGAGGAGACTTGCGCCTTGCGCGGCCCGCCACGTGCACGCGGTGCAGAGCCGCGTGGCGGGTACCATTGGCACGTGGCATCGCGAATCCTTGATATTGGGTGATCAACCTCGGCGCTAGAGGTGCGCGCACACCCTGTGTCTCGTGCTTCGTGACACTCACATCTTGATGAGACTCGACCCTCATGGAGACAGCACGAATAGAGACCCCCCACTGGTCGCAGCCACAACTATAAGAGTCTAAGTTATAGCGTAGCCGCTTGCGCACCTACCTATCCTCCTCGCGCACTAGCCTCTCCCGCAGCGCGCCCGTGCCCCGCGTCAGCCGCATCGCCAGGTTCGATCCGAGCCCCTCCACCTTGTCGAAGACGCCGTCGAGGCGGCCGTCCACCTTGCTAAACACCTTGCCCGCCGCGTCGCGCAACTTCTCGCCGCTCGGCGCGCCGCGCGTGCCGCCAGAGCCAAGGTCGCCGCTGCCAGCCCCGTCGCGCCGCTGCGGCGCCGGCTCGGGAGACCCAAAGTCGTTGGCTGGAGTCACGTCGGCGAGCGAGCCGCCCAGCCGGCGCACCTCGCCCTCCAGCTCCGCCGCCCGGCGCTGCTCGGACCGCGCGCGCACGCGCATCGCCTGTAGCTGCTCCTTCCACATCTCCGCCTACGACGCGAGAGGAGGACTCACACACTCGATTCATTGCTACGCCGCGTCTTCCACATCTCTGCCTGCGACTCGGCCGACCGCTGCGCCTCGGCGAGCGCCTCGCCCAGCCGCTCCGCCTTGCGCTTCCACCTAGTCATGCATCACGAGAGGCTGGCCGAGACTCCCCGAGATTGGCGATGCCCCGCCTTGGTCACCACGCACCCGTCAGCTCGCGATACTCTAGGAAGCGTCTAGGAAATGTCTAGGAAGTGCCACGCACCCGTCCGACAGCTCGCGATACTCGCCCGCCGCCGCCGCGCGCTGCTCGACGATCGACAGCTGCGCGCGCAAACTCTCAACCATGCCGCCGCCCGCACAGCTGCCCCCGTTGCCCGCTCCGCCCAGCAAGTCCCCTCCCCCAGCACCGCAGCTCACCGCACCGATTGACGGCACGTTGGGCGCGTCCATCAAATCGATGAGCCCGCCGCCGCCGCCGCTGCCGCCGGCACCGTTGACGCCGCCGCCGCCGCCGCCTCCGTCGCTGCGGCGCAGAGCGCCCTGGAGCTGCCCAATCTGCGCCGCGGCCGCCTCGCCCTGCTGCGCCTACGGAAGCAGAGACGCGGGTCGACGGAAAAAAGAAGTGTGCCGACGGCCGCCCCCGCACGGCTGGCGCCAACGCGGCTCGCAGCGCGGTGGCCTCCTGCTGCAGCTCGGAGCAGCGGCCTGCAGGAGGGGTCCGAGAAGGCTCACTCCCGGCTGGCACGAGGGGAGCCCTCCCGCTTGCAGCTCCAGTCGGGCGCCGGACCAGTGAGCCTCGCGCGCCGCCGCCTCCGCCAGCTGCTGCGAGCGCTGGCCAGACAGGGTTCGGATCTGCGCCTCCTGCCGCGAACGCGACGCCTCCGCCTCGCCCACAGCCCGCTTGGCGCGCGCCTCCGCCGCCTCGGCCCGGCGCGACGCCTCCGCCTCCCTCCTCTTCGCCGCGTCGGCCGCGGCGGCGGCCGCCGCCGCCTGCGCCTTGAGTGCAGTCGCCTCGCCCTTGGCCTCCGCGCACGCCTGCTCGCACTCGAGGGAGTGAACGACACGGCGTCGACACTCGCAGCGGGAGCCAGTGGAGGCCGCGGCGCGCCTCCCGCACGGCGGCGAGCTTCGTCTGCAGCTCGCCCGCCTCGCCCGCCCCTCCCGCCATCTCCGCCATCTGGTCGACCGCCTACTCGCAGTTTTCCGCCTCTGAGCTCACACCTTCCTCTCTGGCTGCCCGCCGACCCCGCCCGCCGGTCGGCCGCCTCCTGCCGCCCGAGCTTCTCGCGGATTAGCTCGTCGGCGAGCGAAGCCGCGCGCGCCTAATCTCGAGCAACCTCGCGAACTCCCCCGGGGGACCTCGCTAGACGCGGCGCCCAAGGCCGCACGCCTGCGCCGCCTCCGCAGCCCCCTCGGCGGCGCGCACCCGCTTGGCCGCCTCCGCCCCCGCCTCCGCAGCCGCGGCGGCGGCGGAGGTCTCCGCCTTCGCCACCGCCTCCGCCACCGCCCGGCCTCGCTCCACGTCCGCCGCTGCCGCCGCCTCGGCCAGAGCCGCCGCCGACGCCACCTCTGCCGCCGCCGCCCTCGAGGCTGCCGCGTCGAGGTCGGCTGCGGCGGCGGCGGTGGCGGCGGCGGCGGCGGCCTTGGCCTCCTCCACGGCGGCCTTCGCCTCCTCCGCGGCGGCGGCGCGCCCTTCCGAGATGCCACCGGCGTGCGCCTCTGCGGCGCGCGCAGAGGCGGCGGCGCGCGCAGCCTCGAGCTCCATGCGAGCCTAGCAGCATCTCCGGGAAAAGTCTGTGGATGGCTCCTGGAGAGGTCCGAGCCCCGAGCCGCACGCGGGCCGTCTCGGCGGCGGCCGTGGCCGCCTCCTCCTTGCCCTCCACCTCCGCCGCCTACAGACAAGCGCCGACGAGGATCACCGGCCAAGACACTTCTCCTCCTTGCCCGCGCCCGTCTCTGTCGCCCTCTCGGCCCTCATCGCCTCAATCTCGCGCCGGTGCGCCGCCGCCTCGGCGCGCGCAGACTTTGCCGCCTCCGCCTCCTCCCGCCGCAACCGCCCCTCCTCCGCCGCCGCCGCCGCCGCAGCCGCAGCCTCGGCCGCCAGCGCTTGTGCCCCCTTGACCGCCTTTGCGCCTTCCGCCGACGACGTCGCTGCGGCGTGCTGCGCCGCCTCAAGCTGCGAGGCGAGCGAAGACGCCTCTCGCACCGCCCGGCCAGTCGCCTCGCGCGCCTTATGAGTCAGTAGCCGGGATGAGCAGAGAGGAGACAAGGACTGCACACCGCCCGTCACTCGCGCGCCTCCGCCAGCCGCGACGCCGCCGCCGCCGCCGCCGCCTCCGCCGTCGCAGCCCTTGCCGCCGCCGCCTCGGCCGCCGCCTCGGCCGCTGCAACCTCCCGCAGCCGGCGTTCCTACAGGACGCGCCAAGAAAGTTCACGGAATGTTCCACGCCCTCGGCCGCGGCATCTCCCCCGACACGGCGCTCCCTCTCGTTCGCCGCAGACGCCTCGGCCGCCTCGGCCCGCGCCGCCGCCGCCGCCGCCGCCGCCTCGATCCGCCTTGCATCGACGGCGGCGCTGGAGGCGTCGGCGGCGGCGAGGCCCGTGGCGGCGCGCAGAGCGCCCTGGCGGACCGCGGCGGCGACAGCGGCGGCCACCTGCCTGCTCGCTGTGTCTGGGTCTGCCGCCTGCATCCGCCCCTCTGCGAGTTCCCTGCGGAGGATGGAGAGCGCCTCCTCGAGCGCCGCCAGGTCGCCCGCCTGCGAGCGACGCCTCTCCTCACCACTACTCTTCCCCATCACCCCCCTCCTCCCCTCACCGCGGTCCCCCCGCCTGCGAGCTGAGCCTCTGCGCCGCCGCCTCTGTCCGCTCGCGCGCCTCGGCCCGCGCAGCGCTGCGCGCGGTCCGCACCGCCTCCTCGGCCGCCTCTGCTCGCGCGACGAGCGCGTCGCGCGCGTGCGCCAGCCCCTCGCCGATCGCGCTCTTCCGCGCCAGCTCAGCGGACACGTGCCTGCGGTTGAGGCTTGCCTGCGGTCACAGGGACTGGTCCTTCCAAAAGGGCTGGTGCTCGGCTCCGACGTGCCGGTAGTTGAGCTGCAGGATGTGGTGCTGCGTCTCCAGGTCGCCTCCCTTGGTCGGGGGAGGGAGCGTCAGGTCGGACGCGCCCGTCGCCCGCGTCAGCAGCGCGCCTGCTCACAGCTGCAGGTGTGAAGAGACGCTGTTCGCAGCAGGCGCCAGGCGATTTGAGCGTCCGCAGCGCACCAAGCCGCCGCTCCGTCTCCGCCTCCCGCGCTGCGCAGGTGGCCGCCGCCTCCTCGGCCGCACGCCGCGCCGCCTCCGCCTGCCCCACGCGCAGCTCGAGCTCCGACACCTCCGCCGCCGCGTCGCGGTGCAGCGCCTTTGCGGCCTGCAGCTGCGCGCCAGACGCCCTCGCGAGCAGCCCGGCGCTCGGGTCGTCGCTGGAGCCGGCGGCAGCGGCCACGCCCGGCGGCGGCTCGCTCGACGCCTGCCGGCTGGCCTGCGCCTCCGCCCGCGCCTCCGCCGCCCGCTTCGCCTCGCGCGCCTTCCGCAGCTCGAGCTGCGTCGCCTCGAGCTTCGCAAAGAGCTTGCGCTCCATTGGCCCGCGGGCCTTGGCCTTGGCATCGTAGTCGGCGATCGTGGCCTTGGCTGCCGCAAGCTCCTTTGCCGACACCTCGGCCTGCTTGGCCATCTCCTCCATGTGCAGAGTCAGCACGGTCACTCGCCGATCGTGCAGATCGTACTCCTTGTCGCCGGTCACGCTCGTCCAGAGGCTGTCCAGCATGGAGGCGCCGTCGGAGGCTGAAGCAGCTGCACCAAACCACGAGCCAGTGCTCGCGCGTCGACTCATGGTGAGGAGTGAAGTGCGATTTCGGGCCCAGGGTTGTACGTATGTGAAGACTGCTCTCCGGCGCCGTGCAGCGGGCGCTTGAAAAAAGAATTAGGTGCCGCGAGGAAAAAACTTGGGTTGTCTGTTTTCTTTCTTTCTTTTAACAGAATCTTCCGTCAGCGTACGCAAAAATTAGAAGAGAATTCACACCCTCCCCGGAAACATGTAGCGAGCCGAGCTCACATCCCGCAGTGCCGGCGACAGTGGCGTCGCTCGAGTCGACGACAGCCGTGTGAGACGGAATGGCGACAGTCGCCTCATGTGCAGCGACCGGTGACGGCCGCCAGTACCTCAGAAGCCAAAGTCGTCGGCGTCGGGCCCGGTGAGGGGCGTGCCCCCGCGCCTCACAAGCTCGTCGAAGCCGAAGGAGCGCGGCGTCGGCATTGCCACCCGCGCAAGCATCGGCAGGATCGAGCGCACCGACGACTCGACCTGATCTCGGGCCATCTCGAGTCATCTCGCGTCATCTCGGGCCATCTCGGGGGTGATATCGGGGTGATATCGGGGGTATCTCGGGAGTAATCTCGGGGGTGATCTCGGGGGTGATCTCGGGGGTGATCTCGGGGGTGATCTCGGGGGTGGGCTCGACCTCGTTCTCCGACGAGGCGCCCGACGACTTGTCGCCGGCGTACCCCTCCTGGTCGAGGGCATCGCTCGGGCGGCTGTGGCCTAGAAAGAAGACGCGCGGACGAGATCAAGCAGCCGTGTACGCGGAGGTCGTCGCTTGGGCGCGGCCGCGACCGCTGAGCGCGAGCGGCCCGCTGCTCCGCTCCTCGTCGAAGGCAGACCCGCTCTCGAACGTTGAGCCGCGCCTGCAGAGCAGTGGTCCGGCAGGGGTCCGGCAAGGTGCCTCCGGGAAGGGGAGGCAAGCCTGTGAGGCGAGCCCCGCACCGAAGAGCGTCGAGCGAGGCGGCGCCGAAGCGGCCCAGCCCGAGTCCGAGTCCGGCCGGCGCGGCGCCAAAGGCGGAGAGAGCCGCGTCGAACGGGCTGCCGGCGAAGGGGCTGCCGGCGGGCGGCGAGAGGACCTCCTCGCCCTCGAGCCGGGAGGGGCCTACGCAGGGCAAGTCCGAGACGGCTCCGAGGCGGCTCCGAGGCGGGCCCATGCCCCGCCCCTCGAAGGAGGTGCGCGCGCCCGGCCAGGCCAGCGGAGGCTCTGCGCCGGCTCGCTCGGGGTCAGCTGCCGCCGCAGCGAGCAGGCTGGGCCAGGTGAGAGAGATGCGGCCTGCGGGGGGGAGGGGTGCGAGGCTGCTCCGAGGCTGTTCCGAGACGGCTCCGAGAGCATGCTGGGCCAGGTGGAGGCGCGACCGACGCAGACGACGGCGTCGCGGCGCGTGGCCTACGGGGACGTGTCTTGGACGCGTCTTGGACGTGTCCAGGAAAAGTGTCGGGTCGGGCGCGTGGCCTCGGGCAGCGCGTCAAAGTAGCGCGAGAGCGCCTGTGGGGAGGAGTGCGGGGAGTGGGGTTGCGGCGGGGCTGTGACGGGGCCGGGTGGATGGGAGGGGGGGAGAGGGGGAGGGGGGGAGGGAGAGGGAGAGGAGAGGGAGAGGGTGAGAGAGGGAGGGAGAGGGAGAGAGAGAGAGAGAGAGAGAGAGAGAGAGAGAGAGAGAGAGAGAGCGAGAGCGAGCGAGCGAGCGAGCGAGAGCGAGAGCGAGCAAGAAGCAAGAGAGAGCGCAGAGCAGAGCAGAGCAGAGGTGGGAGAGGGAGGGAGAGGGTCTGAGGGCCGAGCTCTGCTCCCCGCCTGCTCTCGCAGCGCCTCGCCCGGGACGAGGGCGGTGGAGAAGTGGAGGTGGCGGCCGGCAAAGACGACGTAGTCGCCCACGCCCGCCCGCCGCGCGATGAAGGAGCGGCGGCCGCCGCGCGGCTCGTGAACCTGCACCACGAACGCCTCCTCGTTGCAGCAGTCGTTGGCGCCGCACAGCTCGCGCGTGCACTGCGACTTGGAGGAGGCGGCGTGGAGGCGGAGCTGGCCGATCCCGGGCGCCCGCTCCAGCTCAATCAGCCCGATGCACGTCGAGTCGCTCAGCCAGCACAGCAGCGCGGCCCCGTGGTGCCGGTCCAGCGGGCTCGCGCCGTCGCCCGGCTCCTGCAGCTCCGACGCGTGGACCTCGGCGAGGGTGACCTGCGTGAACATGGCCTCCGGCCCACCGGCGTCGAGCGTCGCCTCCAGGTCCACCAACCGCGCGCGCTTGGCGCTCCGCGTGGCGAACCGGCGGCCGTGCCGCGTCGCCGCCGCCATCGCCGCAGCCTCTGCCGCCGACGCCTCCGCCAGGTCGGCGAGCGAGAGCGTGTCCATCAGGGTGTCGTCGGACGAGCCGGGCTGAGAGCTCGCCCGCCGCCGCCGCTGCCGCCAGCCGGTGGACTGCATCGGCGGCGAGCGGAGGTGGCTAATCCAATGGCCGGCTGGCGCCAACGACCCGCAGGGCTTTTTCTTCTTTTCGCCATGGCCTCACCACCGCTAACCAACCCCGACCCCGAGCACACGCAGAGCTCATCGCACGACTACACGCACCATCATGGAAACCATCTCTCTCTCTCTCTCCATCATGGAGAAAGGCACGATCACGACGACCTTCTCGCACCGCCGCTGTCTCTCCCGGCGGCGCCGCCGCCTCGAGCGCCCAGACATCAGCCTAGGCGGCGCAGCCGCTGACATAGACAGCTTTTGGAAAAAGCAAAATAAAGGAGAACGAAGAAATTTTGAGCAAAGGGCGACGTGGACGAGGAGATAAAACCGACGAAATCCGAAACGTCTGCAGGATCTTTCGGTTGCACACGCGACACGGACGCAAGGAGAGAGCTCTATCCCTCTCTCTCCGGACGCATGGACGCATGAACCTGCTTGCGATTCGGTGGGGGACTGAGGAGAGCTGAGGGAGGAGCTCTCCTCACTCCGGGGCTAAGCGATGCGGAGCGCTCCCAGTCCCGGTCCATATGTAATTAACAGTCTCTTGTGGTGGGCTCATTTGAGGCAAGAAGAAGTGTTCGCCGCCGTCGCCGCCGCCATCGAAAGGTCGCAGCACCTGTACTCGTACTGAATCTTGTCCTCTTCTGAGTAGGTCAATAGTTTGAACTGCTGCAGCGCCTCGTGACCCTCGCAAGCAACGTGATGCCTGTCGAGGTAGTGATAGTCGGTCTCGTAGGAGCCCGGTTCGTTTTCCACCCACCAGAGACAGGCAGGGTCGTAAGAGTGCGGCACATGGACTGGTCGAGCTTGGGCCAGTCGCGGCAGGTGAAATCGTAGTGAACCTGATCTTCTAATTTCACCAGCTTGAACTGAGAGAGCACCGTTCCCTCGCCACAGCTGACATTGTGGCGATCGAGATAGCGGTAGTCGTTCCCGTAGTCGTTCGGCACCGTTGTCTTCTTTTCGGCAGCAGACAGCTCCTCTACCGTCGGCTTCACGCACCGGTAAGCAAAATTGACTCGCTTCTTCGGCGGCGACGAGGAGGGTGAGGAAGGTGGCGGCGGGGGGGGACTCACGAGCAGAAACGAATTGAGGGCTCCAACTGGCCTCGCCACTGCAAAATTTCCCTCGCTTGGCTCGCAGCTGACGTCGTGCTTTTTGAGGTAATGGTATTGACGATCCTTCCAGAAGTGCCCGGGCGGCCCGTCATACTTTTTCATCGTGTAGACGTACTTCGATAGGATTGGGAGATGCAGGCGCGGGTCATCCTCGGGTTCGTAGCAGTTGCTGATCATGTCGTAGTTCATATCCTTGTAGTTTGTGCAGTACTCTTCCATGGCCTTCACCATGTTACCCTTCTTCGCGGCTGAGCTCTCGGGCATGCCGTACTCCGTGTCGAAGACACTCACGATTTCCTTGAGCTCAATGTGCACAGGCATCGGGTTGTCGCGGACTCTCGCCATCCACACCGACGTGTTATTGCTGAATTCTCCCCCGATGCTGTAAGCATCGTCGCTCGTACGCTTCTCTTCAAAGGACCGCTTCTGCTCTTCGGCTGTTGCGCGGCTCGCGCTGGCGCCGCCACTGAAGCCAAAGGCGGAGACGCTGGCCGCGGCTTTGATATCTAGATCGTGGCTCTCCATCTGGGCAAACCCAAACTCCGTAAAGTAGTGGTGTTTCCCATAGCGTCCTCCCATCAGCATATAGCCGACAAAGTGCGTCCCCCAATCCTTGATGAAGTGGTAGTACATGTCTTTGTCGTACGCATCTGGGAGGCCTGCCACTGCCGCGATAAAGTGGTCGCTCAACTTCGGGCCACTGGCCAACATCAGCCTGGCTGAGTACACCTCGCAAAATGCATCGCTCATCACTGTCACGGTCCTCTGTGACGAGTCAGTCGACTCCTGCTTCTTGAAATCAGCGCTCGCCTTGAACTTTGCGCCCCAGCCTTCCCCTTCCACGCTGGCCGACTCCTGCAGGTGCTTCTGGTAAGACTTCGTTCCGCTCATAATCTTGGAAGTGAACGTCGACTGACATGCATCCATGGTGGAGTCGATGTGACTGCCGTCCGGCATCTCCCAGTTCTTGTCGTCGGGGGTGGTATCGCCATCTTCATAGGAGAGCTCGAAGATAGGCGACGTCTTGAAGCCAGGGTCGGGCCCTTCCGTGGAGAGAGGGTTGCCCAGTATGACATCGTAGCCGGATCCGAGTTTTGTGATGCCAGCAGGCTTCACGGCAAACGCGAGCGCGGTCAGGATGGTGGCTACCATGAGGGATGAGACCTGAGGCGATGAGCCGGCGAGGCGTCAGTTTGACGCAGCGACAGCGCATGTTCACGTGTACAGGGCGAAGCCGAGGTAGCGAGGCGCGAGAGGAGCCGTGCGGGGAGGGCCCGAAGAAGGGCGTGGGGCAGGCGAGTGCCGCGGTGGTGTTGTGGTGGCGATGCAGATTAGCAAGACTCCTACAGGAGCTTGGCCGCTTGGGCACCGGCGCCAAGGTGTCGCGCTGATTTCATCGGCAATGCCGTGTCACGACCTTCGCGTGGTCTCGAACACCTTCGTACCACATCGGAATGATAGTCGTTTCTTTGGTTACCGATCGAGTACAGTCGCCTTGCAACACCGCTCTGTGCTCTCGTGTGTGTCTCGCTGTCAGGACACAGGAGACGGAACACGGAGGAGCTGTGTATGTATAGGTCACTAGAGACCCACACCATCGGCATCGCTACATCACCACAGCCACCAAGTCGGCAAACACGTTTGTTTGTTCATTCTTCCAAGTCGGATACACAGAGAGAGAGAGAGAGATTTTTAGCAATACCAAACAACTCTAACACTCACATTGTTTGTTCGGATACAAGTCGATGACAATGTGCGCGGCAGGACAAACCAAACATGAGACGGTTACACAAGGACGGTCAGGCTACAGTCAGGAAGTAGGTTTGAGTTCACACTCTCCAACACGCAGAGCGCAGTGCGCCGGGGCACCTGCCTAGCGGCTGAAGGTTTGACTGGTCCCCAGGGCCTCCAGGGCTCGCACCTCAACCTCTCATGGATAGACCAGCGCACAGCGATTTACCTATTTTCTTCTCAAAAAGAAGGTCTGTGAACGCAGTGATCTGTGATCTGTGAGGGTCCGCCCGCAGGCGCATTTTCCTACCTAGTTGTCCGGCATGCGAGGGCATGCTCGGCCGTTCGGAGTCCCCCCCGTCGTAGAGGACGTCGGAGGGAGGCGAGGACGACTGTCTCCGCAGGCGGACCTCAGTTACGAGCCGCCCTCCCCTCGAGACGCGAGGCCAGCGCACACTTGGGGCCGAGCCCCAGCGTGCACCGTCCCACACGCCTCACGCGGCCTCTGGCTGGAACGGGGTCGCAAGCGAGTCCCCCAGGCCGGCGCGCGTCTTCCGGGAGCGCAGTGCGAAAAAATCGAAATGAGGAAGAAATGGAAATGTTAATAAAAAACGGAGCGGCCTCGTGGATATCGAAGAAGAAAAGAAATCGAGCGCTTTTGCGCGAACCCGCGAATGGAACCCGCGAATCACCCCGTTTTTGCCCATTTTCGGTCATCCGTCAAAATATCTGAAGATCTGAATGGGGGATTCTCCCCAAACCTTGCTCAGCTGATCCAGCATGGGTCGTAGGCCAGGCCTGGGCAAAGAAACCAGTGCCTCATCAGGCTTCCCTGAGCGTCACAGCTCGGTGATCGCGCCGGCCGGACACCACTGTGACGTCCGTTCCGGGCATTTGAACGCGACCTTCGGGGGCAAAGACATGGGCTCTATGGCTCAGACTGGACTCCTCTTGGTCCCTTCTGATGCCCTAGGCCATACCTGGGCCTTACCTGGGGTTCTAGGGGCCGGGCAGGGTTTGCCCACCTAAAGGGGCCCGAAGAACCTGAAGGTGCATGCACATGTACATGTACATGTTGTTGTGCATGTGCATGTTTAAAACGGAGGGAAGGGTGCAGAGCTGCAGAGAGTTACGAGTTAGAAACGGGAAGCAATTGCGTGAGGGGGGGGGGGGAGGGGGGGTCTTGATTGAGAAATCTGAAGCCATCGCTCAGCCTCAGTCAGGAGGCAGGTTGATGTTATTGAATTTAACTTGAGGGCAAAAGAGAAAATATTTGGCGATCGATGCCGAACCTACCTCGCGCGCGCGCGCGGCAGCGCGCGAAGCGAAAATTCCAGCGGCGAGCAGTTCGGTGTGGCCTCTCGGGCCATAACACCGTGGATCCGGGACGGCTCTCTCATAGCAGCCCATAATAACATGTTATGGGTGTTATGGGTGTTATGGGCCCTCATAGCAGCCCATAATAACATGTTATGGGTGTTATGGGTGTTATGGGCCCTGTTATTATGGGCTGCTATGCCCCGAGAGCCATAACACCATAACAATAACTGTGTCTGGCGGGGCGGTTCCGGATCCCCCAGGGTATTCCGAGCGGGTCCATACGGTGGCAGCCCCGCCGGCGGCGGGGGTGGAAATAGAAAGAAAGAAAGAAAACAGACAACCCAAGGGAGGGATGGGAGGACGGCACGCCGCCACCACACAGGGATTTTAAGGAGAGGGGTGTGGTGCGCTAGCCGTCGCCCACCCTTGGGCGTCCGCCTCTTCCTATCTCACTTCGCAGTCTCTCTCCGATTCTCGCTGCAACCTTCGTGCCACCTCGCGGTCTCGTGGAGGCGGCGGGGGGCTCGCATGAATTCTTTTCCATGGCCGTTGGGCGTTCTGACAATGGCTGATTCGCCCGAGGTGGCGGATGGCAGCCAGGCAGCGGACCACCCGCCACCCGCCACAGCAGCCAAGGCCGACGACTGCCGGCCGCTGCTCCTCTCCATGTGCGACACGCTCAAGCGCCTCTTTGTGCACTGCGAGGAGAACCGGCGCGCCGACATCACTCAGCAGGTGGTCGAGGCGCTCGCCATGTGCCAGGAGGACTTTAGCGAGCTGCACGAGGCGCTGCTGTCTGGAGAGGTGTGGACGCTCCGCGAGCCGCTCTCTGCAATGTCCAACTCCTCTCTCGTGCTGACGGCGCACGAGGCCGGCGTCGGTCTAGTGGCGGAGGCAGCAGAGGGGACGGAAGGACGGAGCGGCGGCGGCGACTGCGGCGGCCAGGACAGCGCCGGCGGCGGCGATGGCGTCGTCGGGTCGCGAGTGCCAGAGGATGGGGCGGCGGCTGGCGTCGAGACGGCCTCCCAGAGCCCCGGCGCAGGAGGAGACGAGGCGCCGCTCGACTCGCCGGCGGCGCACGCGCAGATGCTGGCGCAGCTCGAGAGCCTCGACATGGAGATGCTGCAGGAGGCGGCGGCGTACTTTGACGTGTCGCAGGTGCAGGCCAAGGGCGGACGGAAGGGACCGGCGGAGCTGTTGCCGCGCGAGGAGCATGAGTCGCTCTACCTGCGGCGCGCCACCGCCGAGGGGAGGGAGAGGAGCGCTCGCGCCTTCCTCGCCACGCTCAGCCAGATGATGCTCGAGGCGCGCCCCTCCCCTCCCACCGCCCCCCCACACACGCCCCGTCGAGCGACCACCTCTCTCTGGGCGCGCCTTGTCCTCGCCTCGCCCCCGCCATTGCCCGCCAAACCGCCTCTCTCTCGCCCTCCCAACGCGCAGGTGGCGACCAGCCGCGCCGGCCGCTCGGCCTCTGCCTCCAGCTGCGGCATCCGGGCCGGCGGCGCGCCCGAGGAGCCGCCGCAGCGCCTCTCCACCTTCCTCTCCCCTCCCTTCTCACGGTGAGCAACATGTCTTCTTCTTCTAGGAGCCGGAGCAGGGCCTGTCCGGCTTCCTCTCGCCCGAGCGGCGCGCCGCGTCGCCGCACGCCTCCTCCGCCCCCGCCTCGCCGCGCGCGGGCGGCCGCGGCGCCGCGGGCGGCGGCGAACTCGAGGGCGGCTTGCGCGGGGAGGAGAGGGAAAACGAGGGGTGGGAGGTGTTCGCGCGAAGAGCCGGAAGGCTGCTCCCCTCGCTGCGCGTCTTCACACCTCCACCTGCGATCAGGACCCGCGCGAGAAGCGCCGCTCGCGCCGCCGCCGCTTGTGGGAGACGTCGCCGCCAGACGCGCGGCCAGGCGCGCAGTCAGGCGGAGCGGGCGCAGGGACGTCCGACGCAGAGGCATCCGCGCCCCTCGCCGAGGCATCCGCGCCGCTCCCGGCGCCTCCGCCCCGCCGCCCCCCCGCGCCGTCCTCCGCGCCGCCCACCGCCGCACCGCCGTACGCCGCCCCGCCGCCGCCCGGCACGCCTCCGGCTGCCGATGCGGCTGCCGGCGAAAATTGCGGCGAGAGCGCGGCAGGCGGGTGCGGCAAGGCGGCGGCGGCGGGTCGCAGCCCGCCGACGTTGCCGACGTTGGTGGTTGAGGTGGACGGCGCTGCTGCCACGCACGCCGCCGCAGCCGTCGCTAGCGCGGGGCGTGTCGGCGAGGCGGAGGACGGCCCGCGCGCCGCCCTTAGCGACGGCGGGCTCGCCGCCAGCGAGGGCCCCGCGAGCCCTCCTCGCAGCGACGGAGGGGTGCAGGGCCCCGCCTCGCCGCGGGAGCGGATCATCCCGACGTGGACCGCGTGGCGCGACGAGGCGGCGGCGGCGGCGGGCGCGGCGGGCGACGAGCCGGCGGCCGCCACCGCGGGCGAACTTTCCGCCGGCGGCGGCGTTGAGCCTCCCGACGGGACTCGCAAGCCCCTCGCCGCGAAGAGCTCCAACAAGGCTCTCCGCCGCCGCCGCCGGCCCCCGCCCCCTCCGTCGCTCCTTCCAAGCACGCCGCCCAGCCGCGAGCCAACGAGCTCCAAGGCCACACCCACACCCGCCGCCCCTGCCGCCACCACCGCCGCTTCTGCTGCCACCACCGCCGCCGCCACTGCCCCCGCCGTCGCCACCACCGCCAACGCCAACGCCACCGTCGCCCCTGCCGCCACCTCCACCGCCCCTGCCGCCACCACCACCGCCCCTGCCGCCGACGCCGCCGCCGCTGTCTCCGGCGCCACTGCCGTCTCCGCCGCCACCGCAGCTGGCGGCGGCGAGGAGGGGTCGCCTTCCAGGAGCGACGTGCGCGACAAGGGGCCGAAGGTCTCCCGAGCGAGGGGCCGGAGGAGCTGCGGACATGCGTGTGTGCGAGTGGCGTGCTTGGTTCGTGCTTAGGTGTCGCCTCGCAAGGGGTCGGAGGAGCTGCGGCAGGCGGCCGCGCTGAGGCATGCGCGCGCCGAGGCGCAGCGCGAGCGCCTGGCGGCTGAAGAGGTGCGCGAGCACAGCGTCCCTACACCTCCCCTCCCCTCCCTCCACCTCCCCACCTCCCCTGGCGTTTCCTCGCCTGCGCGGCAGGCGGAGCGGCTGCGGGCGGTGCGAGGGCGCGAGGAGGCGGTGCGCTCGCGCAAGGAGGCGCAGGCGGCCGAGAAGCGGCTCGCCATGGAGCGGCGCCTTGCGCGCGCAGAGGCTTCTCGCGGCGAGACGGTTGCGGACAAGGTCAAGACACTTCCCAGACACTTGCTAGACACGTCGCAGACACTTCCTGAACCCTTGCTAGACGCGCTCGCGGAGCTTCTCCACGCCTCCCCCTCCCCACGCCTCCCCTCCCCCTCTCCGCGCCCTAAAGGTGTGCCGCGCGCGGGCGGAGATCCGGAAGGTGGACGAGGTTGCCTTCATCAACAAGGCCAGCGACGCCCCTCGGCTCGGAGGCCAACCCCCAGCGAACCCCAGCGAACCCCAGCGAATCTCTCGGCTGCAGGTGCGCGACGACCCCGCATTGAGCTCGGAGGCGGCGCGTGTGGTCGACGCGCGCGCCGAGGCGGCGTACGCTCGCTGGACAGCCTCCATCGAAGGGCGAGCCTCGCGCGCTGCCGAGGCGTCGCCCCGCGCACGGAGGGAGAGAGAGCCATCCCCCGCGTGATGCCCACCGCCACTGAGAGTGGTGTGCTCGCGCAGGCGTCGCGCCGCCGGGAGATCGCTCTCGAGTCGCGCAAGGGCGAGCTCGCGACCGAGCAAGCGGCGCGCGCGCTCAAGGCGCGGGAGAGGGAGCTGAGCGCCAACGCGCGCCGGCTCGCGATGGTGCAGGCGCTGCTCCTGCAGCGGCGAGAGCGGTCCGAGCGACGCGAGTCAGCGCTGCATGAGGTGCCCCTCCCTTACCTCCCCCCCCCCCCCCCCCCTCCTCCCCCTTCAAACGGCACTCGAGCCCTCCCAGCCCTCCTACCCCTCCCGCCACACCAGATGCACCACCGCCCGCCCACACCACCACCATGCCCGCCCCCTCCCCTCCACCACCCGCCACAGGTGCGCGAGCGGCGCGCGACGGACAACTCCGACGCCGAGGGGCTGGAGGGCGACGCGGGCAGGAGGAAGAAGTCTCGCCCGGGCCGGCGTGGCCGCCCGGACGCGCGCGCGCTGGCCGCCGTGAGCGAGTCCGAGTCGGCGCACGGCTCCGCCGCACCGCGTGGAGAGAGTCGAGGCGCAGCCAGCCCGCTCCGCGCGCGGCAAGGCGCCGCCAACGTCCCGCACGCGCCGGGCGGCGTCGACGGCGCCAGCCAGGGCGGCAAGCAGCAGCCGCACGCCGCACGCAGCGCGTCGAGCCCGGTCGCTGGCCGCTTCGAGCACCGCGGCGCGTTCGGCGCCCTCCTTTGCGCGTCAGAGACGGACCAGACGGACGCCGAGGCCGACGCCGCTCCCACCGCGACCGACGAGGCTAGCGACGCGGTCCCGCAGGCGGCCGCAAAGGTGTCCAGCGGCGACAGGGGCGGCAAGGGCGACGGCGGCGGCGGCGGCGGCGGCGCGGTGCCGGCGGCTGCAGAGGCCGGCACGAGCCGCGGCGGTGACGGCACGCTCAAGAAGGGCGCGCCGGCGGCTCCTCCGCCGCCCACGTTCGAGCCTGAGCCCGAGGTGGTGCACGCGCAGCGCGCGCGTCAAGAGAGGATCATGAATCACGAGTCGCTCATCACTCACAGGTGCGGCGCAAGCAGCGCGCCCGGCTGAAGAAGGTTCGGTCGAGGATGGCGGCGACGGCGGCGTCGGTCAGGAGCGAGGACTTGGAGCCGCTCTGGTCGGTCGGCGGCGGAGGGCAGGGAGGGCACGGCGGGCGGCGGCTGGCGAGGCTTTGCGCGAGCCTCTCCGAGGTGTGCGGCCAGCCCCGCTCGGACGGCGCCGAGGCGGCGGCGAGCGAGGCCGCCAAGCTGCTCGAGGCGGGCCGGGAGAAGGAGCTGCATGCGGCGCGCACGCTTGGCGCGCTCGACGCTCTCTCCGAGCTCGCCGCCGGCATCGACGGCGCAGGCTGGCCCATGCCGCCCCGCCGCTCCACACAGGCATCCAGAGGAGCCGGCGGGACAACCGCACCCCCGTTCCCTTTGTTGCGGAGCCTCTCGCTCCACTTCTAGGCGGCGGCGACGCGCGCTCTGCTTGCGGCGGCCGCCCTGCCCTGCAACCGCGTGCACCTCCTCCTCCGGAGCCATGTCGTGGCGGGCCTCGCAACTTGCACTCTCGCGAGCGCCGTCCAAGCTGCGCGGCCCGACGCTTGCGACGCCTCCGAGCCCGAGCCAGCCACGAGCGGCGAAGGGGGCGGGGACGTCTGCTTGCTGCCGGCGCTGCTGCGCTTGCTGCGGCTGCTCATCACGCCGTTGCCGCCGGGGCTCGCCGTGCGGGGTGAGTTGCGGGCGGCGCTGTCGAAGCTGCGAGCGGACCTGGTGACGCTGCTGGTCGTGTCTGGCGGCATGAAGTCGCTGCAGGAGCATTGCGCGCGTCGCGCGGCGACGCTTGCCCAGGCGACGGCGCACGGCGCATTGCTGCGGCAGTACGTCGCCTTGCTGCACGCGCTGCTCCTGCCGGTGCACCTGTCAATGAATCACAAGTAATCATCATTGTCATTACTAAACTACACATTTCTGACTGATAGGTGCACGAGGACCCCGCGGGAGCCTCGTGCGCGTCGGTGTTCAAGGAGTTCCTCCGCTCGTCGTGCGTCTGCGGCTTGCCCGCCCTCGCTTGCGCCATGCTCGTCGAGGCGTCGCAGCCCGGCGGCGGAGTCGCTCCCCGCCCAACGCTCGGAGCCGCCGCCGCCGTCACCGCGAGGCCGCCGCCGGGGCGGGCCCGGGTGCGCCCTTGCGCGGCGGTGCTATCGGTGTGCCGCTCGGCCGTCCGCTTGCTCGCCCACGTCGGTTCCGTCGACGCGCCGCTGCTGCGCGGCTTGCTCTGCGGGGGCGAGTTCAAGGCGCAGCTACTCCACCTCGTCCACCTCGCGCTCGACCTGTCCGAGGACGCCAACATTCGCGGCGGAGGCGGCGGAGGCGGGAGCGGTGGAGGCGGCGGCGGGAGCGGCGGCGGAGGCGGCGGAGGCGGAGGCATGGGCGAGGAGCGCGTCGGCAGTGCGGAGGAGGTGGGGTCGCTGCTGCACGAGCTGCTGCTCGTGCTTGGCATCTTCGTGCACGGCTCGCGCGCCAACGCGGAGCTGCTGCGGTGGAGGTGCGGCGAGCGGCCCACCATGCTGCAGCGGCTCGTCTCGCTGCCCTTCCGCTACTGGTGCGTGCCGGCGCTGCGCCGCGTGCTGCTGCCGACATTGCTGTGCGGCTGCCTGCACGACCCGACCAACACGCAGATCCTGTCGGCCTCGCTCCACCCGGCGCACCTGGTCCGCTTCCTGCAGGAGGAGACGGAGTCGGCGGGCGACTCGCCGAGCGGCGCGACGCCCGCCGCAGTCCTCCTCCCCGACCCGTCGGAGCTGCCAATCGTTAACATGGACTATGCGCTCTCGGCCCGGCTCCCGAGAGAGGAGTGGGCGGGCGCCATCGCATTCTTCTCTCGCCAGCCCGCGTCGCCAAGCTCCACGGCCAGCTCCCCGCCGGCGGCGCGCTCGGTCGACGGAGAGGACTGCCCATCGGCCCTCTGTCTCGCGCAGCAGGCGGCCTGAGAGAGTCGGACTCCAGGGACATGGGGATTCTGGCATTCTCTCCAAACATACAGGGTGTGACATGTACATGCAAAGTGAAACTCGTGTTGAATTTCCGACATGCTTCTGGCGTGCACGTGTACTGTAATACTCACAAATGACAAAAGCATGTGACACCATGATCCATGTGCCGTGTGCCGGCGCGAGCCAGCAGCCACATCCTCTTACTTAGCTGTTGGCAGCGAGTGACGATATGACCGACCTCGTGATGTCACCAAAGCGGTACTGGCTAACCCGCCGTGCTAAGCCGCGTGTCCAGTCACCAAACTCGTAGTCCTGATTGCCAGTCACGGCGCGTACCACGCTAGCTGTGAGATCGCCGAACCTGTAGCGCCACTCCTCCTCGCTCGTCTCACCCTCGTCCGCAGCGCGCTCTTCCTGCATTCTCCGAAGGTCATCGTCGTATGCCGCCTTGTGAGTGCTCATCAGCACTTCATACGCGCCCTGCACCCTCTTGAAGGCCTCGCTCGCATCCGGCGAGTCATTCTTGTCGGGATGCACGAGCAGCGCGCAGTCGTTCCGAGCCCGACGGATTTCCTCCACGTCGTCAGTGAAGGCGGGGAGATTGAGCACCTCGTACAGGTCTCTCGCCTGCAGGATGCGATCGACGGCTTGCACGGCTGATGGCATTCGATCCTGTAGAGTCCTTACCCAAGTACGTCAACGTGTCGCCGTCCGTCCCGCCGTCGTCTCCGCCGCCTCCAGCGGAGGTGTGCGTGCATGCGATCCCGTTCCAGGCGTGTCCGGCATACCTGGGGAGGTGGAGGTGCAGCGTCCAAGAGCAGATTGTTCTTACTGCCTTGGGGCAGGGGTTCGAGGAGGGAGCCTGCGAGTTCCCCGAAGGGGGCAGCTTCCTGGAGATGGGCGGAAACAACGGCCTGCACGAGAGCAACACCCGTTGCCTGGAGGCGTATTTTGGCTGGAGCGGGTACCTCATCGAGGCAAACCCGCAGCTGTATCGGGACTTGTGCCGCAACCGCCCAAAGGCGGTTGGGATGAGCCTTGCCGTATGTCCACGCGCAGGGACGGTGAATCTCACCATACCTGTGCGCCACAAGGACCGTTACGGACGCAAGAACGGCACGTTTGCAGCGGCACCAGCTGCGGGGATTGCTGAGTACTTTGGCCGTGCGCACAATGCGACCTTCCGCGTCGACGATGCCGCAGTCACGCGGCAGGTCCCATGCCTGCCCCTCCACTCAATCATCTTGGGCAACCAGGGCCTGGACTACCTTAGCGTCGACGTGGAGGGCGCGGAGATGATGGCACTGCAAACCTTCCCGTGGGAGCGCATCAAGCCTCGAGTCGTCGGCGTGGAGCAGAGCGCCGATTCTCAACCAAAGAACGCGGCAGTCAGAGGCCTGCTGAGGGAGAATGGCTACGCGCTGGTGGGAACGGCGGTGACTTGGTAAGCCTACACCCAACCCCTTCCCTTCCTCCCACCCCCGCTGATAAAGACGTGGCGCGTGCGCAGGAACGGCCACATTGGAGACGAGTTCTTCATGCCCCGCGCGCTCGTCGGGCGAGGCTCGCTCGAAAGAATTGGTTGAGCGTAGCTTTCAAGCGTTTGTTCGCACACGCAGACGCGATTTTCCCTTTGTTTTTGAGAGCGCCTGCAGAAAGAAAGAAAGAAAACAGACAACCCAAGGGAGGGATGGGAGGACGGAAAGCCGCCACAACAAAAGAAAGAAAGAAAGAAAACAGACAACCCAAGGGAGGGATGGGAGGACGGCACGCCGCCACCACACAGGGATTTTAAGGAGAGGAGTGTGATGCGCTAGCCGTCGCCCACCCTAGGGAGTCTGCCTCTTCCTATCTCTTTTCGCAGTCTCTCGCCGATTCTCGCTGCAACCTTCATGCCACCTCGCGGCCGTCCCATTCTCGTCGTTCTCTCCCTTGTCACTTCCTCCGTCGCGTCATTCTCTTCCGCCTCGTCCTGCGCCGCCGCCGCCTGCCGTTCCCTTGTTCTCTCGGCTTCTTTCGCCTTTCGGCGCAGCTCCGCCCTCCTTGCTGCATATCCTGGCCCCTCGAGTCTATCGAGCTCCCCTCGCGCAAGGACCACATTTCTGACTCCCACTCCGATCATTTGCCTACAGGTCATGTTGTTGCTCAGGTCCACTCTCTCTTCGAAGACTCGTGACAACAGCCGCCACAACACAGGGATTTTTATTCGATCGAGCGTTTCTTTTTACTCGAGTTCACACGCTGGCGGTGGGCGCACACTTCCGCGCTCCTGCCCTCTTCGCGAGACTCATCCAGAGCCGCCACCATGGCCGACCAGCACAAGGCAGCCGGCAACGAGTCCTTCAAGGAGGGCCGCTACGCAGAGGCGGCGCAGCACTTTACAGCCGCCATCGACCTCGACCCGGGCAACGCGGTGCTGCGCTCGAATCGCTCAGGCGCGTTTGCGAGCCTGGGCAGGTACGCCGACGCGCTCGCCGACGCCGAGGAGGCCGTGGCGCTGCAGCCAGACTGGTCCAAGGGCTACTCCCGGATGGCGGCCGCGCTCTACGGCCTCGGACGCTACGCCGAGTCTGCAGACACGTTTCAGCGCGGGCTGCAGGTGGACCCGTCGAACGCGCAGATGACACAGGCGCTGCAAGACGTGTCGGCCAAGCTTGCCGCTGCGCAGGCGCTCCACGAGGCTGCGGCCGCCGGCGACGCGCAGGCCGTCGGCGCCACGCTGCAGTCGCGAGTCCACCCGGAGGGGTGCGTCAGCCTTTAGATGCTTAGGGTCGGGGCGAAGCGGCTCTTGCTACGAGTATGTACATCGGCGCCGCACTAGACAACACCCGCAGTTCGTAGACTCAGCGTATTCACGCACCAGGTTCGTTGGACCGGACGGGGCGACGCCGCTGATCGCCGCGGCACGCGCGGGCTGCGCCGGTGCGGTGCAGCGGCTCCACGACGCCGACTAGTCAACTACCTATGAATTCATGATTGGTTATCAGGTGCGGTGCGGCAGCTCCTCGACGCCGGCGCGCGGCCCGAGGCGCGTACGCACGCCGGCGAGACCGCGGCAGCCATCGCCCGCCGGCTGGGCCACGAGGAGGTCGCGGCACTTCTTCCGCCAGACGCACCCGCCGACACGCCCGAGGCGCCGCCGCCGCAGCAGCAGCAGCCGCCGCAGCAGCAACCGCAACCGCAGCAGCAGCGCGCGCCCTTTGGAGGCGCGTCCGGCCTCTTTGGCGCCGCCGCAAAGTTTGCTGGCGAGCTCGGCGCCGCCGCGGGCGATGCTGCGGCCGCTGCCCGCCGAGAGATCGCGGAGAGGGCCGAGCGCAGGACTGCGGGGCTTGGCGGCGGCCTCGGGGGCGACGGCGGAGAGGCGGGCGGCGGGCAGGCGGCGGCGGCGAGGGCGGCGGCGGCGAGGGCGGCGGCGGCGACGGAGGCGGCGGAGAAGGTGGCGGCGGGCGTGGCGGCAGCGGCTGCGAGTGCGCCGGAAGAGGAGGAGGAGGGTGGTGTCGCGCGGGACGCAGACCAGCTGAGGGCGGTGCTGGAGGCGGAGGCGGAGACGCGGAGGGTGCTGGAGGAGCAGGAGCGTGAGGCGGCCGCCGCGCTGGCGGTGGTGGAGGCGGAGGAGGCGGAGGAGCGAGGCCGGCGTGCCGAGCAGCTCAAGACGGACGGGAACGCTGCCTTCCGCGAGGCGCGGTACGCCGAGGCGGTGAGGCTCTACTCGGCCGCGGTGGAGCTCGAGCCGGAGAACGGCGTCCTCTTCTCGAACCGCTCGGGCGCGCTCACCGCCCTCGCCTCGTACGACCTCGCCCTCGCCGACGCCGACCGCTGCACCGCCCTGCGGCCCGACTGGCCAAAGGGCTTCGCGCGCCGCGCCGCGGCGCTGCACGGCCTCCGCCGCTTCGCGCTGGCGGTGAACGCGTACGACGCCGCCCTCGCCCTCGACCCGTCCGACGGCATCCTCGTCACGGCGCGTCGCCAGTCGAGTTTCGCCCTCGCGATCGAGACGTGAGCGACGCGCACAGCAGAGAGTTTGCAGCTTGGCCGAGTGCGAGTCCAGCTGTGAGATGTCATGTGCTACACGCGCCGACGCAGTCACGCAGTGTTCCAAATGGACAAGGCGAGTTGGCGCTTAATTTTTGAAAGATGTTCATCGCATGCACAAGTATCCCAGGCGCCGCGCAACACACTCAGCATAATACGCCATGGAGAAGTTTGTTCGAGACCTCGGGAGCGGCCGGCTATTCACAGCTGGGCAGTGTGGTTTGGGCCGGGCAGGGCAGTGTGGGTTTCACACCCGGGGCAGGTAGGGGATCGGGCAGGGCAGTTGTGCGGCAGTGTGCGGGCAGGGCAGTACGGCAGGGCAGGGCAGGGCAGTTCCAGTTGGGGTCATAATTGCAGGGCTGAGATTCGGGATCTCAGGTGGTGAAAAAAAAGGGGAGACAATTGCTGTGAACATGAAATTTGAATAACAATCTCAGTGAGATGTGTGAACATGACGGCCGATCGACGAATTACACGCGCGAGCTTGCGAGCTCATCTGCATCTCAATCAAATCTCAGAGGGAGCGCCGTGTGTATCTTGATGCGTGACACTGCACTACGACTACTCCTCGTCCGACGAGTACTCCGTCTCGCCCTCCCACGCCACGACGGCGCCGACAGGAATGGTCATTATCTCTTTATACCTGGGGTATATGGTAATCTTAGAGGTCTGCCTGGTAAATGGAAGCTCCTGGCGCCTGTCCGACAGACTCAACGTCCACGACGCCATCGGGCTCCATCTTTGACATCCTGTCACTTGGCATGCCGGGCGTGGAAGCACAACGCGGGCTCTTCCTCCTGCTGCAGCTGCATGTGCAGCAAAGGTACGCCACAAGATTAACAACCAGTAGAAGAACCACTCCAACCAAGGTCGGGATCACAACTGGGGGAGAGACCCAGCCGCCCTTGGTCGGATTTGGGTCCTCCTTGACCTCGACTGTTAAGGCGCCTTCGACGGAGGCCCCCACCGTAGCGAGGATGGTGCTCACCGCCTCTTCGAAGCGTTCCTGGCCTGCCGCTCCGGAGTACGAGGCGAGTCTGCGTTGCGCCGTGACCGCCTCCTCACCCGGTAGATCTCGCATCTCGAGTGCGGGATCCAGTGCCCGGGAGGCAAAGGCAGGCGGTAGGACACCTCGGGCGCGCCGCTGAATGCGATCGAGCTCCCTTGGCTTGCCGTTCCGCTCTCCAGCAGGGTCCCGTTCTCCAGCGTCAAGCGCCCGCTCGAAATGTAAACGAGGCCGCCTTCCTCGGTGGCAGTGCTGTCTGCGAGACGGACCCGGTTCAGTGTGGTCTCGCTGTCCGTCCCACCGTCAATGTGCAGAGCCCCACCCTTGACTGCGCTGCAGCCGGTAATGTTGACCTCGCTCAGCTCCACCTGGGGAACCTTGACAGTCCTGATGGCCCCGCCCAAGCCCTGGGCGTTCTCGCCTTCTATACCAGTCTCAGTGCTGCAGCGCGTTATCTCCACCGACTCCAGTCGCAAGCTGCCTCTGGCGGCGGAAATGGCTCCGCCAGAGTTCCCAGCGTAGCAGTCCTGTATGCGAACGTCACGCAAGCTCGCGCTTGAATCATCCATGCGGACCGCACCGCCATCAGCTTCCGCCTGGCAATTCGCCAAGACGAGCCCTTCCAACCAGAGCGTTGCCTTGTTTTTCAGGATAAAGAGGCTGTCCAGCGCATCGGTGCCGTCGATGGTGGCGCCAGTGATGCTGCCTGAGCTGCGGATGGTGACGTCTACTCCGTCAAGGACGAGAGACTGGCTGAGCCTGACGTTCGCGCCGGGCTGCAGGTAGATGTATGTCGTGTTTTCCCGGACGGCCAGCTGTAAGGCGGCGTTGCCACTCACAAAGACCTCGCCCGGAGAGAGCGGAAGGAGGGGCGGCAACGGCGGCGGCTTTGGTGGGTATGGAACTGGCGGTGGCGCACGTGGCGGCGGTGGCGACGGTGGCAACGGTGGGGGCGCCGGTGGGGACGGGACGGCGGGCGGAAGCGGGTTGTTGAGACGAGTGTACGCGATCTCAGGCCCGCCACAGTCATTGCAGTCGGTGCCGAGAGCGCAAGCCGAGTTGATGGAGCCTTGCCCGCCATCGTCGCATGAACCGTCGTTGCTGAAGGCGCACGAGTCTGAACAGCCCGGCGGCGGCGACGGTGGCGGCGGCGGCAGCGGCGGTGGCGCGCTCGGTGGCGGGCTCGGAGGAGGAGGGGAGGGTGGCGGTGAAGGTGGTGGCGGGGACGGAGGCGGCGGCGAGGGTGGAGGCAGGGAAGCGAGAGCGCACAGAGACAGGGCAGCCAACATGGAGAAGACGCCTTTGGGGTTTTGGCGGCGTGTCGCGATTATGTGCCTTGGCGTTCGTTTTCTTTTTCTTGTTAGAAAGCGAACCCAACCGATTCTGACTCCGACCATGGGCGGAATGACGATATCTAGCCGTGTGTGCTGGCGTGAGTGTGTGTGTGTGACCGCGGCGCAGCCACAGTGCCTCGGCGATGCGCCTCCGGCTGCTTGCTGCGGCGAGTGTGGCTCTGCTCGCTGCGATGGCGAAAAACTCGTCTCGTCGCACACCAAGAGCTTACGCTCTCTGTCGAGATGTGAGGCGCTTGCGGCCCAGGAGGGGAGGGCGCATGCGTAGCGACGCTGCTAGCGATGCCTTTCGGGGCCCAGAGATAAAACTTCTGTAGGGGATGCCATGCCCGTGACCTAGTTAGTGTCCCCAGCTATGGGCGTGTCCACGTTGGAGTCAGGTGTGGTGTGGACGCGAGAATAGCTCCGCCGTTCATGGAGGCAACCGATGCGCGAGTCGACTGACAACGACTCGGGTGTGTCCGACACTGTGGAGTGTCGAGTGTGTGATGTGGTGTGTTGTAGTGTGTCGTCGTGGTGCTTCCGCGTATCAAGAGAATACTCACTCACTCACACACTGCTGGCGTTCCTCGGGACCCCGCGGGTTTTCACGTATTGCTAAAAATCTTCTCTCTCTTCACGTAACGTGTGCACACATTGCGGTGGGGGCTCGTACTTGCCGTTATAGCTGCTCTCGCTGGGTCCTCCTCCTTTGCCGCCTCCACCGCGCGATGAAGAACCCGTCGTGGTGCCGGTTCGGCAGGAGGCGGCGCGTGTGTCCGTCGGCGCCTTCGAGGCGCGGACTAAAGGGCCACGGCTCGAAGCCGGCGTCGTCGTCGAACGCGGCGACCACCTCCTCGTTCTCCTCGCGCAAAATCGAGCACGTCGCGTAGACGAGCCGGTCGTGACAGCGCGACGCCGCCTCGCGCAGGAGCGAGAGCTGGAGGGTCGCGAGGGCCGCGAGCACGCCGTCCGCGCCGGCGTGCGCGGCGCGGTCGCGGCGGCGGCGCCGCGCCGCGAGCTCGTCGCACGCTTGCCCCGCGTCCTCGCCCGCGGCGGCGCGTGCGGCGGCAGCGGCGGGCGGCGCAGCGGCGGGCGTGACTGTCCGCCCTAAGCGTCGCAGGACGCCCGAGCCGCTGCAGGGAGCGTCGACGAGGACGAGATCGAAGGCCGCGTCGGGGATCGACTCGCCGTCTGAGCAGCGCACCGCCACGCCCGCGCGCCTCGGCACGGGACGTACACCAGTCATGCGCGTGTGCGTATGGTATGACGGCCGCACCGCCACGCCCGGCACACCTCGCTCGAGCGCGCAGCCGCGCGAGGCGGCCGACGTCCACGTCGTGGCACCAGAGCTCCGTCGCTCGCGCCTGTGAGGAAGGGTGCGAGCACCTTCAGGGAATGGTCGAGGGAGGCGTGGCACCAGAGCTCTTTCGCTCGCGCCGCCAGCGCAAGGCTCTTGCCGCCATTGCCTGCACACATGTCGAGCGCGCCGCCGCCGCCGCCGCCGCCGCCGCCGCCGCCGCCGCCGCCGCCGCCGCCGCCGCCGCCGTCGAAGCAGGCCTCGACGATCGCCTGCGAGCCCGCGTCCTGCACCTCGAACTCGCCCTCACTCCAGCCGGGCAGCGCCCACACGCCGCCCCGCGGCCGGCCGCCAACCAGGGTGAGAGCTCGAGGCGCACCGACGCCCGCCGGCGGCCGCTCCGTCACCACTCCTGCCGCCGCGAGCGCCTCCTCGACCGCACCGATCGAGACGTCGTCGCGCACGCGTAGCGTGACCGGCCCGCGCCTCGTCGACTGGTCGGCGACGGCGGCGGCGACTGCTTCGCCGAGGTCGCGCCGCCAACGCGCGCAGAGCCAGAGCGGAGCGCCGCTTGTGGCGCTCAGCCTCTCGTCTGCGTCTGCCGGCCATGTGTAAGCGCCGTCGTCCTCGTCTCGCGCTCGGAGCAGCGCCGCCGCCACCGCAGTGGCGTCGCTCGCGGCGCCGCACAGTCCGCGCTGGGCGCAGATCCACTCGTACCGCCGCAGCCGCGTCGCGGTCCCGAGGAAAACGTCAGCTGCCACCCGCCGATCGGCGTCAGTGAATGAACTCTCGCCTCGCAGTGCTCGTGCGAGCACCTTGTCGGCCGCCACGTTCTCCTCGCTGGCGCGGTAGGCGACAAGCGCCTCGCGAGCGAGTGCCGCTGGCGCCAGCGCCCGTGCGCTCGCGAGGAGTGCGACAAGGAGCGGTGGGCGCATATGTCTCGTGGCGGGTGACCAACGATGAGCGTGTCGATGAGGTGGGCCGCGCGCGATCTGCTGCTGGACCCTACCGTCCGCGGTGCGTGAGCAAAGCCGAGCGGCCGCGGGTCGCCGTGGGCGGGTCGCAACGCGCCTGTTTTCTTTTCCTTTGGCAAACATTTCCCTCCCCCCCAGCCCCAGGGCCTCCAGGGCTCGCACCTCAACCTCTCATGGATAGACCAGCGCACAGCGAGTTAGCTATTTCAAAAACGTGGAAATCGAAGAAAGAAAGAAATTTGCGTGGGCCGCAGAATGCTCGCCTGCGCCCGCTACGAGCTGCGGCTCGCCGCTCTTCCGCCCGATGCCCTGATCGCGATCACCGCCGGCGCGATGCGGGACAGCCCCGCTGCAAACAGGAGGGCCGAGGCGCTCCTCGCGCACCACAGCCCTCCGCCCGCCGTCGCGACCGACGTCCTCGCGGACCCGGACCTTGCGCCGTGCGTGCTCGAGAAGACGGGCCTGCGCCACGCGGCCGTGTGCAAGCGGTGGTCCCTGATCTGCGCGCCGCGCGGTGCCTTCGCGAGGCTCGTGGAGACCGCTGGCGATGCCTCCTCGGAGCTGCAAGCCGCTGCGCTCGGAGAGCTCAAGCGGCTGTCGGGAGAGGAGGCCGGCGGCAGGCGGGTGGACGCGCTCGTCGCCCTCTTGCAGGTTGGAGACGAGGACGAGAAGGCGGACGTCGCGGCAACGCTCCAGGAGCTTGCCCGGGACGACGATGAGAGCAGGGTGGCGATCGCTGCGGCCGGCGGAGTTGAGGTCCTCGTCGCGCTGGCTCGCGATGGGAATGAGGCGCAGAAGGAGCGCGCGGCGGGGACGCTGTGGAACCTCTCTTACAACGACGACAACAGAGTGGCGATTGTTGCGGCCGGCGGCATCGAGGTCCTCGTGTCACTGGCTCGCGACGGGAATGAGGGGCAGAAGGATTGTGCGGCAGGAGCGCTGTGGAACCTCGCTGTCAACGACGACAACGAGGCGGCGATTGTTGCGGCCGGCGGGATCGAGGTGCTCGTGTCGCTGGCTCGCGACGGGAATGAGGCGCAGAAGGAGCGTGCGGCAGGAGCGCTGGGGAACCTCGCTTACAACGACGACAACAAGGCGGCGATTGTTGCGGGCGGCGGCATCGAGCTGTTCGTTGCTATGGCTCGCGATGGGACTGAGAGGCAGAAGGAGAATGCTGCGGGAACGCTGGCGAACCTCGCTATGAACGACGACAACAGCGTGGCGATCGCGGCGGCTGGCGGAGTTGAGGTCCTCGTCGCGTTGGCTCGGGATGGGAATGAGATGCAAAAGGAGCTGGCCGCGGGGGCGCTCAGCAACATGATTGAGGTAGCGTCTGGCACGCACGAGGGCGTCGTCGAGGCTGGCGGTGTGGCGGTCCTCTCCTCTCTCACACAGGAGGCAGGCGCCTCGGACGACTGCAAACTCGCTGCTGCCATTGCGCTTGTGTACCTGGCCAGCAGCTGTCCCGACCTCCCCGCTGACGACACTTGCCTCTCGCTGCTCCTCTCGCGGCTGGACCAGCCCGAGGAAAATGGCTGGCGCAGAGACAGCATCAACGCCCTCCTCGCCCTCGCAACCTCCTCGTCTGCGTGCGCTGAGCAGTGGCACCGGGTCGGCGGCGTTGCGGCGCTGCAGGCGCTCGCTCGAGAGACGGCAGAGGAGGGGGTGGAGAGGCAGGTGGAGAGGTGCGACGAGGCGCTAGTCAGCCTCGGCGTGAGGAGGGTGCGCAGGCGGACGGCCGCGTGAGCCCCAACGGAGCCGCATGAGCTGTCTTTTGAGAGATCGAGTGGAGTCTTTCTCGAAAATCTCGTTGTTCGTAGAGTGAAGAAAGGTGAAGGCGAAAGTCGCTTCCTGGTACGGGGGTCGGGGGGACGGAGCACTTGGACTTGGAGTGCAGCGTGCAACAACACCGCACATCCAGGGCCGGGGAAAGGGGGAAGCTAAGAAGCGCACAAAAAATGACGAACCTTGGAGCACTTGGAGCGCAGTTAAGAAAGAAAGAAAGAAAACGGACAGCCCAAGGGAGGGATGGGAGGACGGCACGCCGCCACCACACAGGGATTTTAAGGAGAGGGGTGTGGTGCGCTAGCCGTCGCCCACCCTTGTCCCTTGGGCGTCCGCCTCTTCCTATCTCTCTTCGCAGTCTCTCGCCGATTCTCGCTGCAACCTTCATGCCACCTCGCGGTCGTCCCACTCTCGTCGTTCTTTCCCTTGTCGCTTCTTCTTCTGTCGCGTCGCTCTCCTCTGCCTCGTTCTGCGACGCCGCCGCCGCCTGCCGTTCCCTTGTTCTCTCGGCTTCTTGCGCCTTCGGCGCAGCTCCGTCCTCCTCGCTGCATATCCTGGCCCCTCGAGTCTATCGAGCTCTCCTCGAGCAAGGACGAGTCTTCTGACGCCCACTGCGATCATTTGCCACCCAGTCATATCGTTGCTCAGGTCCACTCTCTCTTCGAACACTTGTGCCTTCACTGATGATGCCGGCGCTGGGGTCCCCTTCGGGTGCATCGACCATCGTGACGGCTGACAACGGGGTTTCCACTGGTTCGTCCTCCTCGGAGTCGTCTTCCCCCTCTTCCTTCCGCTCGGCTCTACGTTCAGTACGTTCGGCGTGGCTCACCCTCCATGCCGTGAACAGGCGCTTTATCCACCCTATATTCTTCTCTCGTTCCTCTGCCCGTGCCTTGGTCTTGTCGTTGTTTCGCACCCATGTCTGTATGGCAATCGAGGCTGCCTTCCCCACTACCTGTAGTTCACTCGTCACCTCTCCCGCGAGCTCCCCTCTCTTTCTTTCGGGTATGTGGTCCGTGAGTGCGGGCAGCGTGCTGAGGGAGGGTGTAGAGGATGTAGAGTGTAGAGCGCTGTAGAGCTGTAGAGATGTAGAGCGCTGTAGAGCTGTAGAGCTCTACATCCGCCGCGGGACGAGGCGCCTCCGTTGTAGAGCGATGTAGAGGCGCTCTACAACGTGAAATCTCTACAACAAACTCTACATCATATAAAGCGGCGAACGAGGCACGGTCGCTCTCCGACATGAGGCGCGTTGCACTTGCCAGTGCTGCCCTGGCCTTCTGTCTGCCCGCCCAATGGGTGGCAGGTGCCTCTGCTGCTATGGCATGCCTCACGGCTGCGACTGGCCGGCGCCTCGGCGCGTCAGCTCGGCTCGGCGTAGCGATCGTGGCCAGCGCAACTTGCCTGGACTCAACGCTCAGGGACAGCCAGGAGCTCCCGCACGCGCTGGCGCGAGTCATGGCGCATGCAACGCGTCTGAATGCTCGCCTCGCCTCGCGCAAATGCGACCGTCCTCGCAGCCGACAGTCCACCGCCTGCTAAAGAAGCACAGCGACGAATGCGGCACCGGCGGCGCATGGCAGGCTGGTCATGACGCAGTTATAGGGTGTTGTGTGCCGTCAGAGGGACTCTCTGTGTGTCAGGGATAGTCAGGGCTGTCCATCAGAGCTCCACTAAGCTCGGAGACACCCCATTAGCGCGGCTCGACCTCTTTGAGTCACTGTGCCTTCCCGGCGGTTTGGCTGTAGAGCCTCTACAACAAACTCTACAACAAAATCGCGCTCTACATCGCTCTACAACGGAGGCGCCTCGTCCCGCGGCGGATGTAGAGCTCTACAGCTCTACAGCGCTCCAGAGCGCTCTACATCTCTACAGCTCTACAGCGCTCTACACTCTAGGATTCCTACATCCTCTACACCCTCCCTCAGGCAGCGTGCAGGCAATCACGGGCGCTATTTTGTCGTACTCCCCTTCGGCGAGCGCTCCGAATCTAGACCCCATTGCCTTTAAGGAGGCTGCCCTCGCGCGTCTCAGGAATGTGGCGGTGTCTTTTGAGTCCGGCGCCGCCCGTTCGACTATTGCTGTCGCCCTCGCCGTGTGTTTGTCGAGCTTCCGCATGAAGTGACGCGCCTCTTCCTTATTTCCAGCGCAGCTGCCGCTCAGTATGTGCGCTAGCGACGCCTGTGGTGGCTCACTGTCTTCTTGTTTCCAGTCGTCCCAGCGCAGTTGGCAACCTCACATCCACCTGCCGCGAAATTCTTTTAGTGCCAGTGCGCGCCAGTCCCGTGCCTAGTAAAGAAAGAAAGAAAGAAAACGGACAACTCCCGTGCCTAGTGTGGTGCGCCACGCGTCAGAAACTTCTTTTTTTGCCTCACAACCGCTCCGCTCTCCGCGATGCTCACGCCACCGCGGCGGAGCTCGCCGGACGACAGACGACCTGCCACCTTGTCAACCAGCCGTCGTTCCTCGTCTTCGATAACTCCAGAGCAGGCCGACCAACTCCGCAACGCGTCGGCGCTCCTCGGCGGCGCTCCGCTGGCCGCCTCTGCCACGTCACTCGACTTCCAGGAGCTCGGATCCGCCATGGCGGCCCTGGGCTACAAGGTCAAGAGCAGCGAGCTGCGCAAGGTGCTGTGCGATGGCGGTTCCGCTCCGGGGGCGGCAGCGCCAGCAGAGTACGGCCGATTCGCGCCGCCGGCCGATGGCGGCACCGCCGCCAGCCAGCGGAGAGGTGAGGCGCCGCACGACGCAGTTGCGGCCGTTGCCTGGGCCCAGGCCCGGCTGCGCTCGCACACACCGCCGCACGCCTCGCCGCACGCGCCGCTGTCAGCTGGGAGCGAGCGGGCCGGCCAGCAATGGCCTGCGCAGCGGGCGCCGGCCGCAGACTCTAGGAAGGAGGCCTTCCTGGAGTGGGCGGAGGCGCGCTGCCCGATCCTCAGTCCGACTGGCGGGAGGGCGGACCCGACGGACCGGTACCCATCAGCCTGCTGCCCTGCCGCCAGCCACCTTCCCGCCCGCCACCCTCCGGCGCCATCCACTCTTCTGTCCGCCAACTGCCCTCCTCCCACCTGCCCTCCTGCCGCCGCCTGTCCTCCTCCCGCCGCCTGCTCCAGGGCCGGCGAGGGCGGCCGGAGCCCTCCACTCGCCCTCGACCCCTCCGCCGCACACCTCTCCTCCCCCCCCACCACAAGCAGCTCCGCCGCAGCCTCCGCCGCCTCCGCCTCCTCGTCCGCCGCCGCCGCCGCCGCCGCCGCCACTACCGCCGCCGCCGCCGCCTCGGCCGCCGCCGCCTCCGCCTCGGTCGCATCGTCGGCCGCCGTCGCCGTCGCCGCCTCGTCGCCCCCGCCATGGCCGCCGCTTTCCTCTCCGCCTCCGGACGGCGACGGCGGCGCGCGGGGCAGAGCGGGGCGGGCCACCGTCGCCGCCTCCTCGGCCGCCTCTGCCGCCCTGGACCCCGCCCTCTCCGCGCCGCTGGCCACGCCTCCCGCGGCCTGTGCGGCGCAGCTGCGTGCCGTCTCTACCGCTGGGCACCCCTTTCTAGATGCCACCCCTCGAGATGCCACTCCGCTGATGCCACCCCTCTGGACACACATGCGCGGCGGGAGACTCTCTCCGACAGACTCTCTCCGACACAGAGGCCCTCTTTGCTGGCGTGCAGTCCACCACACGCCGCGCCACTCGCTCTCGCCTCGACCCTCGCTCTCGCCTCGACCCTCGCTCTCGCCTCGACCCTCGCTCTCGCCTCGACCCTCGCTCTCGCCTCGACCCTCGCTCTCGCCTCGACCCTCGCTCTCGCCTCGACCCTCGCTCTCGCCTCGACCCTCGCTCTCGCCTCGACCCTCGCTCTCGCCTCGACCCTCGCTCTCGCCTCGACCCTCGCTCTCGCCTCGACCCTCGCTCTCGCCTCGACCCTCGCTCTCGCCTCGACCCTCGCTCTCGCCTCGACCCTCGCTCTCGCCTCGACCCTGCCTCGCCGTGCCCCCAGCTCGCTCCACACGCGTCTCCCTTCCCCTTTGGCAGGCGCGGTGGCGGCCTATCCGCAGGCAGCCCCCCCCTCGGGCGGCCCAACCCTGTAGCACCTCAATTCCAAGCTCCGGCCCCTATCCGCAGGCAGCCCCCCCTCGGGCGGCCCAACCCTGTGGGACGACGAGCGGGCGGGAGGGCGAGGGAGAGCCGCGTAGATGCGGGAGACGGACCTCTGTACAGCAAAGCACGCCTTACTCCGCTGTTCCGAGCTGTCTCTCCGCCGGATTCGTGGCCCGTGTGTTCGCGCGATCGCCTCGAGACACGGAACGGTTGTGCCGTGCTCGCGGCCCGACTCTTTGAGATGTTTCTCGGTGGCGTAGGTCCCTGCCCCTCCCCTCTCTGCCTGCCGCCCTGCCCAGACTGCGCGGGCTCTCCTCCCCTCCGTGGACGGCCCCCTCGCTGGCGCCGCGGCAGCGCCCTCTCCTCGCGGAGGCGCAGTTGCGCTGGGCGGAGCGGGCGGTGCGGTCGGCGTGGGTGCGGTGGGAGGAGTGGCGGGTCCGCCGGCGGGGGAAGGTAGATGCCGCGAGAGCTAGCCCCGTCGTACTCTCGCCCCTCGGCCCTGCGCACCTCCTCTCCACGCGTCCCGACTTCACCCGCACGGTGCCGCATCGACCAGCCGGTCTCGACCCTCGTCTGCTTGCCACTATTGCCACTAGGCTCGGGACTCGCCACAGCCTCGCGCGGCGGCACCTCGCCGCCGCGCGGCAGTGGGCCGCCCACAGCGACGTGGCGCGGTGGCGGCGCGCCGCGGCGCAGGCTCGCGCCCTCGCCGAGACCACTCTCCGTATCGAGACGCGCCGGCGGCAAGGCGAGGCGCGGCGCGCGCTGCGGGCCTGGCGGCGCGCGCACTCGGCCGCGTGGCTAGTGTGCCTCGAGGCGGCGCGCGCCTACGCCGCGGCGAGGCTGCTGCACGCCCACTTCGGTCCGTGGCGGCGGGAGGCGGCGGCGCGGGCGGCAGAGCGCGACGCCGCGTTGCGCAAGGCGAGCGCGTTTCGCCGCTGGTGGATTGGCGCCTCCGTCCAGCGAGGCGTCGGCTCGTGCACCACGACGGTGACTCTGTGAGAGCGACCCTCTAGCCCTACTACCCAACCATTACGGGCGCCTCCACAGTCCACATCTCTCACACTGGAGCTCGCCCCGCACGCCCCCCCTCGCGAGACGCAGAGCGCTGGGTGGACTCATCATAAACACACGAGACACGGACGCGCGCAATATCACCGGCCAAAGAAACAGCTGAGAAGTCCGCAGGCCGCGCCGCGCGACGCGCCGCACCCTCCGCCCCGGCAGGGCATCGGTCGTGCTCACAGGGAGAGGGCCCCTGTTTCCGAGCGACGACAGTCATAGACGCCGGAGCGGGCGGGTGCGGCGCTAAGCCGGCGGCGCGTGCGCGGCAGCAGGCGCCCCTTAGAGCTCGTCGCGCAGCGGATCGTCGTCGCCACCCACGGGCGCGGCGTCGGCGGCGCCACTGAGGCCCGGGCGCGGCGACGCGGCCGCCGCGCTCGCGACGTTGGCCTTGAGCTCCTCCAGGGAGGGGAAGCGGCCTGTCTCAAGCTTAGACCAGCACGGCTCGGGCGCGGCGCCGGGCGCGGCGGCGTAGGTCACCTCGAAGGCGCCCGTGTTGATGAGCTTGCCCGCAGCGATGTTCATCCCGAAGAGCGTGCCGTATGTCATCATCGGGTTGGACGTCATTGTGTTTGCAATCTGCTCCGGGAGGAAGCTCTTGCCCACGAACGAGAGCATGAGGCCGCCAAAGAAGCCGAGCTGCAGCACCTGCGCCAGCCCGACGCGGAGGTCGCCCGGGTGATGCACGTCGCCCTTGAGCTGCACGTTCGGGTATTCGCGTTTCAGAGCGCGGCCATAGTCCTCGGCCGCCTTCTTGTACCCTCAGCTCATGCAAAAGCGAACGTCCACGACGCCGTCCACCGCGGCAGACTGGGCCGCGGCGAGAGGAAGGGCCAGGAGCAGCATCGGGGACATGGACAGCAAGGTGCGCGGGCCGTGCGCCGCTCTCTTCGCAAGAAATCGACGGGCCTTGGGTGTTTTCCCTCTCTCTGGAAGAAAAGAAATTTTCGGGCATGGGGCGCCGCCGGAGCCAGATTGAGCGCATCCCTCTCCCCTCCCCGGCTCGCGCCTGACCGGTGCGGCCTCCGAGTCGATTGTGCAGGGCGCGAGAACCCAAAGGTTGTGAAATCGGCTCTAGCATGAACCGCGCCGCGCCGCCGCTCGACTTTGGGCCGAGGAACCCATTCTGCCCGCCGCCGCTCGACGCCGCGCTCGGCAGTCAGGTGAGTCCCGAGTTCCAGTGGCAGGCCGCTCGCATGCCGCCGCTCTCGCGCAGCCTGCTCCTCTTCGGCGACGATCCGGGCAGCGTCGACCCGGCCGAGCTCGTAAACGAGCTGCGGCTCGATCTCTCGACGGCCGAGGATGTGCGCCGCGCCCTCGGCGCGCGCGGCGACGAGGCGGTCTTGCGCTCGCCGGCCGTGCTCCCGCCGGCTGCGTGTGAGGCCCTCCGGAACGCCGTCAGCACCGAGAGCCAGCAGAAGGCGGACACGGTCGACGGCGCTCCCGACCACCAGCTCAACCTCAGCCGCGAGGAGCTCGAGTCGGCGATCGGCCCGGAGGCGGCGGCGGCGCTGTGGAGTCTGCCAGCCTCCTTCCTCGGCGAGGCGGCGGACACGGCGCTGACCTCCGACGTGGAGATCTTTGTCCGCCGGTACACGCCGGCGACGAGGCCCCGTGGAGCCCTAGATGCGGACGAGACCGTCCGTGACTTGCCCCGAGAGGGGCCTTGCGCAGAGAGCGACTGCACCACGAGACTGTCCACGCCGCTGACTCTGTCTCCACGCCGCTGAGTCTGGTGGCTCCGCCCTCGACTCTGGTGGCTCCGCCCTCGCCCAGGCCGTGGAATCCGTTCCACACCGACTCGAGCCGGCTGACCATCAACGTGGCCCTCGACCCGCCCGGGAGGTACACGGGCGGCACGCTGCTCGGCTGCTTCGACGCGCAGGTGGTGCCCCTCCCGCGGCTCTGTCTCGGGCGTAGCTCGGGTGTATCTCGGGTGCATCTCGGGTGCATCTCTGGTGCATCTCGGGTGCATCTCGGGTGCTTCGACGCGGCAGGTGCGGCCCCTCCCGCGCGGCGAGGGCGACGCGACCACGCACGAGAGCACGCTGCTGCACGGCGTGTCTACAGCCGAGACGTAGCCGAGACGTAGCCGAGACGTAGCCGAGACGTAGCCGAGACGTAGCCGAGACGTAGCCGAGACGTAGCCGAGACGTAGCCGAGACGTAGCCGAGACGTAGCCGAGATGTACCACGCGAGAAGGCTGCTGCACGGCATTTCGCAGCTTCGGGTCCCTTCCCGGTCCCTTCCCGGACCCTTCGCTGGCCCTTCTTTGACCCGTCTCGAGGCCTTCTCGGGACCCTTCTCGGACCCTTCCCAGAGCCGTCCTTCAGGCGTCTCGCAGCTCACCTCCGGGGCCCGCCACGCTCTCGTTGTCTTCCTCGGCCGTGCGCGGCCGGCCGCGCCGGCGACGCCGCCGCTCGACGACACGCAGAGGCCACGAGGAGCCCTTCCCGCAGCTTGCTTCGGGCGGACCTGTAGGCGACAGAGCTGCTCGACGATACGGAGCGGCTGGCGGAGGCGAGCGCGCTGGCGGGCCTGATGGCGGACGAGCCCTTCCTCGAGCGGTGCGGCGCGCTGCTCGCCGGCGCCGCCGGGCCCGCAGCCGCCGCCGCGAAGGCCGACCGGCTGAGGGAGCAGTACCGCGGACTGGTCGCCGCTGCGTCGCGGCGGCGGCTCGGCGCCGAGCGGCCAGAGCTGGCGGTGGGCGTGATCGTCGCGGCGCTCGTGGAGCACTACGCGGCCCCACACTTGCGGCCGACCAGCGTGCTCAAGCGGCGAGGCGCTGGCGAAGGGGAGGAGGGGGGCGATGACGCGTCGGCGTGCTGGTCGCTCCGCGCTTTGTTGAGCTACGCCGAGGAGACCATCGGGGCGCTGCCCCCGCCCCCGACGAGCGACGTGACGTGAGGTGTCCGTCTGCGCGCGCGAGTACCGGTGCCGAGTAGTCGGTCGGCGGCTGAGTTTCAGTTTGCAGCAAAAAAAAGACTACTACCAAGAGGAATAGAGGTTTTGCGTCTCGTGAAATTTAAACGCAGGTCGGTAGAGGTACGCACTTGTAGCGTATGAGCACATGTAGCATGTGCATGTGCATGTGCACTGCAGCGAGGCGCGCGCGGAGCATGAACACTGAGCATGCCGCATGCCCTTGCGCGATATGCGGACTGGGTGGATGGTGGAGTAGGAGATGAGAGTCGAGATACACAGCACACGAGGTCACGAGTAGCGACAGGAGCTTATGCCATGGACAGGTCGTCATGCCGGCTACGTTCTAAGAGTGGCCTCAGATCGGACGCGCGGACAAAGGCGCGCGGCGGGTAGAGGCAGACGAAGATAGACAACGCGAGGAGAAGGAGGCAGGCCATGGCGAGGTGGGAGGCGCGGAGATCGAAGCGGCACACCAGCTTGGCGTGCGGCCGGCTCGGGTGCCGGTTGTCGATGACACCCGCCATCGTGTACAGAAAGTCGCGGCCCTCCTCTCCTGCCGTCCCGAAGCTCGTGTCCATATCGCAGAACATCATCATCCAGGTCACGCCGCCCGCCGGAGCGGCCTCCTCGACGAACCACGTGTGCGAAGGGTGCATCGCAATGGAAGGTGGACTTTGTCTGCCTGCCTGCTTGCCTGCTTGCCAGGCCTCCGCCAGAACATCAGGCGTTGCGGGGAGATCACGGCTGCTGGCTCCGACCGCTGGCAGCAACATAGCGAGCAGTGCGGTGTGTCGAGCCATGAGTGGCAGCTGGGCTCTGAGGCGCGGCTCTGGGGCGCGGCTCTGGTGTGGGCGGCAGCCTGCCCCCGGCGCGGTGGCTGAGCTCGTTGATCACCCGTCGCGTTGCCCAGGCGCTTTTTTTGGCTGTGATCAACAAAAGAATTCCGGGGGTCGCCGCCTAAGCGACTCCTGCGAGGACCAAAAGAATTCTTAAAAGAAGCCTCTCTCACAGCAAAAACTCCCACAAAACTAAAGAATCTCGGCACCTCGCTCATGTGGAAGGCAGCGCGCTTCAGGTGTGGGAAGTGTCAAGGCAGGCGCCAAGGCAGGCGCAGTGCCGAGGTCGAGGCGCGAGGTGCTGGCGCCCGCCGGCTGGAAAAAGGGTGGCGCTGCCAGACCGTTTCCGCTGAAGAAGCTGGCGCTCGAGTTGGCAACCCAGCGACGGGTTGGCGGCGATGTGTACGCCACTGGCAGAGCGTTGGGCACGCACGCCGCCCGGCCCTGCTCCCGCGGCGGCGGCCTCAGCCCGGCCTCGGACTGCGCCGGCGCCAGCGGCATTGGGAAGCGCATCGGCCGAAGATCATGGCGGAGCTCCACCTCGGGCGGCGGTTTGGTGGGCGGCGGCGGTTTGGTGGACGGCCGCTTGCGTACCTTCATCGCGCCAACGTTGCGCAGGTGCGCTATCACCTCCGTCGCGCCCTTGGCCTCGATGCCAAGCTGTGAAAGATTCCGCTGCTGACTGCGCACCCACCGGTTGCGGCAGCCCGATTCGGTGCGGCCGGGCAGCATCGCCGCGACCGCCTTCCAGCGCAGGCCGCCGATGCGGACGGCGCGGTCGATGAGTGCATCCTCCTCAGGCGTCCAACTTCCGTGCCGGCCCTCGTCCGCCAGCGCCGGCGCGGCGACCTCCTCGACGGAGATGCTCGTCGACGAGCACGACACCTGACTTCCGGCAGAGTAGCGCCGCTGCTCGCCTGCGTTGACGGGCGCGCTGCCCGCTCGCTGCAAGGGTACCGAGGCCGACCGACCGACGGCCAGGCCCCGAGTGACTCCGGCCCGCCGCTGAGCCTTGCGCTGCAGCCGGTGTAAATTGCGAACCGAGTCGTCAGAGCGCTCGTCGCCCGGCAGCTGTTCGGCGATGCGCGAGCAGTACTTGTGCGCGCTCGTTTCGATGATCTGGTCCTCCTCTGGGGTCCACGGGTGCTTGCTGCCCGAGGGGCGCCGTGGCCGCTTGCCGCTTCCAGACGACGTTGACACAACGGTCTCTTCGTCCGAGCCGTAGGAGAATCGGCTGTTGTCGCCATCGCTGTCCTCGACGGCCGATGACATCCATAGCCCAAGCGTGTCCAATGCTGACAGCGTCAGCGGCTCGAGGACGTCAGGCTGCTGGGCTGGGGAGGGCGCGTGCTGGGGCATGGCGTTCTGCACAGCAATCAGCGTTTCGAAATCGTGCATCGCCTCGTCGCCACTCTCGGGCTGCTGGCACAGGAGCGAGGGGAAGATGTGATCTGCCATTGCGCGCTCGCTTTTCTTAAGAGGCGGTCGGTTTCAGTCGGGACGTGCGGGGACGTGCTTGTATGTCGAAGAATTGTCCAAGAATATCCATAAAAAGTGGTTTGCGTCTTTCGTTTGGAAATGTGGCGGATGCGCAAGATGTGCGCGCCTTGTGTTTGTTTGTCTGCAGTAGTGTGTGGTGCAGCTGCGAGGAATGCAATCATCCGGATCCCTGCTTGCTTGCAGGCGTGGGGCGGCGCCCGTCCATCCTGCGGCGCACGGCCGAGCACTTTGAATCGTCACAAGGTAAATGATGAGGGACATATTCTCGACTGCGTCATGAGTAGGTAAATGATGAGTGAAACATACAACGTATGCAACATACCTAAAAAACGACTGCGACAACTGCAATAGGACATGTCTTGAACGCACGTGCTTGCCTTCCTACCTGTCCGTTAGTCGGGGCAACCGGGACGACGGAAGGACCATGGCGCCTGCGTCCCTGCTCTGCGGGACCAGCTCCTGCACCGCGGCGGTCTGGGAACGCATGGCCGGCGATTACGCCTGCGGCGAGCGCATCCTCTGGCTGCAGTCGCCAGCGGGAGGCTCCTTGAGCGAAGCCGCTTCCTGCCGGCAGGTGGCGGGCGAGTATGCGGCCGAGTGCGGTGACTGCAACCCGCTGCTACCATCGCTGTCTCCCGAGCGCATCCTCTGGCTGCATTCGCCAGCGGGAGGCTCCTTGAGTGAGGCTGCCGCCTGCCGGCGGGTGGCGGGCGAGTATGCAGCCGAGTGCGGCGAGTGCATCCCAGAGGCGACAGAGCCGACACCTCCGAGCTCTGGCATCCGTGTCAGTGGGAGGAGCTTGCTCATCGGCGATGAGCCCTTCATCATGAAGGGCGTTTGCTGGAACGCCGTGCCCCGTGGCGCCGTGCACCCGCCGTCCCCGAGGAACGAGCTCGCCCTTGCGACAATCGATGCTCCGTTGATGGCTGCGGCGGGTATCAACACGGTGCGCACATACACGACCGTCGCCTCAGTGGCGGTGCTCAATGCATTCTGGGCGCATGGCATCTATGTCGTCAACCCGATCAACCCGCTCGCCTCGGATTCCGACATCGACGCCGCCGTCGACGCAACGAAGGCGCATCCTGCACTGCTCATGTGGTCGCTCGGCAATGAGTGGAACTACAATGGGCTCTACGTTGACCTGCCCCATGCCGAGTGCATCGAACGGATCGACGCCGCGGCGCGCCGGATCAAGGCCCGCGATGGTCACCCTGTGGTGAGCGTTTACGGCGAGGTGCCCAGCGCCGATACGGTCGTCGCCCTCAGCGCTATTGACGTCTGGGCGCTGAACGTCTATCGCTACGACAACTTTGGCGACCTGTTCGCCGTCTGGGCCGAACGGACCCCTTCCGCCGACAAGCCCATGTTCCTTGGCGAGTGGGGAGCGGACGCGTACAACTCGAATGGCAACGACGGCGCCGGAGCCGAGGACCAGCCCTCCCAGGCCGCGGCGACTACCACGCTCGGCGACCAGATCATCGCCAACCTGGTCCCGAACAACGGCGGCGGCGGCGGAGTATGCTTCGGCGGCGCGCTCTTCGAGTGGGCGGATGAGTGGTGGAAGGCGGGCAACGAGTGGCAGCACGACGTTGGCGGCACCGCTCCAGGCGGCGGCCCGTACCCCGACCGCACCTTCAACGAGGAGTGGTGGGGGCTAGTGGACGTTGAGCGCACTCCAAGGCTCGCCTACGCAGCCTACCGCGACCTCGTGTTCGGGAGCAATGCTGAGGCCGGCGCGCCTGCGCCGGCTGTGTCGCCACCGCCGTCACCGCCACCGCCACCGTCTCCTCCGCCGCCGTCACCGTCTCCACTGTCGCCGCCCCCACCCTCGCCCCCCGCCCTCTGCGGGACCAGCTCCTGCACCGCGGCGGTCTGGGAACGCATGGCCGGCGACTACGCCTGCGGCGAGCGCATCCTCTGGCTGCAGTCGCCGGCGGGAGGCTCCTTGAGCGAGGCCGCTTCCTGCCGGCAGGTGGCGGGCATGGAGTACGCGGCCGAGTGCGGCGCGTGCAGCCCGTGAAGCGCGGTTGGGGGAGCTAGGGACGGGGTGCTTGGAGGAGAGACGCCTTTGCCAGTGCAGGTGCGCTGCTCCGAGGCGGCGGCCGCCGCAGCAGCATCGAGCCGGACGACGCGGCGCGCACTAACGCGTGCCACCGTATCCATACGTGTAGTATGTGCATACCCCTCGAGCGCGGATGTCTATACGCGTGCGCGTCAGTATCGAGGCTACCGGGCGCCGGGGGCGTTGGGCGTTGCGCGTGTGTGCTGCCCCGCGCCGTTCGGCGCGCTCTCGATGAGAGAACGCGGAACGGTTCCCAGAACGCTCTCTCTCTCGGCGACTGTGAGACTGAGAGCGATCGAGTTTCAAAGAAAACTGCACTCTGCGCGCCCCCCCGCGGCCCGCTCGAGCCCGGCCCCCCGCCCCGCGCCACGGGTCTCGGGTGGTCTCTCCCGCGACAGTATTTCCTGTAATTAATATCACCACCGAAAGATGGCGTCGAGCCCTTGGGTCGACTGCCACATGAGCGTGTGGTCGTGTCCGACATTGGGCACCTCGACCATCGAGTGCACAGCCGGCGAGGCGTTGAAGTGCGCCTGCAGCTGCGCGTAGTAGAGGCGGCCGCGCATCAGCCGGAAGCGCCCCATGAGCTCATCCGCGCACGTTGTCTCGAGCCCGTGCGAGAGGCAGCCGCAGCCGGCGGTCGTCGGGTTGCAGTCGCACGTGTCGTTGCGGCCTTGCAGGTAGACGACGTCCCGAGCCGCGAAGAGGGCGAGAGCGGCGTTCGTGCCGCCCGGAGTCGAGGCTGCAAACGGCGGCAGCCGCGACGCGAGCCCCCAGTGCCAGCTGTCGTAGTCGGGGCAGCGCACTCGCGCCGCCGCGTCGGGCAGCGCGAGCCGGCCGCCGCGCCACCGCTCGGGCCCGAAGTAGGCGTACGAGGACGGGTTGGCGGCGACGTGTCGCACGGCGAAGGGCTGCGGGCGCGGCGGCACGCGCGAGAAGATGGCTGTTCACAGGAGGCTGGCGTGAAGAGCCGCTGGTCCGGGGGAGGGTTGCAGCAGCTCGTCACACGAGCTCCACCGTGGCGCTGCACGATCTGGCCGCCCGACGAGTGGCCCGCGAGCACGACGCGGCGCAGCGATGGGAGGGCGCCGCTCGTCTTTGCCGCGCCGAGCGCGTCCAGCAGCGCGTCGAGCACCTGGAGGCAGTCGAGACGTGTCTACTAGGAAGTGTCAGGGGAAGCGTCGCGTCTTGCGGCGCAGGACCGCAAAGCTCGAGACGGTGGAGCGGCCTGTCGGTGGGTGGTTCGTGGATGACTGGTGGGTGGACTGGTGAAGCGGCTGCTCGAGGCGGTGGCGAGACCGTCACGGCTCGCGCGCGGGTCGCTCTCGGCACCGCAGCGCCAGCATCCCTCCGGGAAGGTGCCGTTCCACCAAACCACGGAGGGCGGTGGTCCGTCCGCCGGCTCCATGAAGCGAGGCGCCAGCACGAGCGCGCGGCCGCCGCCCAGCCCGGCCATCGCCGCTGCCTGCACGCCCGAGCAAAAGTAGTCGTCGGCGTTGCGCCCGGAGCCGTGCTGCACGATGAGAGCGACCTCCGCCGAGGCCGCCGCATGGTGTCCCACCGGCCCGAGGTTGGAGTAGTACGGGAAGAGGAGCGGCTGGCCCGGCGGCGCAGCCGGCAGCGCGAGGCGGTGCAGCGGCAGCGCGCCTGCCCCGGCAAGAAAGTGGGGGCCTCGCTACCCGAGATGGACCGAGGCTCGTCCGAGATAATCCCGAGATCACCTGCCCGGCAGAGATGGTAGCGCAGCTCCCAGCCGGCGGTCCCCATCGGCAGCGGCACCGCAGCGCCCGGCGCCTCGGCGGCTGCCAGGACCGGGACTGGCTCTGGCCGCGGTCCCGGTGCTGCCTCAGGGATGAACTCCGGTGCTGCCTCCCTGTCGCCCCTGGCGCGGACACATGCAGGGCCGAAGGAGGGGCGATCGGCGCAGCGGTAGCCACTTGCGCAAGCGGTGCCGTCGCCGCAGCACACCGCGGCGCCCGCCTCGACGGGCGCGCACCTACAGGCGGCTATCCCCATCTCCTTGTGCGAACCCTCCAGGCACCTTCTCCCGCCGCAAGGGCCGCGAGCCCGTCGGCACAGCGGTGGGTGTTCGCCGGGCAGACGAAGGCGTCGCGCCGCCGCCGCTGGAAGACCGCCGCCATCATGCCGTAGTAGGTCGGGTGCGCAGGAGCGGCCGTGAGAGTCGCCGCCCAGGAGGCGTTGAGGGGCCACCACTTCCCGCCCTGTCCGGCCTTCCTCACCTCGGCCTCCGCCGCCGCCTCGAGCGCCCCGTGCAGCATCGGGAGGCCGAGCCATCCGCACGAGTAGACCTGATAGGGAGGTTGATAGGTGCACCCAGAAGGCTCCTCGAAAGCTCCTCGAACCGAGCCCTCCGGAGACCTGGTCCACGAGGGCGGCCGAGTCGCGCAGCAGTGCGCCGGCGTCGAGCCGCGCCGCCCACGTGCCGAGCGCGGCGTCGAAGGGCGCCGCGTGCGGCGAGAAGCCGAAGGAGGTGTTTCTCCAGTGCGTGTGCGCGAGGTCGGTCGAGACGAGGAGGGCGACCTGTGCTCACAGAGGGACAGGTTTCGAGAAGGTTCCGAGAAGGCTCAAGGAAGGGTCTTGCTCGCGACGAGGCGGGAGAGGTCGCCCGCTTGCTGGACGCCTCGAGAAGGCGGCCGAGGTCGCGGCCGAGCTGGAGGAAGCCGGTCGCGACGGCAGACGAGAGGTTGTACCGCGACAGCGGGAGACCGAGCGTGACGAGAGGCGGCAAGCAGTGGGCAGCGGAGGCATTTGCCACGTAGCTGAGGGCGAGCACTTCGCCCCAGTGGAGTGGCATGGGCAGGACTCCGTTCCAGCCACGCTGCAGAGTCACGTTGTGCCTCGCGGAGAGGACGTCCATGATCTGCTGTGCAAGCCCGGCGTCCGTTTGGCCGTCGAGCGAGACCGGGTAAAGCTTGCGAGGGCTGGCGGGGCCAAATGACTCCTGGAGGTCTCGGCCCACGGTCGCGACGCCCTGTAGCGCCGCGTTCTGATAGATTCCGACGTCCCAGCTTGTCTGAAGCCCGTGAGGTGTAGTGAGCACGATCGCATCGGGCGCAGCGTCGGCCAGCAGCCGGCCGGCGAGCAGCGAGCCTCGGTGAAGGCCGTCGGCGGCGGCACGAGAGGTGGGGTTGGAGAGGAGCGACGGATCAAAGGCGAAATCGCCGTGAGGCAGGACCGCGGCAGCGACAAGAGGCATGACGAAACGGCGACGGTTGAGCGCGGACCTGACAGTGGGAGGGAAGGGCGTGTAGCGCAAAGCGACCGACTCCTAGGTACTCGAGTACCCGGGTGAGGTACTCCCTGCTCGTCCTGAATTCACACACACTGTGTTCACACGTGTTTCCCCCCCCCACCACACACACACACACACACACGGACGTACGCATACGAACCGCATTATGACACAGATTCGAGACTCGAACTCGAACTGGGGTCTCGAGGTTCGATCGAGTGGACGCCATCGGTTATAACCGACCAAGTTTGGTCATAGTTGACCACTCGGGCACCAAACTTGGAAATGCGGCGTCGAAGGAGATATGTTGAGATAGAGATCGTGTCTCGTCTAAGTAAGTGTGTGGGGGGAATTGACCACTCGGGCAAAATCGGCCGAGCCACAAGCGGAGTGGCGGCTGGCCGATTTAAGTGGGGGGACTTTTTGTATTTCTTTCTTTAATGGTGTGAGAAGTAAAAACCCGTTCAGAGCATCCGAGTGAAGAGACGCTACATGAGTGGGGGCCTCGAGCTTCCCGGCGGCCCGGGGTCAAGGGCCGCGCGGGAGGAGGAGGCACGCTTACCCATCACCAGGGCCACCCCGGGGGTTCACCAGGGGGTAGAGGCGGAAGCGGCGAGTGAAGCCCCTTCCCGCCGAGGGCCCGCACCCAAGGGCGCAGAGGCGGAGGCGGCATGGGAAGCTGCCGCGAGCCGCCTTGCCCCCTCGGGCGTCAGCGGCGCGCTTGCGCCCCCGCAGGTGTCTTTCGCGGTGTGCATCGGCTAACCGTTGAGGGGGTGATCTGCTCGTCCTGAATTCACACACACTGTGTTCACACGTGTTTCCCCCCCCCACCACACACACACACACACACACGGACGTACGCATACGAACCGCATTATGACACAGATTCGAGACTCGAACTCGAACTGGGGTCTCGAGGTTCGATCGAGTGGACGCCATCGGTTATAACCGACCAAGTTTGGTCATAGTTGACCACTCGGGCACCAAACTTGGAAATGCGGCGTCGAAGGAGATATGTTGAGATAGAGATCGTGTCTCGTCTAAGTAAGTGTGTGGGGGGAATTGACCACTCGGGCAAAATCGGCCGAGCCACAAGCGGAGTGGCGGCTGGCCGATTTAAGTGGGGGGACTTTTTGTATTTCTTTCTTTAATGGTGTGAGAAGTAAAAACCCGTTCAGAGCATCCGAGTGAAGAGACGCTACATGAGTGGGGGCCTCGAGCTTCCCGGCGGCCCGGGGTCAAGGGCCGCGCGGGAGGAGGAGGCACGCTTACCCATCACCAGGGCCACCCCGGGGGTTCACCAGGGGGTAGAGGCGGAAGCGGCGAGTGAAGCCCCTTCCCGCCGAGGGCCCGCACCCAAGGGCGCAGAGGCGGAGGCGGCATGGGAAGCTGCCGCGAGCCGCCTTGCCCCCTCGGGCGTCAGCGGCGCGCTTGCGCCCCCGCAGGTGTCTTTCGCGGGGGACCGAGCCAAGCGCCAGAAAGTGGAGACTTCCGGGAACCTTCTCTTATCAGAGACCTCGGGAGGGCAGCATGGCTTCACAGTGTACGCTGACGGCCCGCACCGGCAGGGAGGCGGCGCTGACCGCCTCCCCCGCCTGGAGATCGTGCAGACTCCGACCCCAGTAGAGTAGGGGGGGTACGGTTTGCGGTACGAAAGTGTGAACAGGTTGGAGCAGCAGCTCCTGAGCACGGCGCCGCAGGCGCCTGTTGATAGGTCCAGGTGATAGCCACGCCTAGTTGGGCCTCAGATCGCCCGACCGCGTCCCGGTGCTCTGCGTCGGATTTGTGACTCCGCCGCACCGCGCGTCCGCGCCGCGGCCCGAGGGATCTACAACGCTGTCTTAAGGTCCGACCTGTGGGCTCCGGCCTGCGCTCGGCACCGGGCACCGCCTCGGTATACAAAATGCGCCTGCGGGCGGACCCTCACAGATCACAGATCACTAACATCGAAGGCTACCCGGTCCTTTCCCGCCCTCCGCCTCTTCCGCCACGCCCCCCCCCCCCCTCCCTCTCCGCCGCCGCCCGCCGCCCCTCCGCCTCTCCCTCGCCGAAGTAAAAGTCGCTTGGTCCCTCACCCTAGGCTTCGCGGCACTCTGTCTCGAACACTGGAGAGTGCCCGGCCCTGCCTGTGGCTCGCGACCTGATGAAGAAGACAGCGAAGAAGACAGCGAAGAAGACGGCCGAGCGGCCCATCATGAGTGGCAGCAGCAGCGCTTGCAAGTCCAGGAAAGGCGCCGTCGAGAAGCAGACGCAGCGGAAGCGGCACCAGCGCGAGACCATCGCGGTCGACGTGGACGGCGACACCGTCGTGCTCGACGCAGCCTTCACTCAGGCGGTGCTCAAAGTGTCCGTCCTCCGTGCCGCCCGCGTTCACGCCCGCTTCGTCCAGCGCGTCGATCGGGAAAGGCTCGCCGGCTTCAAGAGCTACTTCTTCCGCGAGACAGACAGGCACACCATGTACTACGTGCGTGGCCGTCTGCACATGCTGCACGCGATGCGCAAGAAGCGCCCGTCCTCGCCAATGTCGGAGGACGTCGGCGTGCTCAGTGCCGACGAGGCGGAGGCCGTCGTCTTCTCCACCTTTGTGTACCGCCTGTACAACAGGCTGGACACCGTCGTGCGCTGGGCGCTGCTGCGCCGGCACGTGGCCGACGCCGGGCACGATCCGGACACGGAGGCTGAGCCGGGCAGGTGGGAGGAGGCGCTGGAGCAGCTGACGGAGGAGGAGCTCGACGAGGTGCACTGCGCTCAGCGCTGCTGGAGCCCGTGCCGCGGCGGCCGCCGGGTCGAGCCGCGGGCTGTTCGCGCCGTGGCGGTGCAGCCGGGGCAGCTCTCCGGCTTTTTCGCCTGCGTCGAGGCGCTCCGCCGGCGCGGCATCAAGGTCTTCACCGGCCAGCACCAGGTGCAGGGCAGCGAGCGCACGCGCGCCGCCCTCGAGTCGCTGCTGGAGCAAGGCGGCGACGGCCGGACGGCTCTCTCGCGTCTGACGCGAGACCTGCGCGATCTCCCGGCGGCCGAGGCGGCGGGCGGCGCGAGCGTCGCGGCGAGAGCGTGCGCGCTGCTTGGCGCGGTGCCGGCGGTGGGCCCGTTCTTGCAGTACCAGCTACTGCTCGACCTCATCGAGCCGCGGCACTCGATCTTCCGAGGCACAAGCTGTCGGCCGCCGAGTCGCTGGGAACCCTCTCGGAACCTTCTTGGAACCTTCTCTAGGCACTGGCGCGCCCGCCGAGGCGGGCATCGCCGCCGGCCGCTTCCAATACGCGCAGTTTGGAAACGGCCGCGCTCACCTCCACGCCCACTTCCCCTCGCGCCGGTCACATCCGTGACTTGTCCGTGCGCCATGTCTCAAAGGCTCGCTGGGCGGCGCCGGGCTCGTGGCGTGTGGCAAAGCCGGCGCGTTCAAGGGCGCCGCCGGCCAGCAGGAGGCTCGCCGCGTCGCACGCGCGCTCGTGCGGTACGGCGGCGGAGGCGAGGGCGGCGGCGAGGCGGCACCTCTCGGACCCGAGTGGGCCGAATCGCTGGAGGGGCTGTGCCCATTGCCGGAGGGAGTGGCCAGCCACCTGCCCGGCGGCGCCGCCGTCGGCTGGGACATGCAGGCGGTCGAGAACGTGCTGTGCGGCATCCACGGCAAGAAGACGCCGGCTGCGATCGTCGCTTCTGCCGCAAACGAAGGCAAGCCGTGGGCGCCGAACCCGTGCACGGACTGCGAGTACGATGACTTGTACGGCGGCGTGGGCTGATTGTGCGCGCGAGAGAATACAGATAGCGAGGACACAGTCCGTCGAAGGGCGAATGTGATAGGTTTCATCTACGATCTAGGTGAAGGTGTTAGAGAGCTTAGAGAAAAATAAAGAGAGAAGAGCGACGCAGCTAAGGAAGGCGTAAAATATTGAATATATTGCTCCAATAGTTAGAGATGCGATCAATATCAATATATATATGGCAATAGTTAGAGGAGAGACTGGGCCTGGGCTGGTCAGGACCGTCAGGTGGGTCTCCATCCTGGGCTTGAAAGTGGCTCTAAATCGTTAAAAACGGGCCGAAATCGCTTCGAAATCGCTTAAACCGCATTAAAAATCGCCCCCCTTGAACTCGCGATTTTTTCGATTTCAGCCCACATCTAGGCAATGTTTGGGACAAATGTCGACATTGGTGCTTTTGGAGGTTATCAGCGATCAATATGTCAATATATTGTCAATAGTTAGAGGGGATGCTGTCAATAATCAATATCAATAGTTAGAGGGGCGAGAATCAATATTTTACGCCTTCCTTAGACGCAGCCATGCGCGCCGCACACTTGTGCATCGGAAAGGGAGCGGGGTGGTGTGGAGAATGTCTCAGGGAACAGCTCAGAGGCCAGAGCAGGCGCGCGGACGCGTGTCGGGTGTCGCGTGATCTGTGAACACCTCTCCCACCGTGCCGGATTTCACGCAACCTAGATCTGGAGGCTCTACAACGGCCCCTCCGTACTCACACGCGGCTCGGGCCTCGGCCTGGGAAAAATGATGATTTCCGCACGGAGTTTTTCCTTGAGAAACTAGAGGGAACGAGATGCAGATGGTCCGCCGAACACGAGGAAAAGAAAAAGTACGGACGGAGCCTTTGCTTCCTTCGGGAATGCTTCGTTCGGGAACCATCAGTCTAGAGAACACGTCTCCACTAGAGAACACGTCTCCACTGCCCGTCTACTAAACACAGACTCTAGAGGTGCAAGGGAAGGCGCATGACGGGTACATGGTGACGGGGAGACACGCTGCCGCCACCATCAGAAATTAGAGTAGGGGAGAGAGAACACGTCGGCGCTTGTGGACGACACGCGCACTGGCACTGTACGCGCGCCACAGACCAGCCGAACTTGATCTTGGCAGCTTTGACTCACGCCCTGCAGACGCGGGTGAGAGGCACGCGGGCTGACTCCGTTCCTGCAAGGCAGCAATCCGCCCCGGAGGGATCGCGATCCGCATCGTTGATGCACTGGCCCACCGCAACACCTGGCTTTTTGTAGACAAATGGCGTGCAGTAGAGCTCGATCTCCGCGCAGTTCTCGCTGTGGCATGTCAATCCAGTCACGACCGACCCTTCGGCGCGTGTAGCGTGGTTGCGGGTGTGTGAGCCTGGCTTTGCAGCGGTGCGGGTGGAGAAATCCCGGCCATCGTTTGAGATCTTTCCCGTCTTTGTCTTCCTGTCGCTGTCGAGATAGACGTATTCAGCAGTCTGGCAACGGAACTGAATGTTGTTGCACTGATCGCCGTGGCACTGGAGTTGAGTGACATAGGCATTTCCCGACATGAAGTTGCTGCAATGCATCTCGTGGTTGTGGTCGGTCGAGACCATCGGACTCCAACCAGAGGCGTGCCAATCTCCGGCGTAAGCGTTGCGATCGATGGGCGCGTGCGGGTAGAAGAGCACCCGCTTGTCGTCACAGTGGTGGCCGGAGCAGTGCATGCCGGCAACAGGGGCGCCAGTCATAGCGGACCAACGGTTCTCCTCTGAGAAGAAGCCAGACCAGGTGCAAAAAAAAAAGTAATATATCTTTACTTCCAAAACCCGGACGTGCCTCCACCGGCACGCCGCTTCCGACAGGGTGATGGAAGGTTCGACGCACCCCCGGACTGGGCAGAGAGGTCCCAACGTAAAGACGATGGGCTGTCCACCCCGCCCCCACTTGCCCTGACTGCACAGGATAGCGTGCCCCGACAAACGGCGACACATAGCGGGGGACACTGCGCCGGGGGGTATGCCTAACTTTGGTGCTTTGTGTGGGTCGCGTTCCCATGGTAGTTGTGTGGCTGAAGCCCTCGTGCCGCTGGCTTGCCCCTTCCAGCGGCTGGCCCCTCGAGACTGTCGGTGCTTGGCGGGAGGAGGGGGAGAGGGAGGCCCGGTGGGAGGAGAGGGAGAGGGAGGCCCGGTGGGAGGGGAGGGAGAGGGAGGCCGTCTTGGGCTCTTCTCCTCCCCCCTCCCTGGGCTCTTCTCCTCTCCCCACCCTGGGCTCTTCTCCCCTCCTCCCTGGTACTCTCTCGGCCTGATTACCGGAGCGACTGCCGGAGCAGACGCTGGGGGGACACTCGCGCCCGGAGGCGGTACGCACGACCCGGAGGCGTGGGGATGGGGGGGGGGCGCGCCGCCGCCGCCGTGCCGCCTTCTCCCGCCTTGACCTCCCCCAGCTGCTTCTCCTCAAATCAACCTGTGAGCTTGCGAGGCGGCGGGGGTGGGAGTGCTCTCGGGCGGCGTGTGCGAGCGCGCGCGGCGCGAGATCTCTTTCGCGAGGGCACGGTGGGTCGGGTGAGTATCTCGCGCGCTCTCACTATTTCACGTTATATCAAACACTGCCTTTGATGCCTTTGCAAGAACCGCCAGCGGCGGTGGTCGAACCGGTTCGCGGTTCGAGCCGGGACCTTTTGGCTCCCGGTTCGGAACTCGCTTGGAGGGTTGCTTCGCTCTCGCGGAGCGAGCGCGGGCGCGTGGGTGCGTGTGCGCGTGCGCTGCTGCAAGGCGAGGCGAGGCGAGGCGCGGGGCGGCGCGGCGCGGCGAGGCGGGCGGCGGCGGCGCGCGGTCGTTCTTTTTGCCCGGGTGAGGCGTGGCTTGCGCGCCGCGCGGTGATGACGCAGCACGCTGAAAAGTCCTTGGTGAGCCACCGCGGTGGCAGCGAGCCAAAGCAAGCCACCTGCCGCATGACGGGTTGACCCAGCGCGTCTCTTTTTTTCTGCCAGACCAGGTGCATGAATCGGAGCCAGGGTTCGGACTTTTTGCGGGGTATGGTATGGTAGGGTCGGCGCCCTGGCGCCGCGACCATACCCCCCCACCCGCACAGGACGTCGCCTCTGGCCAGCAGGACCATACCCCCCCACCCCCCACCCCACCACACGAGCGCGTACAGTAACCGTCGTGTTAGGCCGTCCGGTCGTGCGGCACGTGTTCGCGCGATGCAGTCTGCGCGAGGTGACCCGCCGGCAATCGTGCTCACCCCTCAGAGCATGTCCGCAAAGGCCGCCAGGGCCTTGCGTGCCGGCGCAGGCGCGGGCGCAGGCGCGGGCGCAGGCCGGTGCGAGCGCGGGCGCGGGCGCGGGCGCGGTCTCCGCCGGCGCCGCCTCCGCCATGGTCACCTCGGGCGCGGGCGCGGGCGCGGTCTCCGCCGGCGCCGCCTCCGCCATGGTCACCTCCGCTGGAACCATGGTCACCTCCGCTGGAACGGCCTCCGCCTCCGCCGCCTCCGCTGGCGCCACCTCCGCCTCCGCCATCGCACGCCGCCCTCCGCGCCATAGCTGGCCAAAGGCACGCGCACGAGCGGTACGCGCGCCAACAGCTCATGCCCCGCGCGCTTCGCGAGCCACGACGGCGATTTGAATCGAAAGGCAGAATCAAAGACATCGGCATCGAGCGCCGCGTTGAGGTCCGAGAAGAAGGTGGAGCGCGCGTGGACGAGACTCGCGCAGGCCTCGCGATAGAGCATCGGTCCGTCCTGCAGGACCATCGTGGCGACAGTTTTGAGCGCCTTCAGCTTGCTGAGATCGTGGTCGTCGCCACGGAAAGCGTCGCTTGTCGGAAGCCTCCCGTCCATCATGCGGACGGCATGCGGTGCAATCACAGCGTCGAGCTGTGCGATGCAAGACGCAAGCGTACCAGCGCAGCAGCTGCGCACAGCGGCGCGCTCGGCGTCGTCGGGCAGCGAGCTGTCCAGGAGCCGAAGTTGAGGCGGCGTCGCGGCGAGAAGGCCCGCGACAGTATCGAAGCGGCCGGGGCCGCCGTGAGTCGGCATCGTGTCTGCGGCTGTGTACGGCGGCTGTGTACTGGGTTCGAACCCTGTTGTAACGTGGCCGCTCCAGCGATTGACCATACCCCCCCACCCGTCGAGCAGGCCGCCTCCGGCGGCCAGGACCATACCCCCCCACCCTTTTGGCGCCGACCCTACCATACCTTACCCCGCAAAAAGTTGGAATCCAGTCACAGCGCAAGCATCTTCCAGCTTGCCAAAGCCGTTGATCTGGGAGTAGTCCCATCCGGCTGTCGGCTGGGGGTGCACCACAAGCCTCTGGCCCTGGGCGTAGAGGCTCTGGATCTGCGTCAGCACAGTGGTGCGGCCAACGACGCGCGAAAGCTGGTCTGCGAGCTGCTCGTGGGTGAAGCTATCTATGCGAGAGCGCTGGAGCTCCATGTCCTGCAGCACGTAGTGCAGCGCGTCGCTCACTGGGCCCGACGCCAGGTCTTTGAGAGCTCTCAGCTCATCCTCCTCCGTGCGGCTCAGCATCGTCTCCTGTGACCACGTCTCAAACTGAACGCTATTCGGGTCGTTGAAGATGTCTCCGTACGAAAGTCCGTACCACGGCGATGAGTTGTTGCGCGACAGAATCGAGAAGAGGGTGCTAAGCTCTTGGTTATCCCTGAGGTAGCCAACCGACACGGACTCAGCCTCCGCGTACTGCTGCAGACCCGCATACCATTGGTCAAGACCCGCACGAACGGCGTCGAGCGTGCGATATGGGCCTGGAAGGCAAGTGCTGGGGCTGCAGGCCTTGCGGCAATCGAACTTCACCTCCTTCTCGTAGGCATCTCGCTTTTGACTGAAGCTGCTCGAAGCGCCACCCCCGGAACCTGAGGCACTTTCCACTTTGATCTCCGCAGCGACTTCGAAGGCTTTGTTGCGATCTGAGGGGCGGGCGGCGGTAGGGGAGGGGGGTCGTGGGGGAGGCTAGGCGGGTGGAGGGTGGAGGGGGGAAGGTGGGGCGGTGGGGGAGGGGGGTCGTGGGAGGCTAGGCGGGTGGAGGGGGGAAGGTGGGGAATGGGAGATCGAGGCAGTCGCATGAGCCACCGGCACCTTCTGTCTTGCTGGTCATGACGCAGGTGCCGCTGAAGTAGCCACCATAGAAGATGCCCGTCACGAAGAAGTGCGAAAATTGTGCGCTGTTCCATGCGGCTGGCCCAAGATGGAACATCCGCTTGAAGTACTCGGTAAGCCTCAGCAAGTGCGGATTGAAGAGGGTTTGGTGGCGGACGTGCATAGCGACGGCTCTGTGCCGAGCACTGCGGAGGTCCTCGTGGTATGGCCTGATTGAAGGAAGTGCAGCGAGCCTTTCGCGGTCACGCCGTACCCGTTGCCCTCAGCCTTCGTGCTCGACTCGATCACTTCGCGCATCCTCGTCTCTGTGCGGATGTCGATCGATTTACCCAAGGCATCTCCGCCGACGATCGAGGCGTTTGGTGGGGTGAGAGACGACACGCAGGCCTGAGTGAGCTGCTCTTCCGGGGCTAGGTCAGCACAGTTGGGCGGAATGACGAACATTGCCAGGCCATTACAGCTTTTGCCAAAGAGGTCGTAGGGCTGCCCGTGCTGGCACAGTTCCGGATGGTCGATGGAAAGAAGGATGTTGTGGAGCGGAGGGACGCCGCCGAGGAACGTGTTGGCTCCGCCCTGCGCAAACGGGGGCAGCGACACGGACAGGCAATCGGGGCCAGTGCACCTGCAGCGAGGACGGCCGTGAGAAAGGGTGGGATGGGATGATACGAGTGAGACGAGTATCGGTAGGTGATGGCACCTTTCCGGTGGCGGCGTTGGCAGCGCCTTTGCCGTGGAGACCAACAGCGCGAGGTACTTGGCCAGCATAAGCGTATGTCTGTATTGCTTGCAGATTCGGTGTGCGGCAGGAGGATATCGGTTCTGCCGTCGTGTCTCCGGACGTTTCTCCCTTGGCGTCCATGGCGATTTTCGGTGGACCCGTTCTGTCCTGTCCTGGGTATAATTTCACGCTTGGCACCCCCCTGCACAGCGGGTCCCCAAGGGTGAATCTAGATAGGCTGCTGAATGATCGTTGGTTGGCCTATTATATAGGTTGCGACAACCCAGCCAGGCAGCCAGACAGAAAGAAACCAGAGCGGAGAGGGCCCCCAGCACTTTGCGTTTCCAGCCAGGAGCAGAGGAACAGTACATACATCTGCACGTCGGTGTCCGAGCGCGCGTAGTCCACCTTCTTGTATGTATACGCCACGTAGCCACCACGCCGTCGCTCGGCCTGAAGTCACCGTCCCCGACAGCACCGCGCTGCTCGAGGCCGAAGCCGTCCGCGCTCGTTCGTGCCGGGCACAGTATTGATTGCCGAGGCCGAAGAAAGCGCCGCGCGCTGGCCGACGTCCTCCGGGTTCTCCTCCAACTTTGTTTCAAAACATCGAAGGCTGGCTCAAAAAAAAATCGAAAGCTAGTTTCATAACTAACATCGAAGCTTTCTCTACTCAACATCGAAGACCTCAAAAACGGGAATGTACGTAAAGAGCTACATACAATGAGAGAGATAAGCTAAAAGTACGTACGTACAATGAGAGGGGGGGAGCGGCGTGGCGTGGAGCTCCGAGATAGCGCGAGATCGCCCGAGATCGCGCGGCGCGGCCCGAGATCGCCCGAGATCGCGCGGTCGGTTCTGCGGCGCCACGCGTTCTTGCACACACATGGAGTGTAAGATACTCGTTCCGTTGCCGTCCCAAACTGTCCCACTCACTCCCCTTTCTCCCGCCCCGGCCGGGGTGGGGCGCACGCGGGGGCGGCGGGTGTGCGGGATGTCTGTGGGCCCGAGAGCGATGTGCGTGTGTCCGCCTTGCGTTTGTGTTGTTTCATTCATTTCATCGAACTAGCTCATCGATGACCGGCGGCCGCCGCGGTCGTTCCGGCGGCGGCGTCGGCGTCGGCGTCGCGAGCGAACTGGCTCGCATTCGACGAGCGACCCTCTTTCTTCACAGTAGGTAGGGTGATATTGGCCGCTCTGTGTATCTCGAGACCTCGCTCGAGAGAGGGCCGCCCGCAGGCCTCCCCGAGGGCCCAAGTCAAGAAGTGGCTTTCTTTTGGCGGGCAAAGGGTGATACGAATTTTTACTATACAGGGTGATAAGAAACAAGAACTTTGCGTGCGACGACAGTGAGGTCAGTCGGGCCGCGGCGCCGCCACATACATGGACTACTCCATGTGGCTCTACAGCGGCGGCAAAGTCGGCGCGCCGATGCTGACTCCCGAGGATGCTCAGCGGGCGCCGCCTGAGGGTGCAAAGGAGGCCACTGGGTGCTCGTCAAGCGATGTGCAGCCTTCCGGCGGCGAGGCCCTCGCAGAGGCCGCCGCCAGCAGCAGGCGGGCGCCCGACGCGATTGCGCGAGCGATCGAGCGAGACGACGCGGCGACGGTTCAGGCGTGGCTCACCGGCGGCGGGCGGGTCACGGATATGTGCAAGGGCGTCGAGAATTCGACCGTCAAATATCCGGCGCTTCCGATGTTGGCGATAGCCGCCGGCATGGGCCACGATCAAGTGGTCGCCGTGCTGCTGCAGCACGGTGCGGACTCCGACGAGCATTACGAAGGAGGCCTCACGCCGCTGATGAACGCTGCCAAAAACGGCCACCTGCGAGTGGCCGAAATGTTGCTGCTGCACGGTGCGGATGTCAACCGGCAGACCAGAGATGGCAAGACTGCACTGATGAGCGCCGCGTTTGGCGGCCACCCATCCGTCGTCCTTCGCCTGCTCCGGGCTGGCGCAGACATGAAGACGCGCTGCGAGGACGATTATACGGCGCTGCAGATGGCCAAGGAGAACGGCCGCACCGCGTGCGTAGAGGCCTTTCGAAAGCACATCGAGGCGGTGGCAGCGGGTGGTGAGGCGGGCGCTGCCTCTATGGCCGGAGCAGAGGGCGAGCCTAGCCTCGGCACGTCCGTCCCACTTAAGGTCCTGCAGGCGGCTATGAGTGGTGGCGACGAGGCTGTGATGCAGGAGTGGCTCGGCGGGGGCGGGCAGGCCAACACGACGGTCTACGTTTCGGGCGAGCAGGAGGCACTCCCGCTCCTCATTTTCGCCGCCTCAAATGGCCACGAGCGTGTGGTGGACATGCTGCTGCGGCACGGCGCGGAGGTCGACGTAAAGGACGGCAGAGGACAAACGGCGCTGAATAAGGCCTCAGCCGGCAACGAGCGGATGGTCGAATCGCTGCTGCAGCACGGCGCGGACGTCAACGGGCAAGTCGGCGGTCTGAGTGCGCTCATAATCGCCGCTAAACACGACCAACCCCTCATCGTGCGCCGGCTGCTGCAGGCGGGTGCCGACCCGAGGGAGAAAGTGGTGTTCGCCCTGCCTCAAAACTGGACGCCATTGGACGCCAGGGAAAGCGAGAAAATTGCCTCATGGACGGGCCAGACGTACACGGCGATGCAAATGGCCAATGAACACAGCCCTGAGTGCCATCGAATCATGGTTGAGCACGCTAAGAAATTGTGGAACGCAGAGTGGGATGCGGAGGACGCGGAGATGGCTGCACGGGAGGCCGAGGCGAGGCGGCGAGGTGACGCGCTGCTTGCGGAGCTCGAGGCGGAGGAGGAGGCGGAGCGCGGCAAGCAGGGCAGAAAGTCGAAGAAGAAGAAGAAGAACAAGGGCGGTGGGAGAGGGGCCGGGCCGCCGCAGGCGCCTGCTGAGGCAGAGGAGGTGAGGGAATCGGCGTTGGCGACGGCAGAGGAGGCGGAGCTGGCGGCGGCGCTTGAGGATAGCGTGAGGGTGGAGGATGAGCGAGCGGCAGGCGCGGTGTCAGGCTACGTGCCCCAGTCAGGTGTGGTAGCAGAGCCGCGAGGACAGGCGGCAGCGGAGGCGCCGGCAGAGGCGGCACCGGCAGAGGCGGCGCAGGCGCCGGCAGCGGCACAGGCGCCGGCAGAGGCGGCACCGCCGGCAGGGAGCAACGCAATCCCGCCGGAACTGTTGGCGCAGCTGCAGTGTCCCCTCTCCCTCGAGATCATGACCGACCCGGTGATGAACGCCTCTGGGCAAACCTATGAGCGCTCAGCCATCGAGAAGTGGTACTCCATGGGCAAGCGGACCGACCCGATGACCGGCGTGGTCCTCGAACACACGAATTTGGTGCCAAACGTGGCGCTACGAAGCATGTGCCGCTGGTATGAGACCGCGCGACGCGGTATGTGCGCGACCTAGTCGCATACTATGAGATGGCGTCGGCTGTGGAATGCGTTAGCGCTTAACTTATGTTCACACCGCGCGCATGGCGCATGGCGGATGGCGCATACGCGTCATCCACGCACGCGGTACCGAAACCGCGACAGCTTGCGAAAGTTCCCGAGAACTCGTGGCGGAGGGGGAGCCGCAGGTGGGCGCGCACACACAGAAATACAAAATCTCAAAAACGACGCCGACGGCCGCCGTGTGGGGAAGCGTGGTCTCCAGCCGCGCGGGCGGCGAGAAGTGCAGAGTCCAGAGACGGCACAAAATTACATGTGAGCTAGGCACAGCAGTGACAGGCAGATGCACCCACCGGCGTCACCCATCCCGGTACAACCTCACGGGCGCGGACCCGTCGAGTCCCAGCCGCTCGCAGATCGCCGCGACCAGGACGGCGGTCTCCTCCTCGCTCTCGCAGCCGCCATCGCCGTGCAACGACCTGGTGAGCTTCGAGTGCAGCAGCTCGCCGTCGCATTCGACTTCGAATGAGTCTCTCCCCGCCGCGTCCGCCACCGTGCTCACAGAAAAGCCGTGCGGGCCGAACATCGTCTGCAGCCGGTACGCCAGCGCATTCGCCTGGCGCTCGGAGCAGCCGCCGTGCACGATGCGAACGCGGACGCCGCCGCTCGCCGCCCGCACAGCCGCCGCGCTCATCAGCGGCGCTGTCCGCCGCAGCGGCCGGCACGCGCCCTCGCCTGGCGCGCGGCCGCGGTTGCTGCGCTCGAGGCAGTCTGCGTTGACGGCGACCGCGCGGAAGGACGCGGCGACCGCCTCGAGCTCGACGCGCAGCGGGCTCGCCTCCTCGAAGAAGCTTACGGCCGCCTACGGGAAGGTTCCGAGGAGCTTCGTGCAAGGTTCCGCAGCGGGCTCGCCTCCTCGTGCAAAACGTCGCCGGCTTGGCCGCCCGCACCCGGAGGCAGTACAGCCGCTGCTGCAGGACGGCGAGCTTGGCGATGGCCGGCTTGGCGCCGACTTGGTAACGCACGACGTAGTACTCGGCCGGGCCAGCCGCGGGCAGCTGTTCCGCCGACACCACTCCCGCCGACTTTGCGTCGTCGTCGTTGAAGAGCTCGTTCGAGACGAGACCCTGAGCGATGTCGTCCAGCGAGCCGAGATCTCGCAGCGTGTCGCCGTACCGTCGGCCTCGGGAGCCTCCGTCGACGACCGCCTGCAGGCTCGCGCCGCCGTCGAGCCGCTGCGCTCGCACGGACAGAAGGTGCCCGCGTGACGCACGCTCCTGCTCCGGGAGAGTGACGCCGATCCAGCCCTGCGGCAGCGCAAAGGCGACCGACCCGTCATCCGCCTCGTAGAGCGCGGCCACGTCGGAAGCAGAGCCCGGCCGGCGAGTCGCTGTGAAGCAGCCGCCGCCGAGCAGGCCCGAAACGAGGAGCCGGCGGCCGAGCGACAGCATAAGTTTCGCACCGATTCTAGTTGTCTTTGCACGGCTGGCTAGCGCTCGAAAGCGCCAGCTCGACCGCTTGCGGGGGGGGGGGGGGGGGCGGAGCAGCTACGAGAAGTGGCAAGACTCTACCCGGGTACCCGGGTACTCGAGTAATCTGTGAAGTGGGCCATGTTCTCGACGAGTGAGGTCATCGGCACGCCTAATATAAAAGAAGAATAAGAAGAAGTGGGCCACAAATTTGGTTTCGGCGGCACCCTCGACCATAACCTTGCTCAAGGTTCTTGGGTGCAAAGAGCGCGGCCACACACAAGTCACAGGGCCCGCTCGTCCATGCGACCATGCGACCGGCAAAGGCTGGGTCAAAGAGCACAAGGGACAGTACTACGACGCGCTCCATGTCAAGAACGGAATCGTCAAAATTTGTCTCGTCGAAAGCCAGGGGGCGGCATCGCGCCGCCGACCAAGAGAATCATCCACAACTTCGCCAAAGAGGTCGGCAGCCCGAGCGCCGTCGACCGCACCGACTACGGCACAGCCTCCGGCAGCGCCCGGGGCTTCGCCCAGCACCACTCGCAACAGCTCTCGCGCGCCGCCGTCTGTGGCGACGCGCGGAACATCAACAACGCGCTCGCAACATGCGTGTCGCGCACTCATTCATGACCGGTCTCAATGCCCCACCCCCCTGCGCGCGGGCCTTCTATCTAGACCCGCGGGTAGTCTCCCCCCAAGCCCCATTCGCATTCCAGGGCCTCCAGGGCTGCAAAAGTATTTTCTTCTCAAGAACAAGGCTGTGAGCAGAATTCGGGTGGCAACTCAGCGATGCATACTTAGCACAAAAGCACAAAAGAAAAAACGATTCTCAAGTTCACACACATGTGTGTGCTTCTGTTCACTTTCACCCTCTCGCTGCGAGCGGGCGTCGCCCCGCCGCGCTCGCTAGATCGCTTCGTCGTGGCCGCCGCCGGCGTGCGGATGGCCGCGCCGCCGCCGGAGCCGCCGCGCGACTCCTTGAGCATGGAGCGCGAGGCGTTGGCGAGGCGAGCGGCCGAGGTGGCCGACGCCGTCCGGGAGGGCGGCCCGGCCGCGGCAGCGCGGAGCCTGGCCTCGCGCGTGGTGGGTGGCGTCACGGTGGACGGCGCGCTCGAGGCGCTCGAGCGCGCGCGGCAGGAGGCTGGCGGTCAAACCGGCAACGAGGCGGCCGAGGCGGCGGCGGCGGTGGCGGCCGCATCGCCAGAGTCGGTCGCGCTGGCGGACGAGCTTCCGGACTCGTTCGAGGACTCGGTGGAGCGTGCGGTGGCCTCGCTCGCGCGCGCGGTCGACGGCGGCGCGACGCGCCTCGTCGTCGAGTTCGACACGTCGGCCGGCGACGAGACGTACACGCTGCTCTCGCGCACGATGCAGCTGGCGCGGCCGATGCTTCCGATGCTGGCGGCGGCGCTGGCGCTCGAGCCGGCCGAGGCGGACGCCGACGCCGACGCCGACGCCGCCGACCCGCCCGCCGCGGGCTTGCAGCTTCTCGTGCCTGACGAGGGGACCGCCGCGATGGTGCGGATGCAGTGGGAGCTGCCGCGGGGAACTGTCGTCGGGTCGATGGGGCGGGTGTCGCTGGCGGTGGGGGCAAGCGCGCTGGTGCTCGTCGCCCCGGGCGCGACCGAGGTGGCCACTGTCCAGCGGCTGCTGCGCGAGGTTGAGGAGGGGGCCGCGGGCGCGCCAGCGGCGGTGTCTGGAGCCCGAGGCTCGAGCCCTGCAGCCTGAAGCCTCGAGGGCTCTGTAGGCCTCCCGGTGCTGATGCTCAACCCGAAGCTGGTCGACATGCAGTCGACCGGCTACGGGCTGGTGGGGCGCGAGCTGCGCTCGCTCGTCGCGGACACGTTCGAGGTCATTCTGCCCCAAGCGCCCCTGCGCGGCGGCGGCGTGGCTGGTCCTTTCATTCGGACCCTTGCTGAACAGGTGGCCTTCTGCCTCAAGACGCTGCTCGGCGGCGCGCTCTACCGCTCGTACCCCAACGATTGGGCCGTGTGGCGCGAGGACGCCGGCGCAGCCAACGGGCCCGCGCCTGCTCGAGCCCTTCCCGGAATGTTCTCTCGGACCGCCCTCTCGACCTCCTCCGGCCCTCCCCGGTAGGTACGCCGCCGCCTACTCGGGCCCGCGCCGGCCGGCGCCCGACGACATCGACGGGCTCCTCTTCCCCGAAAGCGAGGAGTCGCCCGGCGGCGGAGGCGGGGCGTCCTTCCTGGACGGCTTCGCAAAGTTCGTCAAGGGGTTCCAGGCGATGTGAGCGCCCTTGGCGGGCACTTGGCGGGCACCGGGCTCGGCGGGGGGCGCGGCCCGCGGCGTCGTCGGAGGGACTTGTGAATGTGGGCAACACGTGATGTCGCGGGCGAGGTAGCATGCCCTGGTCTGTTAACAACAACACGCAGCCACGACTCTTGCCCTCTTCGCGCAGAAATATGCACACATATCCAAGACGGCGTGCGCCCACCCTTGGAGCATAAATAAATAAATAGAGCTCAGACATCTCCAGGAGAGATGGGCGACGGCCGACGCACGAACACAGATAAATAAATAAATACAACGGACATCCCAAGCTAGGGCTGGGTCGAGGACAGACACGTCCCCACCTTTGCAGGATTTTGCAAAAGCGAGGGCACGAACACAGAGGGACATTGGAGAATCACGCACAAATTCTTTTTTGCCGGGACAGCTTGCTTGCCTCGTTATTGACTCGCCACCCTTCATGCACGCTCACGCCTCGTGGTACGCGCTCCAGCTGTCAGCAGTGCTGCTGTGGTGGGCCTTGATCAAGAGGATGACCGGCAAACATCTCTACTCGCTCTGCTCCTCGAGCGTCATCACCCGTCCGTCGTGGCTTTCGCGAGAAGCTCTCACTCTCCTCGTCTCGCACAAACGCCAAATCTTCCTCGCGCTTCCGGCGGCTCTGGCGGCCGGCGCGTTCGCAGGCCAGCACGCGCTGGTTCGTCTGCTCGTTGCGCTGGTCGTCTCGCTTTATCACCTGTCCGAGAGCAGCCACACGAACCGGCACGGCGAGTATCCGGTGCTGTACACGGCGTGGGCAATGGTCCTGCCGGCCAGCTTCGCGCACGCTGCGAGCATGGGCGTCGCCATTCACTTTGTCCTCTCCTGCGGCATCGCAAAGTGCATGGTCGGCGGACCGCGCGCTTGGGTGTTTGGCGGAACGATGCGAACCTATTTGGAGGTGTATGGCCAGTCAACGTCGAGCAAGCCGCTCGTGCGCGGCCTGAACAGGTTGCTGGCGCGCCGCGCGAGTACGATGATCGGTGCCAGCACGCTCCTCCTCGAGTGCGTCGCAGTGCCACTCACGCTTCTGCTGCCGGGTGCACGCTTCCTGCTCGGCGCGCCGCCGCCCCGCCCCCGATGCATGCCCCTCTCTTGCCGTCAGAAGAGTGCGCGCGTCCGGACAGGCGTGTGGGGGATGGTCGGGCTCCACGTCGGGATCGCGCTCGCCATGTCGCTCAACGTCGGGCTGGTCTTCCCGACGACTCTGCCGACGTGCAAGTCTCATCTCGGCCAACCTCCTGCCACCTTCGATGCGTTAGGTCTTCCTGACGACTCTGCCGACGTACGTGCACGGCTTCTCCTGCGACGCGCGCGTCGGGTCGGCCGAGTGGCGTGCCTCGCCGCGCGCGGCACAAGCGCGGAAGGTCCTCGGTTTGATGCGTGGAGGGATGGGCTCGAAGGTGGCTCGCCGCCGCGGTGGCGCTGCTGCCGAGTGCGCTGGCGGTGGCGCGAGGGCGGCAGCTCGCCGAGGACTGGCCGTGCACGCCGTGCTCGCTCTTCATGTGGTCCGGCGCACAGGCGCGCAGCCTTGAATGACTCCTTTCACGCTTAGCTGCTGGTGGTGAGCTGTCACTTGCCCGGCCGAAAGTATGAGCCACTACCACCTGTTGTTGTCACGTGCAGGCGGAGAGGATCGCACGGCTCACGATGACGGGCCGGACGCGCCTCGTCCTCGCCACGCGGGAGGCGGCGCAGCAGGACCTCGTCGGGACTCGTGTCCTACACCACGGCGGCGCGGGCGCCTAGATGCCCTGCTAGATGCCCGAGGTTCGACCCACATCTCCCCAGACCTCGGAGCCCAGATGCGTAGCACGCGTGTCTTCCGACTGGCACTCTAGAGGACACGTATTCAGCTGAGCCTATTCGAGCCGGTATCTACCATGGCGCAGGCTCGGGCGCCTTTGGAGCGAAGGACGCGCCCGCCGGCCACGCCGTGCACGACTCGATCCTGCGTGCCACCGGCTTCACGCTGCTCCACGACAACCTCGTGGACGCCTTCGACCTGCCGGCAGACGCAGCGGCTCGCGGAGCCGACGGCGGCGCGGCGCCCGCGGCGAAAGACGCGGCCGCTCGAGAGGCGGCGGAGCTGGAGATGATGCGGCGGCTGCTGATGCGGCTGGAGCGGTGGCTTGCGCGCGAGCGTAGGCTCCTCGAGGCGTCGAGCGCGAGGCCGCTCGAGCGGGCGTATTTTGTATTGTTGGATGGCGACAAGACGAGAGTCGCAAAGGTCCTGGCCGACGCCGCGTGAGCGAGAGAGTAGAGAGAGCGAGGGGGGAGAGGGCGGTAGTGTGAGAGCGACGCCCGACGCGAAGAGCGGAGTTGACGAGAGAGGCGTTTGTGAAGAAAATGGTTGCGCAAACCTGAAACAAACATCGGGCGTGTCAACCGTCGCCATTGTCGAAGTTTTCGAACGGACAAAAACGTCGGCTTGTCGTTCGGGACTGCGGTCCCACCGCTCCAACGCCAAGCGCTGTCCCGGAGGTTGCTGCATGAACACGCCCCCAGGAACCACCGCCGCCGCCGTCGCGGTGGTCGATGCCAAACCGGCTCCCCTGAAACGGAGCTCCTCCTCATGGTGGTCGCCGGAAGAGGATGAGGAGCTCCGTCGTCTCGTCGAGGTGCATGGCGCCCACCATTGGTCGACGATCGCCTCTCAGCTGCCAGGCCGGATTGGCAAGCAGTGCCGCGAGCGGTGGGCCAATCACCTCTGCCCCGGCGTCAGAAAGGCCGAATGGACCGAAGAGGAGGATCGGCTGATCTTCGAGGGCGTCTCAGAGCTGGGGCACAAGTGGAGCGAGATTGCGAAACGAGTCCCAGGCCGTACCGACAACGCCATCAAGAACCGATTCAACTCGCGTCAGCGGAAGGAGAAGCGGAGAGAGCTCCGAGAGGCTGCGGGTAAGCCATGCCTGAAGCGACGCAAATCGGGCGAGCGCGGCGAGGAGATGGCGAGGGAGACCGGGGAGGCAGCCAGCGAGCCAGAGGCCGAAGGCTCGCCTCCCTCGAGGCAGCTGCAGGGTGCGCAGCGCCGACGGATCATAACACTGGCGAAGCAGCTCGCGGAGCACGGCGCCAGCGCATCCGCCAGCACCGCCTCGCCCTCCTCGTCCGGCGACGAGGACGTGCAGGACCGCCTCATCCTCCGGCTCATGGACGAGACGATGGCGTTTGGCGAGGTGCCGGCCGAGTCGCCGCCAAAGAAGGGACCGGCGGCGGCGCAACTTCGCGCGCTCGACCTCGAGCGCGATCTCGCGGACCTGATCGTAGCACCAGAGGCCGCCGCCGACTCTCCAACCACAGGGCGGCGCGGGGGGAACGCGAGAGAGAGGCGGCGGCTCGAGATTGACGCCCACGGCCTCGGCGCCGCTGGCGGAGGCGCACAGCGGCGCCCCCTCAGGCCTACGGCGAGAGGGGCGGCTAGTGTCGACGGCGCATCCCGGTCTCGCCGGGTAGCCGCCAATCGTTGTCGCGATAGCGCATGCGGGGCGGCCGCGAAAGGCCCAGCCAAGCCCGGCCTGTCCCTGCATATCGACGTCCCCAAGATCGAGGACGCGTCGCCCAGCTGCAGCCCAAACCTCACGGGTGAAGTGATGCTTGTGGACGGCTGCGCCGTGCCCATCACGCCGCCGCTCTCGGCGGGCTATTTGTCGCAGGCCTCGTCGGACTGGCTAGCCACCTACTCATCCGAGCTGCCGACGCACGAGAGCTCGGAGCCGCCGCCGACGCCGCTCTGCTCGGCGCTGATTGACACCTTTATACCGCCGCCCGCAAGTTGAGACGGCGATACGGGGGATCCGCTCTCTGGCGCGTGTGGGCCGTGCAAAAGTCTTGTTGATAGCGGCCATGCGTCTGCAAGAGACGGCGCAGCAGATTTAGATTTTATCAGAGAGAGCGCGCAAACCCGTACACCAAACCCCACACAGGGGTACCGACCCACATTTCCGTATCCCTGGCGCAACTGTACTCCATAATGTAAAACCCACAATGATCATGCTCAAACCTACATGCTACAAGCTCACGATCTCTCCACACGCTTGCCGGGCGGGGCATGGCATTGCTGCGCCGCGCTCGGGCGCTCAAACCATAGTCGACTCTACAGTCGACTGCACCCTCTGCGCACCGGACGCGCGTTTGCTGAGCGCCACGCCGCCTCTCGATGACATGATGTCGCGCAACTGCAGCTCACTGTCTCCCGACTTGCTCGCGCCATCCTTAGAGCCATCCTCGAGCTTCGCGGCGGCATGCATCTCGATCCGGAGCTCGATGACGCCGTGAGCCACCAGCGTGCAGAAGAGCACCAAGCAGCCGATGATCGTGGAGGTGGCGGGCACCTCGCGAAACGCCCAGTAGCAGAACAACGGGCCGAGAGGTATTTCGAGGAGCATCATCATGGCCACCTCAGCGGACGTAATGTCTTCCGAGGCGAGACCCATCGCGATGTCGTAGTACGCCTCGAGGATGGCGTCGACCAAGGTGGCGAGCACGAAGGTGCTCGAGAGTCCAATGCCGCCCTCCTCGCCTTTGCTGACGAGGATCGCTATCGCGGCGGGCGCGGCAACCAGTGAGGCGCCGAGCGAGCCGAGAGCCGGCGCGATGCTCAGCGGCGCCTCGGGGTCGGACATCGAGCTCGCGCGATAGGCGACGAGGTAGGACGCGAGCGAGACGCCGACAAGCAAAGCGACGACGTCGCCAAAGCGCGTGCGCGGTATCGCGCCCTCCGCCGCCGGCATCTCCGCCTCCACCTCGCCGCTCATTGCGAGCGGCGCGAAAGCCAAGAAGACCGCAGAGAGAGCCACGGCCATCGCGACGAGAGTGTGGGGCTGCGCCGTGTCGCCGAGAAAGTAGCGACCCATGCCCAAGGCCCACACCGGCTGCAAGTTGAAGAGCATGATCGCATTAGCGGCCGTGGTCGTCATGAAGCACGTGGTGAGGCCGAGCTGGCAGATGAGCATAAAGATTGATGGCAAAAGCAGCGCGCGCCAGCTCTGCTTCACCTGCGAGAGTAGAATTGCCGGGCTTCCCGCTTGCACGACGCTGTAGCCCACCTGTATGAAACCCATGACGGAGTACTTGAGAAACAGGATCAGTGGAATCGTCTCCCACACGGCGCTGCACGGCGAGTAGAGGAGCATGAAATGCAGCAGCATCGAGTCGGGCGAGACGGTGAGCACGGCAGCGAGTGCGTACAGCCACCCACGTGCGCGCGACATGGCTGGCTCTTTCGCGGAAGCTGTCGTTCGTCACCGCGTCGAGGATGCTGTCGCGAACGCTGTTCGCGGTCCCGACGTCGCGTGCGTGCCGAGGGATTGTCAGAGACGACTTGACGTACGTCCGCCGATCTGCTTCTCGAGGTTCTCGAGGTGGATATCCTTTGGCCGCGTTGGGTAGCGAGGATTGGTGTGACGCGATCCACGCAGGCGTGTTTTCTGGCGGCCGACCGTCAGTGCACGGAGTTGCCCCTTCTCCGACTGCCCCGGCTAGTTCCCGGATTTCGCGGGAGTGACCCCATGCGTCGTCAAACCCGAGACCTAGCGCGGATGGGTTGGAGGGGGGCTCGCTCGTCGCTGCAGGGAAGGGCGGTGTAAGAAGCCGATCCCCGTAGTCCGCCCCACTCCTCCCCATCGGGCCGCATAAGCGGCCACGCCTCGCAGATTCGTTTCTCGCGCCTGGGTCAGGCGCGGGGCATCCCCCGGGTCGCTCGACCAGCGATCCGAAGAGTGGCCGCTATGAGAGGGAAAGAGCGGGGCCCTCGGGGTACGCCTCTGTCCGCGGCCCCCTCCGAGGGGGGAAGGGAATTGCGGGGTCTCCACGGGCGCCTCAGTTTGGCCCTCCCGAGGGGGGGGGGGAGCAAGGGGGTGAGGGGGTCGGGGCGGTGGGGAGGGCTCTCGTCTCTCGATTTCGTGAGGCTAATACTTGCCTTTCGGGGAGGGGCCTCGGGACGGCGAGCGCAGTGGCGCCCGCTCGACTTCTTCCCCTCCTCCCTCGAGGCAGCGAGTAGGCAGCGAGTAGTGAGGGTGGGGGGGCCTCGGTTGGAAGGCGAGCGCGGTTGCGCGCGCCCTACGTCTTCCCCTCCACCCTCGAGAGTACCTATACGCTAGACAGCGTAGGGCGGTGGCCAGTGCGCGGGCGAGGGGAGGGGGCGGGGCGGGTCGGGCGGGCGGGCGGGGAGGAGGGGAGGGGAGGGGAGGCTTAGCCATCAGCTGCTGTCGAGCCGAGTCGGCGGTAGCCGCCGCAGCTGCGCCGCCTCCCGTCGCGCCGCGGTCGCTGCTCCCTCAGCGCCGTCTCCGCGTCGTCACCCGCCGCAGCCTCTCCTCCGCCGCCGCCGCCCGCTCCCGAGAGTGTGGCGGCGGTGTGAGTGGTATAGTGCAAGGGAGGCGTGTGTGTGTGTCTGCCGCAGATCGCTGCCGTTGTCTGCGCCGCGATCCGCCGCCGCGCCGCCGCGCCGCCGCCGCCAGCGCGCTCACCGCCGCCTCGTAGACGACACCTCTCGCGCTCAAAGAGCCGCGCAGCGGGCCGCGAGGTTGAGGTCAAATTGCAGCACAGGATGTCGAGGTCATGAAACACTAGATTTTGAGCTTGCCACGCAGGCCGCAGCGCTGGCGGCAGTTCCACGCTTCATAGAGTGGATCGTTGACGGCTTCGCCAACCTGGGCTCTGGCGGCAGCACCTCCACCCCGATGGACGCTAGACGCGCTGTCCTCTCTCACATTGGGCTAAACCCCACCTGGCTTCCTCCCGCTAAATACAAAGGCCGGGACACAAGTTCTCTCTTGCACCTCGAAGCGCAGAAAGGCTGCCAACCTCCTCTCCCATCTGGCGCTTGCGTCGGGCAGCGTGGGCGCGGCATCCGGGACGGATGCGGGCCCTTCTCTCGCGGGATCGCTGGGAGCCGCTCGGCTCCCCACGCGCCGCCGAGCTGCGATGGCGCCACCGCAACGGCTGCCCCTCCTCGGCTCCCGCCCCGGGGCTGCCGAAATAGGTGCCCCGAGCCACCGTTTGCAACATCCGCGCGGAACGGCGGTGCTGCCGACGCCCCCCCGACCGGCAAACACCACCAGAAGGGCGGTGGTGAAAGCAGCACCTCAGAGATGTCGTCGTCGTCGCGCAGTTCCCTTAAGTGACGTTCGGCGGCCGGCGGCGGCTGGCGCCAACAATCCGGATTTTCGTCTCTCGACGCGAAGATATGGTCCCGAGTCTCACTACTCGCCCCTCCATCCTGTAGGTCCGGACCTTGCCTGCTCAGTAGCCGCGATGAATCGTCGCCCTCATCGTCCGCGGTCATCCTTTCAGCCTCAAACGGGCCAAACGACTGTCTCGCCATCACCCATCTCGCCTCTCGCGGTCGCGTCACACCTTCCCTCGTGCCGCGAGTAGGCGCGTGAGTGATGGCCCTGCCGCCAGGTACACGGCTACACCTCGGGACGCCGTGCTGAGACGGGTAGAGCCGCCCCACGGGAGCGAAAGCCGCCTCGCGCGCCTCAGCCCGCCGGGCCCCTCGGCGGCCAGTGTGGGGTGGATACGGCGGTGATAAACCCCTCTGACAGCAGCGCCTCACGGCGTGGGCTGCGAGGTCACTCGGGGTGACCCAGGGGGCGGCGGGGGAGCAATCTCCCGCCGGAGCAGCGGGTGATATTCCCGCTACTCGCTCGAGTTTGAGGTGCGCCGCGCCTCGCCTGTGCTGCCTTCCCGGCCGCCCCAGCCGCCCTCATCGTTCCTCATCCCCTCCCCCACCCCCTCCCCCTCAGGCTAGGCCCTCGCCGCCGCCGCCGCCGCCGTCTCCGCCAGAGCCGCCGCCGTTTCCCTCCCCCCCACCCCCTCCGACGCCGTCGCCTCCGCTGCTCCCGCCACCACCGCCGGCCGCCTCAGCTCTCCCTCGCCCACCTCCCACACACCACCAACGCCCTCCGCGCGTCCCCGCACGCCGCCTCCGCGCCCCCACGCCCCCACGACGACCTCCCGCCCCGCCCTCCCCGCGTCTCAGACCCTTGGCCGTGCTCCGCTCGGGGCGACTCGGCGCCGCCATCGCGAGCACGCCGCCCTCGCCCCCGCCACCTTCCCCCCCGCCGCCATCCCCACCGCCGCCGTCGCCGCCGCCCCCGTCACCGCCACCGCCCTCGCCGCCCCCTCCGTTGCCACCGCCGCCGTCGCCCCCTCCGCCTTCCCCGCCTCCTCCATCGCCTCCGCCGCCGAGCCCTCCGCCACAAAGCCCGCCCCCGCCCTCACCCCCTCCTCCCTCGCCGCCTCCGCCATCGCCGCCGCCTCCCTCTCCGCCGCCGCCCTCACCGCCCCCTCCGTCGCCGCCGCCGCCATCACCGCCGCCGCCATCGCCACCACCTCCCTCGCCACCACCGCCCTCCCCGCCGCCGCCAAGCCCGCCTCCGCCGTCGCCGCCGCCGCCATCGCCGCCGCCACCATCCCCGCCGCCGCCCAGCCCTCCGCCACCATCACCACCACCGCCCAGCCCTCCGCCCCCAAGCCCGCCCCCGCCATCGCCGCCGCCCCCCTCGCCACCGCCGCCCTCGCCGCCACCCCCGTCACCACCGCCTCCGAGCCCGCCTCCGCCCTCGCCTCCGCCGCCCTCGCCACCACCCCCGTCTCCGCCACCGCCGAGGCCTCCCCCGCCCTCTCCTCCTCCGCCCTCACCGCCGCCGTCCTCGCCGCCGCCGCCCTCGCCGCCGCCACCCAAGTCCGCCGCCACCGTCACCCCCGCCTCCGTCGCCGCCACCTCCCTCACCGCCATTGCCCAGCCCGCCGCCGCCATCTCCCCCACCGCCCTCACCGCCACGCTGCCAGCGCAGCCGCCGGGCGACGCGACAGCGGCTAGCGGCCGGGAGAGCCTCTCCAGTGCGGGCTGGGGGCGGCGGCGGCACTCTGCGGGTGGCGGGCGAGCTGCTGGCTGGCCGGCGGCGCGTCTCGACTCAAATTATGGGCCGCCTCTCGGGCGTGCGGCCAGGGGCCCGTGTGGCGCGAGGAGAGGGCGGCGCGCTCGGCGCGCTGGCGGCGGTGAAGCCTCTCAGAGTGGGCGCTGGCTGGCCGAGGGCGTCGGGCGGGTGTGGGGCGGCACTCGGGCCGCCGGACGGGCCGTGGTGGCCCGTGTGGCGTTCGTGAGGGACTGTTTGGGCGCCCCGGCAGCCTCCCCGCCTGCGTGACCAGGGCCGGTTTGGCAGCGGTTTGGGCTGTGTGTGGGCTGGTCGCGGTAGGGGATATAGTGCTTGTTTATGGTCCCACTCACTACTCCCGGCCAACGGGGCCTCGCGGGGCGTCCTCGTTTGCAGTAAAAGGCCTCTGCCATCGCTCAGAGTCCCAAACCATGTGATCCTCCGCGCCGCCGCGCCCGAGTAGTCTGCCTGATGCGATGTCGTCGGGGAGGGCGTCGTCGCGGGCGCCAACGTCGTCATGCGAGCCCCTACGGCTGTCCAAGGGCACGTCTGGGTGACCAGGGGCGGGGGTCGAGCCGTGAGTGCTCCGCCGGGGCGAGCTTCTGGGTCCATGGGACCGCTGCCGGACCCGTCCGAGAGCCTCTCCGGACACGTTCGCTCGACGGCCTAGTTGGCGGCCGATGTTCGACGACTAAAGCTCCGGACGCCGCGGCCAAAGGTCCGCCCACGGCCCCAGGGCTCGTGGTGGGTGTGGGGTGTGCCTCACGAGGCGGAGAGGCCGCGTGAACTCCCGTAGAAGCTCGCGAAGTGCGGATTTGGAGCGCCGCGCCGGACCTCCGCCGGGGCCCGCCGGGACGCCGTATGGGCCTCGGGGTGCCCGATAAGCTTAGAGGTGCGGTTTTTTTTGCTTGTGTCTATCGGTTCATGTCATGGACCGGCCCTGGGAAGCCTTTGACCGCGCGCGGAGGGTGTTACGGGGCCGTGATGATTTAGCGGGAGGGAAATCGGCCGATTTGCCCAGTGTGTCGGGCGGTGTGTGTCGTAGGGTACTGCTGCTATAACTGGTTAAGAGTCTCATGTGCTTGCGCGCGTACGCACATGGGGCGCACGACGGATCATTCCGCGCCTGTGGGAGCGCTGGCCGTGCACGGCCGCACATGGGGTCGGTGTGTGTGCGCTCGCGAGAGATGGGGGTGTGTTCTTGACTCTCGCTCCGGGTGCCTCGAGCGAGAGAGGAGGGCGAGACGCCGCGCTGGGTATTAATCAGAGTGTTAGTCAAATAATCCTCGCACACCACGACTCGCGCATAAACCACGACTCGACCCACAGGGAGAGTGCGTGCGCTGCGACGGACCCAGCCGGCACCGGCAGTGCGGACACAGTGCGAGTTGCGATGACTACCGACGCACAAGCACACCACGCGACGTAGTCTGCAACACCGCGCGGCTGGACACCACACACTTCACCGGTAGGACTCACTGGGTCGGACACGCGCGCCGTGCAGCGGCAACCGAAGATACCGAGAAGCCCCGCCCGAAGCTCCGAACCATGTGCTGTGGTCGCTGCCACGCCAACCGCGCGGCCGGCCCGGGCGCAAGCCGTGACGACTGATCGCGGCGGCAGCGCCGCGCGCCCTCGTGCCGCGGTGCGCGCCGCTCGCGCCGCGCCAAGGGAGGTCTTCAGCCTGCGGCGCGCTCACCCGCAGCGCTGCCGGGCGTGCCCATCAAAATGCGCCGCCTCTGGACGTGTCTCTGCCGCCTCCAAGGCGACCGACGCCACGAGTGATAAGCGCGACGCCACCGTGAGACGTCTGGACGGCTCGCTGCGACCTCAAGGCCAGCCTCGCCGCCCGCCGTGAGCGCCAAAAAACGTCAACCGCGCAACCGCGCAACCGAGAGAGAGCCGCCGAGACGCTTCAGCGATCCGCCAGGAGCCGGGCCGAGGCCTGTCCGAAGCCGCATGCCGCTCGAGTCGGTCGTCCGGAGCACCCTGGGAGGCGCCCGTCGAAGCAAAGCTGTGCTGGGGACACGGCCGGATCAGCCTCGTAACAGGGACAGGCACACCAATTTCCTCTTTCCAGCCACCCACTCCTCAGCGGGCCCGCGTCGAGCCATTCTTCTGGCCCTTCTTGCTGGAGGAGTTGCGCGGTCCCTTGGGCTTGCCCATCTGGCCAGAGCCCTTGCCGCCGCCCAGCCCGAGCTGCTCCATGGCCGCGGCGTGCTTCACCTCATCAACGCAGCACGTTCCCCTGCGCACGTGCTTGTTGCGCCCGTCCCTGCTCCCGAACGTCTTGAAGCAGAGTGGGCACCCACAGGGCCCCTGCTGGTTGGCTGCCTCGCGGTGCCGCTTTGCCCGCTTTGCAGCCTTGGTGGGTCCACCCTGCGCCGCAGCCTCGGCCTCGCGGTTCTCCGCCGCTCGGCGCGTGCCCTCGCGTTGGCCCTCGATGCCGCGATCGGCCGCCTCGACCTCCTCGGTGGAGAGGAAGCCGCGGGAGCGGGCGGCGACCTGCACCGCCGTCAGGTCCGCCTTGCTCTCGCTGCGGATGCTTTTGACGATGGCGCGGCTGGCGTTGGAGGTGGTGCCCAGGACGTGGCCCTTCCACCACCGCGCACCCTCCTCCGAGAACGACTCGCCCGGCAACGCGATGAAGTCGAGAACAGGCCCTCGACTTGCTGTGTGTCGATTGACAGCCGAGAGGCGCGCCGTTGCGGCAGAAATGCATGCCAGGCCCTCGAGCGCAGTATTCCAGCGCCAGACGCCAGTCTCTTGAACCGCCATTTCTCCGCAGCCCTGTGCCAGTCAAAGTACTCGTATACTCCGGCACGCCGAAAGTGGAGCTAAAAAATCGTCCTTGACTTCTCAGCGCCCTGACGGCCCGCCGATGGCAGACCCGACTCCCTCCATCCGCATGGCGCCGCCCGATGGTGCCGGTAACCCTATTCCGGAGCGGTTTCTCCTAGGGTTAGCGCCGAAAAAGCCGGCTCCCTTAGCTCCGGCTAAGCCGGGGATGCACCTAGGGGTCGGCCTTCCCCGACGCGGATCTTGCCACAAAGGGCACGAGGCAGCCCGGTGAGGTTCGTACCGGCAGCAGACAGGGCAAGACAAAGGGAGAGGGCGATCCGAGAGGCCGAGATGGATCGAGCGGCCGCGGCGGCGGGCGAGAGGGCGGTCCTGGCGGAAGTCAGGGCGATCGGGCTGTCGTTCGCAGCCAGCGCTGGCGTCCTCAGGCCAAATAAAATATTCTTAGCTTCAAGCCCCCCTCCGAGACTAGGGACAGTCACCACCCGTACACAGGAGAGATGGGAGTGCCCCCCGCCCCCACTTGCCCTGACTGCACAGGATAGCGTGCCCCGATAACGGCGACACATAGTGGGGGACACTGCGCAAGGAGAGGGTGCGAAGCCTAAGATTGGGGTTCTAGGTGGTGGGACCATGAGGGGGGGAGGGCGGGGTCCTGTGGGGGTGAAATGTTGCGCGGCGAATTCGAGCCTACCCCCTCGCCGCGCCGATCCTCACGCGGAGGGTAAAACCCTGTGGGAGAAAACCCCTCCGCGGTCGGCAGTCTTCAGAGTGGACCCCCCCCCTCCCCAGCCTCCCCTGTTCGTCTTTCGCACCCCCCCCCCCGCTCCCCATCGGTGACTCGCGAAGGACACGGACACTCGGGGTGGGGGGGGAGGGGTCCCCCAGAGAGGGGGCTTTGGGGCCTTGTTGAGTCAATCTCCCCCCCAGAGGGGCCTCGCGTTGGGTCGATCTCGGGTCGATCTCGGGTCGATCTCGGGTCGATCTCGGGTCGATCTCGGGTCGATCTCGGGTCGATCTCGGGTCGATCTCGGGTCGATCTCGGCCACCGCGGTCGAGTAGCCTAGGTGAGGAGGGTGAGGCGAGATGAGGCGAGATGAAGCGAGGTGAGGCGAGATGAGGCGAGATGAGGCGAGATGAGGCGAGATGGGGCGAGATGAGGCGAGATGGGGCGAGATGAGGCGAGATTGGGCGAGATGGATGAGATATCGTGAGATGCAGCTCATGCCTGGGGGGGGTCAGCCAAACGATGCTCAGCGTCATACCTGCGGTGCGGGAGCAGAGGTAGAGAGGGTGGGACCCAGCGTCAATGACTCCACTATATGTAATATGACGGCCGCCCACCCCAGCAGAGATTAGACCCAAGACTCCGAAATAAATGCGATTGATCCTATTCGCCAGTCTGGTACTAGTCTTCGTGCTTTCGATCAGTCTGTTGAGGCTCAATTTCGGAACGAACGATTCTAAGGAATGGGTGGGTGGGGGTAGAAGCGTGGCAAGTAGGGTCAGGCGGTTGCCGGCCCAATAGCGGGGGGGGGGGGGGGTAGCGCGCAGGGGTAGTGGGGGGTAGGGGTAGCGTGCGGGGTGCAGAGGTAGCGCGCGCGCAGCGGATTTGATTAGAAAACAGCACATTTCTTTTTCGCGCTCCGTCTGGGTCGGCGGCGATCGAGCCCTGACACATTTTTCAGCTAGACAGCGCGCTGTACCCAGCCGTGCGCGAGTTGTGTCCACTGCTCTGATTGACACTACCCGGCTAAGCCTTGAAGGACACCGAAGAGTACCATGTGGGAGCAGCTCGCACGCACTTCGGCGGGCACGCTGATCGCGTACAAGCTCGCCACGGGTGGCCTCAAGCGCGGCTCGCTGCAGAGGGACGGGGCGGCGGCGGCCTTTGTCGTCGGTCTGCTCTCCTTTAGCTGCTCAATACGGTGCGGCGTCACGCTGCTGTTCTTCTACAAGAGCGGCTCGATGCTCACGCGGGTGGGCGCCGACGTGAAGCGAAAGGTGGAGGAGGGCTACGCCGCCGAGGGTCAGCGCGGCGCTGCCCAAGTGCTCGCCTGCAGCGCGGTCGGCGTGGCGGCAGCCGTCCTGAGGCGCGCTCTCGTCGGTCCCGACGCGCCGCTCGACTTCTCCGACCTCGCCTCCGCTGGCAACCGCCTCACACTCGCGTGCGTCTGTCTGCTCCGCCTGCTGCGCTGTAGGAACCTTCCACGAACCTGGCTCGGAGTCTACCCTCGTAGGTACGTCTCGTTCTTCGCCTGCTGCGCCGGCGACACGTGGGCGAGCGAGCTCGGGGTCCTCTCCGCCTCGCCGCCGCGCATCATCACGCAGCCGTGGAGGACGGCCCCGGCGGGCACCAACGGCGGCGTCTCAGCGCTCGGCGCGCGATTCTAGATGCCGAGTCCATGCCTGTGGTGTTCTGGCGGGCAGCTCGAGGCGATGTCACTCCTCAGCTCTCGTCAACCGCGCAGGGTTGCGATGCACGATCCTGACACCACTTGCCGCGTACTCGCAGGCACGCTCGCCAGCGCCGCCGGCGGAGCATGCACGGGCGCCTGTAGACGCGGAATACGAGTCCCTGCACACACCGGAGCCGTAGCAAGGACTCGAGCCCGACACGTGCTCGTCTGCAATCCAACTTGTTCGCGCGCCCAGAGACTGTACCGCCGCCAGGGCCATTCCCACCAGCCCTTGCGGTCCCTCCGCCAGGCATCGGAGCCTGCCACGCCGCCTGCCTGCTCCCGCCCTCGGGCCGCGAGGTGTTCGGCTCGGGTCGGCCTGGCGTCCAGCTCATTGGCCCAGCTCCGGACTTGCCGGGTGTGTGTGGACAGGCGCTCGGCCTGGTCTGGGCCGGGCTGGTGGGCGGCGTGGGCGGCTCTCTGCTCGACTCGCTGCTGGGCGCGACCGTGCAGGCAACCTACTACGACGAGGCGAGCCGCATGGTGGTCGGGCGGCCCACACCCAAGGTGGCGCCCACTCTCGCCTCACTCTCCTCACGCTCCCCACTCTCCTCCCTCTCCTGGCTGCCATCTCTTCACTCCCTCGCTCTGCCTCTGCCCCTCCGCACTCCCTCTCCATCTCGACTCGGACCGGCTCGCTCCGCCGCGGACGACTGCCCGCTGCGCCAAGGCGCGACGTGTGGCGGGGCTGCCGCTCCTCTCCAACGAGATGGTCAACTTTGTCTCGACCGCCACCGCCGCCGTCGCCGCCGCCTCCGCGCCGCGGCTGCTGCTCGGCTGGCTCGCGCCGGCGTAGCCGGAGGCCGCCGGAGGCCGCGGTCAGAGTCAGGGGAGCGGCGCACTCTCGCAGTCGCGCGCTCGGCGGACGACAGGCGAGGAGGGAGGAGCGGCGGGAGGACTCATATATTTCTCATACTCTAGGATTTTGTGTACATTAGACATCTCACACTTGCGACTTGGTCTTGGAGCACTTGGTCTTCGGGAGTGGCGAGTGCAGTCATTTGCCTCACACCCTTCTGCCTTCACCCAGGGCCGGGGAGTAGCAAGCACACAGAGTAATCAGTTTGTCACTATTCAATGCGACGCAGAGCCCCCGGAGTATGTGTTTGCCTCGCTGAGCTTCACCCAGCGGCCGACCGGGGCACGAGAGCCCCCACTTTTTATGAACGAAACGGCCAGGGCGGCGGGCGGCGCTGGTCAAATGCGGCGCCTTCAAGGGGGGAACAACATGGCAAGCGCGTTGACGCTGCTCGTCGCGCGCGCCTGTGTGGGCGCGCCCTCCGAGGACGCGCCGCCGCATGGGGTCCAGCCGCTCTTCGCGGTCGCGCCGCATTCGCAGCCGGACGACGCATCAAGCCGTGCGGGGCGCAGTGCAGGCGGGCTCCCCGGCCTCGGCGACGGCGACAGCCTTGGGGAGGTTCGGCCTCCCCGGCTCGCCGCCGTACCCTCGCCAAGCCTGCCGCCGCCCTCGCCGCCGCCCGTGCCGCCGCCGCCCGTGCCGCCGCCGCCCGTGCCGCCGCCGCCCACACCGCCGCCGCCTGCGGCGTATGGCCGCATGCTCTCCGAGTTCAATACAGACGGCAGAGACATGCAGCTCTTTGATCTGATGGAGGGGGCGGAGCGCGGGCGCCACCTCCTTAAATATGAGGCAAAGAAGAGCAACGAGAGCACCCTCGGGCTATGCGAATTCCCTTCGAGCAACCGGTACGGTGAATATGTGAACTACAAGGAGTGCTTCGATCCTGCTCAACAGGACCGTGGCCGCACCGCTGAGGGCGTGCCCATGGGGCAGGTGGAGCCCTGGATTACTCCTTCCATCGACAACGCGGTCCTGCTCGCCAACGATCCTGGGATATGGTCGGTGCGTAACTTCCTCAGCCTAGCCGAGGCCGACAAGATGCTCGCGCTCGTCAGTAAGTACGGCAAAGAGCTTGGCTTTTACGGGCCCTGCAAGCACGAGCACAACCACCGCGCGACTACGCACGCACACCCTTCGGAGGGCAAGGCCTGCTTCAAGATCTCCAGCACAAATGTCTGCGAAGGGCCATACGATCTCTCCGCCTGTGAAGCCGAAACCCACGCCGCAGACGGGGCCTTCATTGAGAGCATCATCAGCAGGTTCGGGTCCATGTGGCCTTTCGATGTCGCTCCGGGGCCCTACGCGAAGTTCCAGCTCTCCCTGGGCGACACCCCGCCAGTCGATCTGCATGTCGACGCAGAAAAGACGATCTCCTTTGTTCTCTACCTGACGGATGGAGGCGCAGCCATGCTTTTCCCCTACGCCAATGTAACCGTCACCCCAGAGAAGGGCACCGCACACACCTGGCTGAACTCCTACAAGGATGGCACTCGCAACCCTATGGCCGACCACGCTGTTCAAGCGCACCCATTGTCCGCCGGTGAGAGATTGGTCATGCTCTTCGAAGTCTGCACGCCTCCGCAAGACATATTGGCCGCTGCATCGTGGTCGACGTGCAGCTCAATCGGTCTGGGACGCTAGGCAGGTCCGAGCTCGGCTGATTGGTTTCGCGTTTACGCACCAATGGGAAGGTGGCATAGACGTTGCCCTTCTGGATTTGGGGCGCACGCTCGCGTTCGGGGTCTACACATGACGCTCACCCCGCGGGTACGACCCGCTCAGTGTTATTACAGTAAGAAAGAAAACAGACAGCCCAAGGGAGGGATGGGAGGACGGCACGCCGCCACCACACAGGGATTTTAAGGAGAGGGGTGTGGTGCTCGTAGCCGCCCCCTCAGGGATCCCGATTTAAATTCTTTTGTGTTCGTGCCAGTGCGCGCCAGTCCCGTGCCCAGTGTTGTGCGAGGGAGTTTCGTTAAGATTCTTTTATGGACCGTCCCCACGGGCCATGGAGCTGGCGAGCTCACGGCTGCCGATCTCACAGCTTCTGCTCGCTATAAGCCTCTCCACGACAGACTCCTCTTGGGTTCCTCCGCTACCAACGCGAACCGCCGTGGTCTCGCATCGCCGCTGCGCCGCGCCGGCAGCGGCCGACAGCGGCAACATCTCCTCCGCGCCTCGTGGTGGCCTCCGGGGCCTCGGCGGCGCGTTGCGCGGTGCGGCACGCAGTCGCAGCGGCGCCACCTCCGGCCGAGGCGGCCGGATAGCGGTCGCCGGCGGGCTGCTCGCCGCGCTCGGGCTCGGCGGCGGCGCCGTCGCCGCCCGCCGGGCCTCACGTCCGCTGCCGGTGGTGCTGGTGCACGGCATCCTCGACTGCTCGGAGAACATGTACCAGGTCGAGGCGTGGGTGCGCGCCTCGCTAGGCCGCGGCGGCCACGTCCTCAACGTCGAGATTGGCAACGGCGTCGTCGACTCGATAGCGCGGCCGATGGACTGGCAGCTGCAGGAGCTGGCGGCGGCGATCCGGGCCGACCCGGCGCTGGCGGAGGGGTTCAACATGATTGGGTACTCGCAGGGCGCGCTCCTCGCTCGCGGCTACGTGCAGCGGTACAACTTGCCGCGCGTCTCGACGCTCGTCAGCTGGGTGGGGCCGCAGGCGGGCGACTCACCGCCACACACACAGCGGCCAGACGCCACACGCACACCACGCACACCACGTTCACGCACACAAGCAACGCACACACGTACACACGCACACACACACACGCACACCAGCACCCCGGCGCGTCCCTCTGTCGCCTTGCCCTCAACCTTCTCGGCGCCTCTCCTTGTCTTCCGCAGGCGGGCCAGTTCGGTGTGCCTGCCTGGGACGAGATGATCGGCCACATCAACAAGATCACCTCCGCGATGTGGTATACGCCCGCCATCCAGGAGCGAGCCCCTCCCGTGAGTCGATCGCTGTGTGGCGCACCCACAGCCCTGACGAGGCGTGACGAGGCGTGCCGCCGCCTCAGGAGCGGGTCTCGTTCGCAAACTACTGGCGCGACCCGATGCGGCTCGACACCTACCGCTCCAACTCGGCCTTCCTCGCAGACCTCAACAACGAGGCGCGCAGCAACTCGCCCACTGACACGCTGACCACCGACCCCGCCCCTACCCGCGCCCCTCAACAATGAACTGGGTCCCTCGCCCTCGCCCTCGCCCTCGCCCTCGCCCTCGCCCTCGCCCTCGCCCTGCCCCTAACCCCCCCCCTCCTCCCGCAACAGGTTCCCGGCCGGCGGAACGAGAGCTATGCGACGAACCTCGCCTCGCTCGACGCCTTCGTGCTCCTCCCCTCCACCGCCTCGACCGCCTCTGCTCGGCCCACTCATCCCTCCGATCCAGCCGCAGGTGCTCGTCTCCTCCACCATCGACTCGATCATCGTCCCGCGCGAGTCGCAGTGGTCCCGCGCCTCGTCGCCCCGGGCTCGTCCGCACCCTTCTCCCCCCCCCCCCCAATCACCCGTGACGTCTCCCGGCTCAGGTTTGGCTTCTTCGCGCCAAACTCGACCTCGCGCATCGTGCCGCTCCGCCGCTCGCCGCTCTGGACCGAGGACTGGATCGGACTGCGGCGGCTCGACGCGGCGCGCAGGCTCCACTTTGCGTCGTGCGCGTGCCACCACCCAGAGGCGTGGTGTGCCCTGCCGGCCCTCCTGGTGTCACACGCCTCGGCTGCACCTCGGCTGCACCCCCCCCCCCCCCCTTCCCTCCTTCCTTCCCGGACCGGTGGGGGGAGGGCCCTCCTCACCCGGGCGCACCTGTGCCCGGCAGGGGCCCTCCCAGGGGGGCCCCCTCCAGGTCTGGGACCGTGCCACCCGCCGCCACCTGCAGCGCCGCGGCCCGCTCGCCGCCGTCGGGCGCTGGCTGGGCGGCGCGACCGGCGGCGCGGCGGGCGGCGGCGATGACGGCGCGGGCGGCTGGAGAGGCGCCGTGCCGGGCGTGCCGGGGGCGCACGCGGCGGCCGCCTCGGCGGCGCACGCGGCCGCCAAAGCGCGCGCCGCCGCGGCGGACGCTCACGCCCGCGCCGCGGCGGCGGAGCGGAGGGCGAGGGAGCTGGCGGCCGAGGCGAGGGCGCGGGCGGCCGCCGCGCGCGACGCGACGAGGGGGGGGCGGCGCGGGGCGGGCTGACGTGCTGTGTGTGAGGCGACCTGGCGACGGGAGGGGGTTGCGACCCTACTCTGTGAATATACGTCCTCCAAACGACCTCCAAAAGGGCTGTATTCTGCCCGTATTCTCCGACCGTATTCCACACGTATTCCAGAGTACGTATTCCAAACGAGGCCCCACAATGGACGTATTCCGTATAAAATTTTCTTCGCTCCGCGAAGGTAATGCTTCGCACAGAGATCAGACCGCACAGAGCGGTAGGGTTGCGACGGACCGACGACCGACGTCACATGCCCCCCCCGCCAGGCTGCAGGCAGGGAGGCACGCGCGTGATTGGAAGCTGGATCCAGGGGTGGTACGGGGTGTGGAGGGTGAGTTGACCAGGGGGTTGTGCGCCGGGCCCCCGGGCCCTCCTGCTCGGCTCCAGCCGGTAGACAAGTCTTGTCATCAACAGAGTAGATGGATCTGACCTCGCTCCTCGGGGCCGATGTGACCAAGCGCTGGTAGCGTGGTTTGACCTCACACCCATGGTCTCACAGTGTGCCGGCAGTCGCCGAGCAGTGTCGCTCACACAAGCCGCAGCACAAGTGACTGAGGGCCAGTGAGGGCGAGCCCATCGCTGTCACAGCTGTAGCAGCCGCACAATAGGTTTCGCCTCAGATTTTGCCCCAAACCAGCTCTCAGACTCAGGGAAACTCGAGAGTTGCCAGAATGGAGCAGGAATGGAGCACCAAACACCCTCTTCCTTGTGGTTTCCCTGGAAACTTCCGGAAACTCAAAGTGCTGGGGACCCTCTGGTTTCCCTCTGGGTTGCCGGAAACTCTCGAGCGGGCTTCACCCCGCACGCCGCGGGCTTCACCCCGCACGCCACGGGCTTCACCCCGCACGCCGCGGAGCTCGAGGCTCCGAGCTCTCCGTCCCTCCGAGCCCTTGGAGCACCTGGAGTGCAGTCGGCAGCGGCGCGGTGCGCAGCCCCCTCAACCGCGCAGACTCCTCCACCGCCCGCTCTCCCTGTGCTCGGTACAGCAGGGATTGTCCCACAAAAGGGTTCGACGCCAAAAAACCAAAATGGAGATGCCGGGCTTCGATCCCGGTACCTCTCGCATGCGGAGCGAGCGATCTACCAATTGATCTACATCCCCGTGCCTCGACGAGGCATTCGGTGTGGAAGAGAGCCGGAGGGCGGCAGCCTATATAGCTAAAAAATGAAAAATTTTGTTGGAATTTTTTGTGGATTTGGAGTTATTTTGAAAAAATAAAAAAATGTGTAGTCTTTAGGAGGGGTGGATGAGGGTTGGGAAGGGATATGAATGTTTCGTAACTCTTCGGTGTGGAAATTGAATTAAGGTTTCGTTTCAGAGTTTGATTGTTTTTGTTTGTTTATTATTTTCAGGTTAAACTTCACTTGGTGCTCCTTGTCGGAGGGGAGTCTCCCGGGCAATTTGCTCGGTACCGCGCCAGCGCATATCTTGATGAGCGAGTCGTGCTTCGCCGCCGTCGCCGCGATTCCCGTGCCGCCGCCACGGAAGGTGGCACGTGCTTTTGCGAAGCCCACTTTGCGGCCTTTGCCGCTTGCCCACCGCTTGGCTTCGTCAACGGGCGAGTGCCTTACCACACTCGCCTCGGCATCACTCGAAGCCGCGAGCTCGGATGCGGCCACAAGAGCGGCCTGCTTGGCACGCAGCTGCGTAATCGTCGGCCCGCGTGTGCGGCTCTTCACGGCCTGTGCCGGCGAGTTGGCGTTCACGCGCTGAATCATCATCGTCATGGCTGCTGTCTCGCTCGCTCGTGCGTCCTTGGAACTTGTGCCCGCCTCCTTCTCCTACGAGCTCGTATGCCACGTCGCCGCCTGTGTTTGGGTTTCTATGTTTGCGATTTGGAATTTGGTATTTGTCCAACTCTTTGTTTATTTATTTATCTACCGCTGACCGGACAGGTTCCACACCTCTCGGCGAGCGTAAACAGTGAGTCACACCCTCGCAGCACCGCCGCGCGGGCGCGCCTCGAGCTCCTCCGGCCGCGGTATCGACGCGCACCGAAACGACTCCCGCGACCAGCCGCCGCCGGGCAGCGCATCGGGGAAGCAGCTCGAGGCGCACTTGGTGTGGAGGCGCCGCTGGTCGAAGCCGACGCCGGCAGCGGCGCTGCGGTTGGCCTCCTGCAGCTCCCCGCGCGAGGCGCCCGGGGGCGGCTGGTGGCCGTTGAGGAAGTGGGGCATGAGGCCGGGCAGGCCGCGCCGCCGGTAGGGCCTCGAGAAGAAGTCGCCGTTGCGCGCGCCGCACGTGACGGCCGCGGTGCGGTTCGCGTCGCAGCGGAAGAGGTGGGGGTGGCGGCCGCACATGACCCCCTCGTCGGTCGGGCGCAGCGCCTCGCACTCGGCGCGGCGCAGCCAGATGATCTCCGTCCGCGCCTCGCCGTTGACAAAGTCGCGGTTGCCGGGCACCTGCAGCGTGTCGATCCCGTCGAGCCTGGTCGACGGCGCGCCGCAGCTGGCCGGGCGCACCGCGCGCGCGGCCCTCGCGCAGGCGGGCTGCGTCGCGACCGCCGCCGCGAGGCGGGAGGCTGGCCCGGCGCAGCAGCGGCCGAGGAGCTGCGCCTCCTGCAGCAGCCGCTGCGCCGTCGAGACGCGCGGGACGACGAGGGTGCGGCCGAGGTTGATCGACAGGCCCGAGCCGGCGGCGTAGTAGAGGAACATGGCGTGCGTCGTCTCGTCGCGATCGTCCGCCCACGGGCAGTGCGTCACCTCGACCCACGAGCCGTTTGGGAAGGGCCGCTCGGGCCGCGCCGGCCGCACCCACAGCGTGTCGAGCGGAGAGTGCTCGCTCACCGCGTGCGCCCAGTAAAAGGGCTGGCGCGGAGGGCGCGCCGTCTTGTGGCACACGCCCACCCGCGCCACGCTGCGCACCGCCGCGTCGGAGAGCAGGCGCAGGTACACCACCCGCAGCGCGTGCAAGTCCACGCGGCCGGGTGCGCCGTACACCGCGGTCGAGTAGGCGCCCTGGATGTCGTGCAGGGCCGCGGCGGTGACGGTGCGCTGCCGCACGAGCTCCTCGGCCGGGCTGCGCGTTTTGACGAAGGACGCGTAGGCGATCGCGCGGCTGCGGTAGTGACGGTGCGCTGCGATCACGCGAAGGTGGTGGTAGTCGACGTCCGTGTAGTCGCAGGCGGCGCAGAGCGAACAGAAGCTCACGAGCCTCGCGGAGCGAGAGCCCCTGCGCTGCGCGTCCCGGTACACTGTAAAGAAGCGGCAGTCGGCGCGGGCCGAGCAAGCGGCGCGGCAGGCCGCCTCCGACGCGGCAAAGTGGACGAGCATGCCAGTCCACGAGGCGGGGCGGGTCTTGCAGCATGGCTCGGTGGCGTTGGGCAGAGGCAGGAACGAGGACGGAGGAGCCGGGGATTGCGGAGAGGCGCGGCGGCTCGAGCGCTGCATGGAGGAGGAGCGCGGCGGGTGTGTGTCGCCTCACCGGGAGGTAAGCGGTCGCGGCGTGCAGCGGAGCTGAGTCTGCGGTGTGCAGCGGAGCTGAGTCTGCGGCGTGCAGCGGAGCTGAGTCTGCGGCGCGCAGCGGAGCTGCTGGGCGCGGCGTGCAGCGGCAGCTTCCCGCGGCCCAAGCTGGTCGTGCGCAGATTTTCTTTTACTAGTGGGGGACCTGCGGCCGACCCGCCTCTGTTGTTCGGTCAGTGAGAGACGCAGGATCTGCACGCAAAGTGGGGCCACTCCGCACTTTCATTTTGGTTTTGGGTTGTCGGAGATCATCCATCAGCACTCATAAGTCAGTCAAAGCAGTCGTGGCACGTGAGCGCAGAGTCGCTGCATGCAACGGCGCCGCCACACGCTCCGGACGACCGACACACCGACACACCACGCACAATGGGAGGCTATCGCGCACGATCGGCCATCGCACCCACCGCAAACACCTCGCCGCACAGATGGGGGGAGGCATAATCCCACACACACCGGAGCAGCGCAGACACCTTACACGTCAGCGCTCGCTCGATGTGGCCGGCGCTCTCCCCTCTCCTATCGCGGCGAGCCGGTCTCGGCGGGAGACCTCGGAGCCGCACGCGATGCGGGCATGCGCGATGGCTCCGTTGGCTCCGTGCCTAAGGCAGATAGATTAGGGTGTGAGCTGCGGCAGCCACCGTTTCTGTACCTCGATCACGTGCAGGCCGTCGGAGGCCGCGCTGGATGGCCCAGGGCCGGCGGCGGTGAAGGCGTCCGTCGATGAAGGGATGTCCTCGAGGGAGCCATCGTCCTACGCGGCTGGTGCACCGGTCCAGTTGTCGGAGTTCGAGATCGCCGTCGACTTGGAGAGTTCGGCCCGTTGACGAACTCACGGAATGTGAGCGACTTGGTGCACGCTGATAGTCGAGCATCATGGCTCGCACCTCATCCTGAGCGCAAGGAACTCGCCCAGGGGCCAGCTGTTGGCGTCGCCGTTTTGATCGAGCTGCATCCACTGCATGGTTTCGTAGTCAAGCTTAAACGCCCAGGAGTTGGCGCCTGGGTGACTTGCTGATGAGAGCGCCTTCCAGGCGGGTAGTCGTCTCACCTAAGGTCATACGGCGGCGTCAGAGGGGGGGAGGGGCGCGAAGCGTGAACATGAAGGCAAGCAGGCGGTCGCTGCACCTGGCCAAAGCCGGCGACCTCAAAGTTGTCGTAGGTTGTGCGGGTATCGCTGAGCGTGAGAGGGACTGGATCGGCAGCAGCGCGGGCGGCAGCGGCCGGAGAGGCCGGAGAGCCGTCCGACGGAGGCCGGTCGTGCATCGGCGCGTCGGCCGTAGGGGCCGGGGGGGCGGCGGCATCCATCGCTGCGGGTCGCTGCGGGCCGACGATTGTGGACTGATCGATCGTCGGCGGGCGGTGTTCTCGGGTGTGCAGCTGGGACGTTCTACGGTTAAAAGAGCGACGGCGCCGACACGAGAGACTTATAAGGGTAGATATACGCATTTGAAGAATGTGTACGCCCCGCCAAAGGTGTCGGGTGTCGGCAAAAAAGAATTTTTCAGCCCGTGTCTCGGCACTCAGCATCGGTTCCGCAGACAACACCGCATCGGGGTGACGGCATCTCAGCCATGCTCTCTCCGCTCGGCCCACGCCGCTCTCCGCTCGGCCCCCGCCGGTCTCCGCTCGGCGAACGCCGCTCTGTTGAAACAGTGGCTAAGAAGTCGTCTCTCGGCAACCGCCGCTCCCGCCAACGCGGCTCGACCGTCACCTCGGAGCTGCTCGAGACAGTGCAGCACGGAGCTCCGGGTCGAGAAGGAGCGGCAGGACAAGGAGCTTTGCGCCTGGGGAAGAGGGCTCGACTGGCGCCCGTGGGAGGCGGTGGCCCCCACGTCGGTCGAATGCGGAGTGTTCTCGCTTGACCTCTGAACCATCGTCCGGCATCTGCTCGTCGTGGTGTGCCGCTGGTTTGTGACAGGACATCGCGCTGCGATGTGACTGATGATGGAGATAGAATGCATGTTGTTGAGTCCAGGCAGTGACTGGTGGTGTCTCAGGATGTGGAGTGAAGATCCATCCCACATGCAAGATCGTGTGTGTGTATAAGTATATGCGCGGCAGCTGGGACCCCAGAGGGTCCCGCGAGAGGGACACACCACCAATGCTAGCACCAATGTCGACTTACCTTTATCCCTCCCCTCCCATCTTCTGCATTCACTCTTTACACATACGTAAGTCATTCGTTAGAGTTTGACCGTTTTCATTCTGTACACGCTGCTACGGGTCCACGCACCCGCCCGTCGGGCCGGACGTGCAGGTCTCAACGGAGAAGGCGACGGGCCTGTGTGTTCAGAGAGTCGCCGCCGAGACCCGAGTGCTCCGACGGTTGTGCACGAGTTGCCAGTGTTGGGAGCCCACTTTCTTTTGTGTACTCTAGCTTAAGGAGCTGAAGACTAGGTAACAGTAAGACGTCCTCTTGACGCAACGCGAATCCGAACAGGTGACGAGAGATGCGCCACCCTTGTGTGCACGCCGGCCACGCCACAGAGACGTTTTCAGACCCGCGACGGCCCGTCTCTCACGAGGACGAACAGGTTGCCCTTGTCACCGCGCGAGACGCGCAGCGTGTCGTCGAGGTAGGTCGTCTCGAGCACGCCCTTGGCCGCGGCGGGTGCAGGTATCCGGAGCCAGCCGATGCCAAAGCGCAAGAACTGCACGTCCACAGTTCGCCCGTCGTCCCGCGGCGTGAGCCTGGCACGAACCATGTTTTTGAGGAGCCCGAGCAGCACCCACTCCTCGTTCTTCGCCGCGAGCTGACGGGCATCGATCGACTGCAAGATCCTCTTGTACCGCGGCCGGAACGGGCGGGGCCGAGTCGTGCCCAGGATGGAGTCGGAAGTGGTGTAGATGAGGCGCCAGCAGCCGGTGAGCAGGTCTGGCGCCTCGAGTGGCTTCGGCGTCGGATTGAGTGGCTCGATCTGCTCAATCGCCTCCAGCACGGAGGGTCGAAACTCGGCGATGCGCCCCATGTCTGCGACGGTGCACGCGTCGATGAGGGCCGCCTTGGCGTCGCCGAGCATTGACTGGTACTCGGACGCCTGTGCTGCCACGGCGCGCAGTGGAGCCGCAGCGGATCGACCGGCGGCGGCGCGAACGGCGAACCCGCTGGCGGTGTGGAGCAGGAGCAGAGGCACACACATGTCGTATCGCGTATCGGAAGCGCCTCCCTCCCGCAGTCAGTGTTAGGAGAGAAGAATTTTACTAAACTCTCACAGCAGACTGGCTCGGACTGGCACTACATGTACAAAAGGCACGGTAGGCGACGGCCCCTTATGGGCCGTCGAAGAGGCCGGCGTCTTACGCTCACAGCACACGGCAACAACATACCTAAAACACGGCACGACAAGGGTGGGCGACGGCTAGCGCACCACACCCCTCTCCTTACAATCCCTGTGTGGTGGCGGCGTGCCGTCCTCCCATCCCTCCCTTGGGTTGTCTGTTTTCTTTCTTTCTGGCACGACAAGGGCGCGGACTGGCGCGGACTGGCACACACACCGGCTCACGTTACTTAGAAAGAATTTTCACCTCGACGGGACTGGCGCGCAACACTGGTAACATATAGGTAACCACGGGATCGGGAGTTACCTAAGCGAAAACAAAAAATGTCCGCGACTCCTGCGCGATTAGAAAAGGATATTGGGTGCCCGAAATTTTCGGGTAGGTAGGTCCGTAAGTGGTGAGAGCCCATGTGAGAGCCACATGTACATGTTGTTGTGCATATGCCCATCCTGCGGCGACAACGGTGGCGCGTTGGCGGCGCTCGATGGGGCGGCGCGGTGCGGGGCCCGCGAGCTGCGGGCAGCCGGGGGGTGGTGTTGCGTGGCGGCACGGCCCGGAGCGCGCGGCTCCCCGCGCCGCGGAGAGGCGCGCGGCGGGGCGAGGCATGGAGGGCGAGGGGCTGGCCTGACGCGTCGTTTGGTCTGCAACTAAAAGAAGAAATTAACAGTGGAGTGTGGGATTCGCTTGCATTCGCTTGCAATTTGGATTTGCAAAGGTTGCTTAGCAGTTGGATTGCGTGTGATTGCGCAAATTGCAAATTAAAAGAAGAATTCCACTGCAAATGCAATTTGCTCAAACTCAGGATTGGTCATTTCGCGAAAAAAAAAATTCGTCGCGCGAAGAAGAAATGCAGGCGTGGATTACGTCATGTCGTCACGTCATGACACTCGTACTCGGAGCTCATCCCCTACCTGCACGTGACATGACACTGCTGTGAATACGTCCCGAACCCATACTCAGGAGCGGTAGCATGTGCATGTGCATGTGCATGTCACATGCACTGAAATGGGACGGGCCCTGTGGCTGTGCCCGGACGGGCACTCAAATTCCTGAAAAGAAAGAAAACAGACAACCCAAGGGAGGGAGAGGACGGCTTTATCGGTGGAGGTACAAGATAGTGTTCGAAGAGAGAGTGGACCTGAGCAACGGATATGACTTGGGTCTTGGCGGCAGATGAATCGCAGTGGGCGTCAGAAGAGTCGTCCTTGCGCGAGGAGAGCTCGAACGATAGACTCGAGGGGCCAAAATATGCCGCGAGCAGGGCGGAGTTGCGACGAAAGGCGAGAGAAGAAGCGAGAGCAACGGAGCGGCAGGCGGCGGCGGCGTCGCAGGACGAGGCAGAGGAGAGCGACGCGACAGAGGAAGAAGCGACACGAGAGAGAACGACGAGAGTGGGACGACCGCGAGGTGGCATGAAGGTTGCAGCGAGAATCGGCGAGGGACTGCGAAGGGAGATAGGAAGACGCACAGAACCGTCGGTCAGGGAGGGCGACGGGTAGAAACACACTCCTCTCCTTAAAATCCCTGTGT